TAGGCTCTGATACTGTAGTGGTCGTAGGCAAAAACCGGCAGATGCCAAACCCAATTTTTCCACTTGAGGATTCAACTCAACGACGGCTTCATTTGTTGGCAGACGTGGGACAAAGCCCAAAGGGTGTGAGCTGACGTGATTGGCCACCGCAGACACTCACTTCGAGGTGGCGGCTAATGAACCAAAAACGTGTCTGATCCGATTACCTTTTTAGGGCTCTATTCTGTGCTCAGCTACTGTGTTTTCTAAACTTAAATTCATACTTTTTTTTATAAGATTTCCCCAGAAATCTGAACTTTATTCGAATACATTGTGACAATCATAGATGACTCCATTTCTGACATATATAAGCTTTAACATATAAAATTGGACAAACTATGACTTTTGGCGCTGTAAACGCTTATGAAAATGTTTTTCAAAGCGAAAATGCATATTTTCTTTTCCGTTGCCTAGTACATTCGACAAGATCCACAAGTCCTCGTTTCAGCCATTTATTTGGCACTTCGATCGGCATGACAACGCTCCAAAAAAAAAACAGCAATAATTCAAGGAATTCAAATCTAGGAAGCTCATAAAGGTTCGTTGTGGGTGACGTTGTTAGGATTACATTTTTTTCTTCTTTTTATTTTCAATGTTCGTGAACTTTTACGAACGGCGTCCCGATCACTTTCCATCATTTCAAATGTTGGCCTCTTCTGTTCCTCCTTCTTTTCTTTCTCGTTTTTCCCATGGCCGACGAGATCTCATGTGGCGGCGGTCCGATAGCCGAATAGCCTATCCGGTCTGCGGAGGTCTCACCCTTCCACTATGAGAAAACACTACTGGAGAGTAGGAAATTTCTCTTTCGACATTGAACTCAACACCTCGAAGCTACTGCCTTTAATTCCAACGGATGAACCACGATAATAGTGCGAATCGTACATACTGCACACACAAACGCACGTGTGCCTATGTGTATGTTTGCCCATTTTTGATCACAGTGCGGCCCCTCGTAAAAATGCAAATCGCCTTATATGTAACTGTCCCCTGTCCACTTCAATATTCGACGGTCGTTATTCATTAAACATACTATCAGTTTCCAAGCACTAAATCAAGTCGAGCCGTTTCTTGAAAAAATTCTGAATTTTTTGAGATGAACTGAATTTAGAGATATTACAAATCTAAAAAGAGACTCCTTTTTCGAGAAGAATTCAGCCTGAATCGACGTTTTCGATGAGAAACTTCCGCACTTTTTCGGGACAGAAAACTTTGAAAACTGAACTTTCAGTGAATGGTAAAGTACTGCGCTTTGATAAGACAATTTTTGAAAAAAAAAAGTATCTAGATGGTCCCTGAAATTCACAAACTGCCATTCAACCACACTTTTCGCGGCAGACAAGGGCAAAGTGCACGATAATCGGAGAAAAGACCGGTCTTGCCTTCTCACGGCCAGCCGGCTGGCGAGGCTGGGGGTGAATGGTCAAGCGGCGTCCAATGGAATTGGTTGGTCAGTGGCGGCAGAGTGAGAGGAAAAAAACCGGTTGGCGTCAGGAGGAAGCTGTCTCTCGGTCGAGCGTATACGCCCTGGGGGTGTATACGATCACTGAGGCGACGACGACCTATAGCGAGGGAAAGAGCCACCTTTTGGTCGTTTTGTTTCATTTCTTTCGCTTCGGGACCTCAGGAGTACAAAAACATGCGTCCGGAAAAGGTGGACCGGTTTGGCCGTCTACGGCGGCGTTAATTCTTTTTTTTTCGAGGAAAAGAGAGTTCTTTTCTTGCGGGAGTGATATCCATCTGCAAGCTAGCCACGCCTTTTTCACTCCGAGAGCGACATTCGTTTGAAAATCTGGCCTTTTCTTTTTGTTTCTCACCTTATGCCACATCCGTTTTCCCGTTTCAATTTGAATATTGATGTGATTGGTTAAAGTTTTATCTAACCTGTTTTTACCTATATTAACCAAAATCTTCTCAGACCCCTTCAACTTTCTTTCTTAAAAACTTTATTTTGACTACCTTTTTGACAGGTCCCTTTCAAAAATTCAACAACTCAATCTCAGTTCATCAGCTAGAGACGATAGAGTCATATTCGAATCAACCATGACAGAAGCTTTATTCACTGTTTTTAATTAAAATACGTTTTATTTTATTTTCATTTTTGTTCTCATTGGTTCTTTTTGAAAACATAAATGGCTTCAGTCAAATATGACCTTCTTACATCTTCATTTTTTACATCCTTCTGAATTCGTGCACCGGTGTACTAGGGAGCTTCTACCTTAGAAGCAAATACTTTTTGATTTTGAAAGCTCGAGTCAAAAGATTTTGTTGTTAAAAACACCTTACTACCTTTTTTTTCGCAGGCTTTTGGGTACTGCAAACCGGCTTCTGAAAACGATTGGAATTCGATTTATTCCATGTGGCTATGTAGCCTATAAGCTATAGCCTTAAAAGGATTTTTCAATTTTATTTTTCCTTGAGGTTTTTCCGGTATCAGTGCAAGAAAACTGTTATGATTGATAAATGATGACAAAAATACAAAATGTGACCAGCGTGTAATTGTGGCTTTGCGTTCTCTTTTTTTACTATCCCTATTATGAAGCTATTTTTCTAATTTAAGTTATTTTTTTCTTTGAAAGTATGACAAGCTCGAGAACAGCGTCTGTTTTTTTTTCTAGATCTCGAAAAATTACTTTTACACATCAAATTTTTTTACTGCAGAGAACAAAAAGTTTTCAGGAAGGGCGATCATTAATTTCGAATGTTCTTTCCGAAAATATTAAATAATGTTCTCAGTTATATAAGAAATAACCTATCTCGAAAAAAAACTGCCCAATTTAGAGCTCTAAAAAAGATACCTTGAAGCATATGCCGTACATGTCAAGCTCCGCCTCCTTGTCACGCCCTTTCCCTATTGGCAGAATCTCGCTCCCTGGCTAAACTTTTCCGCCACCGTAACACTTTAACGCTTTCTTCTTCTAAATTTAAAACGCCGCTACTTGCCATTCATATCAGTTAGAGGCGTTTTATAAAAAGGAAAACCACAAAAATGTAGGCGGAGCCACACTGTCCAGCCATTCGCCTGCGGCTATTTTTGCACGTGTTTTGTTTGCTCGATCGCTCCGCTACCTTTGCTGACCATTTCCATTTCCACCTTGGTTTTTTCTCTCTTGTCGGCCACGCCTTCTTCCTATATATTTTTGTGCCGTGTACATCAGTATTTTTTTTCTGAATTTCTATTTTGCACTAATTTTTTGACCTTTCTGACGACATGGAAACTATTTCAAATAGATTTTTCAGTTAGCATTGAGAGTTTCTGAGGTGTTCATCACAGATCCGGTCCGAACTTTCGCGCTAAATAGTCCTAGGTGAAAGCAAAAATAACTATTTTCTTAAAGCCACAGGGTACTGAGGTAAATAGAGTGAAGGTGCCGGAGATTTTTGGAAACCTTTTTCGAATATATGAACTTGAAAACGATTGTCCTGAATGTTCAAATTCAGAGAGAACTAAAATAACTTTTTTATCGAAAAATATGATCTGAAGAAAAAACGGTTACCAAGAGTCTCCAGCCTACTTTCTACTTACTTTTTCTCGGTAGCCTATGGCGCTAAACAGATACTTATTTTTTTTATAGTGAGGTCACCTACCTATCAAAATTTAGACCAGATCTGCGATTTTCAACTCTGACACTTCTCTGTTACATATGTTGATTTGAAGCTTGAAAGGTCGACCGAAACCAACAGATAAAAAAGAAGAAAAAATTGATAACGAAAGTTTTTCTCTTCGAAACTGCTTGGTTCCGGTGCTGATGGAAACCAATTTTAAACTAATCAATACAAGAACAATTTTTTTCTGTAAAAAAACTGACCTTCCTTGCCTTTTTCTTTTAAAAATATTTAACGAGACGTTCCAAGCAAAAGGGAAGTCAATTGCATTTTCAAAAATTACTTTCTAGAAGTAAAATTGAATGATCTCGTTTTGTAACCTGCGCAATTCAATAATTTCTGTTTTTCTTGGATTTATGATAAAGTTTTTTCCCTCTCTCCCATGTCAGGCCTTTAAATCAAAAAAAAAACTCGGACTTTCGGAAAATCAAAATTTGAAGATTTTTCCGAGATATTTTTTTCAGACATAACCAATTCTCGAAAAAAATTTTTTTAGTTTGGTTCTAGCGGAAACTTTAAATTTCGAGCAAAAATTCTTATTTTTAAGATACAGTTTTTTTGATTAGTAGAAATTTTTCTAAATCATTTTTTTCATTGTCATCTTTTTCCCTCAAACTTATAATCTGGGCGTTTTTTTGAAACATATTTACAGACTGACTAGAAAGACTAAAAAAATTCTATTTAAATAAAAAGTAAAAAAACCCAGATTACGGCAAGGTTAAAAAAATTAAGATTTTCTGTTTCTGCGAGAGAAAAATTGGTCATAAAGTTCCATAATCAAATTTGAAAATTTTTCAATCAGCTTTGAAAATGTTGAATTCAAAAAGTGGGGGCTGGAGTTGAGCCGGAAGAGAAGAAACCAGAGCTGATAGGATATTCAGTCCCGAAATGCCACTAAGACGAGCTCTCACCCACAGAATTATCCTTTTATCTCTTTCTCTTCTCCTGATTAGTTTTCCAACCAATTTTATACATTATTTAGAGTGATGTCGCGTGTTTGGATGTTTGATGGTTTTTTTTTCGTTGATTTTTGAATGAAAAACAGAAAAAAAACAACTTTTTAAAAACCTTGAGTACCTTGCAAGAGCTTTGAGATAATATGTAGAAATATTCGAATGAATGGTGTCTATAATCAAATTAGTTTTGAGTGAACCTTTCTATTTTCAAAAAAAAAATTAAAAGAGCCTTCAAAGTTATAATCGATTATTTTACTAAAGGATCGTCTGAACAAAACCTTCTATCGAATTCCTAACTACCTCTCAACCTTCCATTTTCCCGCACCAAACCATCCTCCCAAATGCTATATTTTGAACTTGCCTAAATCTTCACATACGTCAACCAGCGATTACTTCTGAATCCTAGCTGAAGCCCGGATAATAGCCCCGGTGAACTATTCTGCACAAAAGATCAGATAGTATTACGGTAGCTCTTTAATAATCGCCCAGTTGAAGCGGTTTTCAAAACCAACGTCGCTTAGTATCTATTTGCTTAAAGATCTCCTCACATTCCTTTCTTTTTTTTCGAAGTCAGAACTTTGAGAAGAAAAAATTAGACCAATAGCAAAAACAATATCTTGAAAATGATGAAATAGTCTGGGTTACCGATTCCATGTACATCCGAATATTCTCAATCGATCTTAATACTTCCCACTAACTGAATTTCAAACAGTATCGAGAACGTCAAAAAATTTTGAGTTTTGCAAAGAAAAAATAGAAAAAAATTATCACCTTTTTCACAAAACTTATAGACCTTAGCTGAAAAAGGTTGTCAACTTTTGTGAGCTAATTCCGGTGTATTTCCTTAAAATCTTTCCTGAGTACGCTGAACTAACATCTCATAGTTCTTCCGAACCCCAAGAACGCTTAAATTCGCATTTACAACCTATCCTCGATGTGGTCAAAGCCGTTCAAAACCGCTGAGGGCGCGAGAAAATCGCCGCTGCCGCCGTCCATGTCGATGGCGCGTACCTCAGAAACCGGAACGACCGTCGGCAAGAGGGCGGCCGATCGCCGATCTTTCCAAAGGGACAAAAAGCTTTTAAGCGTGCTTGAAACTCGTCTGCCTCCACCAACCACTGTGGGCTGACCTCAATGCGTTTTGGACGCCACACACAGTGTTCCTTTTTCCTCTTGTTCTTTCTCGCTTGTACTTTGCGGATGATGGGTGAGAGGGAACACGTTCGGATTGGCAAAACAGGGTGTTGTGGTGATCCATTTCGAGAAAATTATTGAAAAATGGTAAACTTGAAGTCAGGAAAAAGAATCAACGAGTCGGCGAGCGGAAGTCACTAGAAAAAGGAAGAGCATGTACTTTTTTTTTCTTTCCATTGAATTGAACTTCTTGAAAATTTCGATTTGGCAAGTTTGCAAGTGCTTAGAAATCTCAGTGTATCACGGCGTAATCAAACAGGTTCAAACCCTTTCATTAAATGAAAAAATAGACTTTATGGATTTGTAAAATCATAATGATGTACTCTTTTCTACTCAAAAAGCTTTTTTTTCCTCAACAACTACATAGTTCCTTTAGGATCCTTTTAATAAGGGCTTTCCATGATTCATATTGATGACTGAGCCTCCAAGTGAGAGCAGTGTTTGTTCAAACGACGTAATATACGGCTTGAAGCATGTAGAAACCAAGTCAAGGGCCTCATTTTATCACTAACGCCAGGCCCTATCACCTAGGGTGGAGAATTGTTGGCTCTTCGATTGACGGCAATAGTCAATAGTATTGAAAATGGCGGTTCAGAAGCTCTAAGAAGTTCAATAAACTGTATCAGTTCAAATGCCGTTCGTCAAAGGCAAGCCAGTGATTCTGTGAGACACTTTGGTTTAAAGAGATGCAACATCTTCATTTTTGATTAGGGAACAAATAAATTACGTTAATTTCGAAAGTAAAACAAAACTGATATTTAAATGAACCTAACGATGATACACTTCTAATGAGTGGGTCATTTCGGCAATTTGATAGTCCTATTGTTATGAACCTCATGCTTTTCCAACCTCAGGTTCTTGGAAAAAATTTAAGATAGTTCGATAGCGACCTTCGTGATATCTATTGGAACTTGACAGGTTCATAGTAATTGACTCCAGCTATTTGACAATGGTCAGTTCGGAACGGACCTGACTCACACCCTTTCTAGGACTATACATTTTATGAGACCTCTTCTCTTGGGGCCGATTGCAAATGAACAGGATTCAGGATCTCGCCAAATTTCTTCACATCGTTTCATTTTTTTTTTCTTGCCTTTGGATTCTGTGACCTGACTTTGCGACAGAATGACGTCATTATTTTCTGATAATTTCTGCGATAGGGAAAAAGTTCGAAAATGGAGTTGATAAGCGTTATTGAAAGCTGTTCGGTTATGATTGGTTGATTGATTAAGAGCTTTTGCCTTAATAATTAAAGGAGGTTTACGGTAATTCTATTGGCACAAGAATAAGGTCTAAGGGAACGAGTTTATGAATGAAAAATTGCTTTTTTTGGATAAAGTTAAAAAGTAAAAATTTAAAAAAAGTTAAAAAAAACTAAAATTAAAAAAAGTTCCACACGAGATAAAAAAATAGAACTTATCTGACGCCAGACTTTTTTTCCGGCTCTCAAACACGTTGCTCGAGTTTTCTTTTACTCCTTCACTGTTAATGAGGCGTTCAAAGTTAACTTGTTGAGCATCCGCTTCTTTTCTGCTTTTTGTTAAACTTATGAAACTTACAAAATTCTATAGGGCATCGATTTGCGTATCAATCAGCTTTCTTTGTTTCTTTTTTTATATCTTCCTCTAGACTTGTATTTGCTGTATTAAGAAAAAACTGAATAGTTGTTTGTAAGCTCGTGAAACATTTGGTGATCAAGAACGATGTGTAGGATATTACATATAGTGTATAGTCGTGAACGAGTTTTGAGCTTCCCGCCGATCAGCTGCTTCTCCATGTAGGAGCAGTACGGCGCCAGGTCCAGAGCTAGCGGGCGCAGCGATTGAATGCTCTTTTATGAAGAAAAATTGAGTTAAAACATGTTATTTACCTCAAGTAGCCAAATGTTCTTTCAAAACACTTTTTTATATAGCCCGAATTAGATATAGCTCAACAAAAGGTTTCTAATTTTAATTTTTAGTAAGTTTCCAGTGTTATTGTCTTTTCTCTCTTGTAAATTCTCATAATATGTTCAAAATTGATAATTGTTTTCTCTATTTATTGTTCTCTCCATTTACTTTTATACATACAAACTGATAAATGTTGAGTTCCTTACATGATGTTCCAGATCACTGAGTATGAACTTGAAGCTCACGACTCCACTACTAATTTTGAGATTACCTACACACCAATTAGTCACAGATCACCTCGTTTTACCTCTAGCTTGCTCATTAACATTTTGCCATGATTGCAAAGCGATTTCTATTTTCCACGCCGTTTTCCCACTCGAAAGTTGCCTTCTCTTACCTCTTATCAATTTTTTTTAACCAGCTTTGCCCCTTGACGCTTCCATAAAAGAATGGAAACAGCCAAAGTTTCTTATCAGATGTGACGACGAGGCCCTAAAATCTCAAAATGTTGCGATATTTGGCATCAGTTCCAACGAACTAGTAATTTTTTTTAAATTTCCGAATAAGCTGATAAAATCGAGCCGCCTAAATGAGTCTGAGCCACTCAAAAAATTATTTCTGCCGAACTTTTTAGACCAAGTTTTTTCTTTCACACAAGCTCAAAAATTTCTTGTATGTCATACAGGTTTGTGGAAATTGAAAACAGTTTTTTATCGAGGCTTCTCTTAGGGTTTTAAATTTAAGACAAACGAAATAGTTTTTTTCTTCTAATTTTCCGCGACGAATCGACATGTAAATTCCTTATTCAATTCTTTTCTCTCAAGTATAATATTTCAGGAACACGTGCAGCCACGGCGTTCGGCTGAGTACAAGGCGAGAAGACAGGGAGGTATACAACACTCCTTGGCCCGTCCTCACATGGTTAGTTCACATTAGTTCATTTTTCTACACGGCAATTAAATTTTTTGCCTGACTCTGACTTGAATCCTTCATGAAATTTTCTTCGCTCGCCCTTTGAATGAGTACTTAATTTTATTTCATGATCACTTGTAATTTTTATCTTTGTTGTGTTGCCAGAATCCTTCAAACGCTGAGGAGTTTATTAAAACAAAATTTTAAAAAGTTCAAAGTCAATTTTTCAATGAATTTTTACCATCTTTACAGGACTCTCGAGGATTTTTTTTATCCTAAAGCAAAGCCAATAGTTCCAACTTTTTCATATTAACATCGACTTTTATTCCACTATTTTCAAAGCTCTCCTTTAAAGAGGGTTTAACTGAATTTATTTTTTTCGAAAACATAATAACTGCAAAAATATGATTGAATCTTTCATCTGTAAGCAAAAAAGTGCAGAACTTGCCTAGTACGTTCTCATAAGGGAAAAAGGGTGAAAAAACACTAGTTCAAGCTTGCTTCATGCCAGTTGATTGCACCTATGAAATTGCAAAAAAAGTACGAAAATCGTCCAGTACCACCCTCATGAGGAAAAGGCGTTCGTGTCACCCTCAATACTCTAAGGACCACTTCCTCCAGAGACCTGGTAATAACTTGCTTTTGTTTTTGATTCGTTTTAAATTCTAAATCTCATCATTATGTCTGGCTCACTCTACTATATTATAAAGGTAGGATGTGTATTGAATATTCTTTTTTTAATAGTTCTAATCATAGTCTATCTCAATTTTTTTTTAGTAGAAACCGAAGTTTTAATTGACGCGAAAAATCAATGAACAAGTAGTTGAAAATGATGGCTATTATTAGATGTTCTTGAGCCCGAGGTTAAAATTTTTCCTCAAATTATGATTGCGATAAAGTGCTAATTTTTTTGCGCATAAAAACAAAAAAATTTAACACTAAAAAGTAATCTTCAACCAATTTTTTTGAGTTTTTTTTCAAACGAATGTTTTCATTTCCTTGCTCTTCTGAAACAATTTTTATCAGTAATTTATGAGTGAGGTTAGCATTGGTTTAAAATGAAATCAGCCTCCTCTGAAACAACATAAAGTTGAATATTACTTCGAAGCTTTTCTTTGTTTCCGACTTTTGAATTCTACGCGAAAAATTTGCTTGCAAAGTTGAAATGTCCACGCCGATTCCGAGTATAGAAAACTGACTAATCCGCCACCCTCAACAACCCCGACACCTTTTCTAGATAGATAGATGAGATTGGATATGGATATGGGGCTTTGGAAAGCCGCCTCCACCCGCTGTTAATCTCCTTCTTCTTAGATTAGTGTGTACAACGGAAAAGCGCCAGCAGTGAAGTCGCAAGAGCATGAAGTTGAAATACAGAACGTTCGAACTCACCTCTACTCCGTTTTCTGAATAGGAGATCAAATTCACCTTTGAGTGGATACATCATTATCAAGTTAAGAAGTATGAAGCCATTTGAGCAAACTGATCTCTTCAGAATGGAAAACAGTATTTCTTCCGCTCGAAGTAGGCTTGAGCGGAGCTACATTAGCTCGAAACTGAAGGAAATCTTGAGAGCCAAACGAAAAAGGAAAGCGAATACAGAAGATCATTTGTGCGCAGAAATTTTCGGAGAAAGAACCAAGTTCAAAATTGTGTTGCACAAACAAAGCCAGACCTGATCAAGAAAGTTTTTCCGGAGACTTTTCACATTCTTTCTTATCATTTGACATTTTCGGTTGATTTACGGTTGAAATAACTCAGTCGAGCTTGCAAATGACACATCCTCAAAATTGCTAACTCGACCATATTGTTGTAAATATAATCTCACTTTGTGACGTAATTGGTACATGTCTAGTTTTGGAAGCTCCCTATGAATATGAGAAACTTCTAAGCCTATCCCAACTTTGGAAAGACGTCATCCAAATTTCAAAAATTCCATTTCATGTAAATAATTTTAACCGCGCTCCGAAGAACAAAATTAGAAAAAAAATTTGGTGGTATGAAAAAAAACCAGCGAAAATTCAAACGGCGACTTTTCCGATTTTTTCATATTTCTAGGGAACTTTCCGACTTTTTTCCCTTATGTTTTTCGGTTTATAAAACATCTATAAACATTTTTTTCCTATTTCTTTGTGTTTTTATTCATGAATCAACTACCTACTTTATATAGCAAGATTTAAAACGAAGATTTTATCGAGAAAAAAAAGTCGGAAAAAGAATCGGCGGAAAGGTGGCCGTCGGAAAGTTCCCTAGCGATATGAAAAAATCGGAAAAATTGCCGTTTGAATTTTCGCTGGTGTTTTTTTCATACCACCAAAAATTTACTTCTGAATTCAAAAGAGGCTCTATCGTTGGTTATCATGACACCAATATTTTCAAAGTTCTTCCAGAAGTTCCACCTCTAACAAAGCTTCTGCCAAAAATAATCAGAAATGTCCATTTGCTGACGCAATTGTCAAAGCAATTGCGACTCGCCAGCTTGTCAACGAGCCGATCAGAAGGCTCAAAAAGAAGGCGTGGTCATTGCCATCTTGACGTCACCAACCTCCCTTTTTCGGTTCAGCTTCACGCACACTCCATTTCTGTGTTCTTCTTCTATTCGGACGGGTGAAGAGGGTACACCTAGCTTCCTCATTTGTCGCCTTTGCTCGATTTATGTTCATTATAGCATCGAATTAATCCCGATGCCCACCGAAATGGCTTCGACCTTCGCTTTTCTTCCACCACCTTTTCGTTTATCCTCGAAATAATCATAGAAAAGCGCAAACATCTCTCGGATTAACGTTCGGATTAACTTTATTTTTGACAATTTCATCTGATTACTTCTAATTTCGTCGTGTAGTAGGTGATTCCACCGTAAGAGTGATTGATTCTTAGTAACACAGAGGTGGAAGAAATGAGGGGCCCTCCAGGGCGCAACATGCCCGCCTCAGCCATCAGGCCTCTGAGAAGAAATGAGCCGCGTCATTATGTGTCGATGGCGTATAATACCACGTTGCAAAAGTAGGGCGAAAATGGTCATTTTTGTTCTTTTTTCATTAAATCGTGGATTTCGCAATTTTTTCAATATTTTTTTTAATTTTTCAGTGGATATGATGTCCAGTTGAATTTTTTTATGTGGAGTACGGTTATTTTTGTTCTTTTCTTTAGGCGAAATGTTCCAGATTTATGGTTACGAACCCGCTGACTAGTGAGAGAATAAATTTACGTCGCCACCAAATTGGAAATTCAAAAAACCTTGTTCTAAAGCTTCGAAAACAACGATTTTACAAGATTTTCGATGATTCCAATTTTTGCGCGTTCTTTTCCTTCCAATGGCGTTTTTTTGCCATCTCGGTTTTGGCCCCGGGCGCCCTAGGCAGCGACTTATTAAGAAATGGCCATGGCGGCCTACGTCGGTTTAGAAATGTAAACGTTTGAAAACGCTTAGGGGCGCCATTTCTCCACCTCTGTAGTAACACAGTGGTCGTAGGCCAACACTAATGACAGCTAGATTTTTGTTAAAAACAGTACGATTAAAATGACTACAATAAACACTCTGGACACTTCTAAGACATGACGACGAAAATTGTATGATCCCGTCAAAAACTAAGAAAGTACATTCAATCAAAAAGATTGCTGTAACAGCTTTTGAAAATGGCTTTTTTTTCTAAAAAATCAAATTTAAGCAGAAGCAAGTCTATGGAAACAGAGAAACTGACCGCAAGAAGAGCACTACAATCACTACTAATTTCTAACACTGTAGTGTTCATATTTGAAAAAATTGATGATTTGAAAAAAGCTGTTAAAAAAACAGTTTATTGACCCCGTTATCAGATGATGGCAAAAACGCTGAAAAAAAGGCCAGTATGAGCCGCGCAGGCTTGTGCGTCAGACCGGGCTCAAGGCCTCATTTTTGAGAAAAAGTCTGCGCGGTCTTGGGACGGGATGGGCTTCGGAGAAAAATTGAAATTTCATTAAAAAATTTTTCACTTGAAACATCATAGTTTTTGTGGAACTCCTAGTGAAAAAATAAGCAAAAACGTGACTTTTGTCGTACAAAACTTGATATTCGACTAGGAAAAAATTGCGCTTTTGAGCCGGGACTGCCATTTTTTTTAAAGACCTCCTCCCTACTAAGGCCGGGTCGGGATTAGAAAATGGCCGGGGCCAAGAGGCTGACGGACCGGCCCTCGCACAAGACTGAAGCCGCGATAACAAGTTCTTGGTGAAGCGAATTTTCTCTAGACTTTTTAATTTAAAAAAAATTCAGCGATTCTTATGAATGTTACGCTTGTCTTTTTCTTATTTTTTTTGTGTGGTTGTACGCCATCCTATCCTGATATCATTGATAATCAGTGAACTATCTCTACTGAAATATCCGCCCTGGTCGTTGACAGTTTAGGATTGTGGAGCCGTGGTTTCCCACTTCCAAAACTCCTTGAGCTGGTTTCTGGTTGAGTCGCGGTGAGGATCGTACTCTTGACCCTTTGAACCGTAGACAGACAAAAATTAATAACCTGTTGCGCTACAGCTCGCCGCTATGACTAACACTCTTGTAGTATTTTTAATAACAACGCTAGCACAAAACGTGCCACTCAGTTTTAAAAAGGACTTGGTTTAATGGTTACAGAGATCAGGCGATTAAAAACAACACTGAATCAAAGATAGTTCCTATCCTTCTGGGATATTTGAAATTGAGAATTGTGCGTATAGAGTTAAATGCAGCGAGAGCATTTTTGTAGAAAATTGCGGACCAAAAACGGTAACTCGCGCGGTAATACATTGCCGTATCTGTTTTTAAATAATCTCAAAATTAAGATAGAACTACTCTACAATAAGCCGAATGAAAAACTCGCAACAGATATCCAAAATAAATTTAAACGGAAAAACTAGTTGAGCCGGCCTAGCTGACCCCAGTACGTTGCCATACACGGTGTTAGTTATGCCGAAACAGCGCAACAAAAAAAAAGAAAAAGAAAAGAAGAAACCGGTTGTTGTGGTCCAGTTATTTGTACGTAGAAGAGAGGGAGGTGGAAGGCTAAGCCCTCTCGGCCGTGATCCCATGCATATATGTCCACTTTTGGTCATGCTACCACTACTACGGTTGTCCTCCTGTAAATAATGCCTGCGGCGACAGCGACGTGCTGTGGAACCGGTCGTGCGGTCATCCGTCGCCGCCTCTCTGGACGCTTTCAGCTATTACGCTTGAGCTTGTTTCTTCGGTGCCCTCATGGCTGCCCTTGAAAGTTTCGAAAGAGATTCCTCTGGTTTCTTTTCTTATCCAGCTTTTCATTCTCTTGGTTCAATCTGAAGCCTTATTTGAGTTCAAAATGAATCATTTCTTTTGAACGCAGAGAACTGTTGTTAGTTTTTTTTTGAAAGCGTGCAGCCTTATAAAGAAACAGTAATTTTGAGAAAAAAAAACTATTGAAAATTCATCATGCAAATTTTTTTGCCGGACTACCACAAGCGTTGCTTAGTTACTTAACTCCTCAGGAAAAAAATTTATTCTCTACCTCTTCTTGTTCTTCTTTATCTTGGTTATCAGTCCAGAGAACATAAGTTTCATTTTAATAGAAAAAAAGTTTTTCAAAATGAAAAATTCCCAGAAACCTCTGTCTATCTGAACTTAAATAACCCAAAATTTTCTAGAACTTCCAAAATAAAAATCCAGTTTGATGATCTCGCCGTGTGACGACACACCCTCACGCACCTACCGTCTCTTTTTTTCCATATTATTAAAGCTAGCTATATTTATCACTTCAATGACCAAAAGCAAAGCAATTACTGCCACCAATGTGCGTAATGCGATATCGAAATTATCTGTCAGTTGGCTCCCGCGAGACCTTTTAAAATCTACCGTCTTCTTACGTGTTCAGTAAATTTCTCTTGTTCAGTCATTTTTCGTCGAAAATTTTCCTTTTTTTTTTTTAAATTTTTTTTTGCAAAATCAGCTTTGTTATTTACAGAAAATAACTAGCAGAAAGACCATGACTTGAATAAAAACAGTTCAATGAACTTAAAGGCATAGGGGCAGTAAAAAATGGGGTTTCAGGTGAAAGCAGTATCTTATATAGTTTTTCATTGCGAATCGAGTGGTGTACTCAAAAAAATTACAGATGTGACAACTTTAGAAGAAAAACGCGATTTTCCTTTCCCGCCTTTAATTTTGAAAAAAGCTTTGGATCGGTATGCAGACAACTGTTTACAGTAGCTGTGCACGCGATGTTGCGGACGTGCCAATAGACTCGCATTTTGTGAGAAATAACCGGATATCTGCTTCAAATTAAGGGTTTCTTCTCTGAAAAGTCGATTAAGAAAACAGAAAACACACATTGATAATAAAGAAAACACAAAATATCGCTATCCCCATCGAAACCTGTGTAAAATCATCATTTTTCACCAGAGAAGCATTTTTGCGATCAAAGTTTGCAAATTTAACATGAATATAAAGATTTTGTGACAAAAAGAACTTTGGTGACAACAGAAAAAATTAAAAATTGAAAGCGACAAAGAAAAAAGCGAAATTCCGAAAAATGGCGAAGCCTGTTGTCCATAGAGCAACTTTACTGCAAAGCGCCCTTTTCGCGGGAACTCAAGCTTTCCTTTCTCCGACTTTGAATTATTTTTTCTTCAAAACTAGGAACTTCTGTACGTTTTCAAGTTTACCGTTCGATTCGCAATGAAAAGCTCTACAAAATACTGCTTTGAACTGAAACACCGTTTTTTACTGCCCCTATGCCTTTAAACTCAAATCATGATGCGGTGTCTCATAAAAAGAGACGTGTTTTGCAACTCACTTTTCCGAGCATGGTCTCCATAACTTCTCAAAACTTCAAGTCTAAAACGATACAAATCTACCCATATATGTTCACGACACACCGCTATCTAGTTGAAGTCTTGTTAACAAAGTTTCTTCAACGTCTCCTACATTTTGAAAATCTTACAGACTTTGGGCGAATCGTGCTCGTCAGTAGCCGAACAACCAGCGGCGTTGGATTTTTCGAGGTCGGCACCGACGTCGGACGTGCTGGCGACGGCGGCGGCGGCGCTCCAGCAGCAGACTGCGGCGCTGCTCGCCGCCGGTCAACCGCAGCAGCAACACCCGTCGTCGGCGCCGGGCACACCAAATCTTAGCGGCTTCAATCCCGCCATCATGGCTGCACAGATGGGCGTCTTCAACAATCAACACCTTATCGCCATGATGCAGGTTTCGAAATTTAAAAAAAATACATTATCATAAATATCTTCTGAGAAATGAGGAGGTTCCAATAAAGAGTCTTCTTTCTTCAAATTTTCTCAAAGAATCTTCAACACCGCTGCTATTTAGGATTCATAGATTGTTCTAAGAGTGCTCAAAAAATTTTTCAGAAAGGAGTTCAATCTTTCTTTGTTAGTTTTAAAGTAGGTAAGCTTGCAAAAGAGGTTTTTTGAGGCTTCATTTGATTTCCTGATGCTACCTGGAGTAATGAGAATCTGGCCATGCAATGTAATAAGGAAAATTTTCTGAGTATTTCACAAATAATATCGAGCCTCAAAAATGTTTACAGCATTTGACCTTGAGGACCTACAAGTTTTTGAGTTTCGTCTAAAATTTAACCGAATCAATGGAAGAATAATTAGTTTGGAGCTTTGTATTGCTCTTGTAGATAAAAAAAAGCATTTTTCTAGCTTTCTAATCATGAAATCTTCTGCCGAGACTTAATTTAATTCAATTCAGTTACAATTACAAATCTTTAAATATTCCCCTAAGTAAAAAATTGTTTTGACAAATTACAATTTTTATCCTACAAAACAATTAGAATAAAGCTTCTCATTATTATTCTACAAGGCCATCGACTTCCCCGAAGACGCGAGGAAATCCAGATTGTAAGAAGAAAAAAGTGGGAGAAATTTCTAGTAAACTCTTGAATTGAGAAAGGTTGTTAACCTCGAAGTTTTCTTTGTTCCGGGGGTCATTCGGGCCCGACGGAAATGTCATTTCTTGCAATTTTTTGGACGTTCTATGATATTTTTGTTTCAGAACTCTATCAAGTCACAAAAAGTTTTGCAAACTTGAAAACCAAGTTTTGTTTTGTAAAGTTTCTGTTTTATGAATTCTTAGCTACCAAAGCCTTGAACCAACGACCCATGACTGAAATAACTGTCTTTATGAATACAAAAAAGACTATAGTTGTTACAGAGAAATATCTCAAGCTGTATAAAAATTTCCATGTATCTTTTCAAGAATCGTACTAACATAGTAATGAACAGCATTCTCAACCTTTTTTTCCTGCGAAAAAGTGGAATTTTTTGTGAGCCATCGAAACTAATGTAAAAAGCTAGAGCTCATCCGAGCCGAAAATACTCAAAACATCCACTGAGGACGTCACAAACGTATGAAGATCTTCTGTCTCTCGCCAACCGTTTCTTATTTTTCTTCCTAGACTTCAAAAAAAAGCCAAGGAAAAAAATTTTTGCTCTATGGCGTATGGAGGCCCTTCTTCTGATCATAATTCTTTGGAGGTGGAATTCCAGCTAACTTCATTTCCTTTGTTTCTCTCCTTTTGATTCAAAGATGATGTTATAATCTTCACTGAAGATTTACTTTTTTTAAACCAGAGATTAAGATTCTGTGAATCAAAAGCGCGTTCTTCACTTATTTTACTTCGATTAGAGGTTTTTATAACATTGTTTCATTAAAAGTTAAACTTGAAAAAGCTTTGACTTTGATGAAATTCCGAAAAATTTGATCTTTCAACTTCTGCTCTCAATTTATGTTAAAGAATCATATTTTACAGGCAGCCGCAGCTAGAACACCTATGATGGGTCCGCCACGTGGCGTCGTCACTCCTCAGCTTATGCCGAACATTTTGCAGCACCTGAACGCCTTGAGATCAGCTCAGGTATATTTTCATCAATGAACCGATGAAACATACTTTAAAAGTTGTTGTGGTTGATAAATGTGAAAATCGATGAGCTTGATGGAGCAATTTGCTCTAAGATATTGTTTTGGAATCTCCGAAATTTTTAAAAGATCAAACAGGGCACGCGAATTACTTGCTTTTTGGTCGGAAAGTCGGCCTCATTATCCCCGAGACGGCGAAATTCGAGCGATTTTTCATGAATCTCTCTGCACTCTCTTGTTGCTCATCGAATTTTCTTTTTAGTCGTACCTATTTTCGGAAATGATATGAAAAGAGAGAAAAGAACCTAATGATAACACATGCATTAAAGAACTTTCGAAACAGGAGAAGGGAACTTTTTCATGTCTTTTATTGAGGGCTTTTTTTTTTGAATGTTTCCATGTATAGCCTGATCGGAATTTTTATCGGAAAGGTTCAATAAACATTCAAAAATTCAACAGGAAACACTCACTGATCGCACAGTGATGAAAAGGGTCTGAGAAAATAGAAATGAATGTGCGAAACGTATTTGAAATATGAATGTATATCATCTCTAACTTTTCTAAACTCCTCAATCCTTCGAGGCCAATATTTTTTGCTCAAGGAAACTCGCTTAATTTTGAAAAAAAAAATGAAAGCTCTCTTGCATACTTTGTTTTACGTCGTAGATATGTTCACAAACACTCAGATTGAATCTCGAATATTCAAAGAAGGAAAAGAGTCGAGTGGGGTCAATCGGTTGGCGCCAAAAAAGGTGTTGTTATCTTGATTTCGAGGTCGTGTGCCGAAGGTCACCTTTGCACCCAGCGTGAACATTTTTCCTCAAAGAAAGACAAGCGCCACCCCAACCAGCCTTCCTTTTACTTTATCGCCCGTCAACTAAACCGGTTCGATTTGGCGATCCTATTCTTTTTTCTCCTTACCTTTAGCCTTTCCATGCTGGGTCCGCTCGACCTTTCAAAAAGAGCCTATGCTGGAACAACCTTGGCATGCCGCCAGCCGCCAGACGTCTACCATCTTTCCCCTCTATCCTTTTCTTCTTTCATTCATTTCAAGTGTTTATTCGCCATTCCGCAATCAGCACGACAAATACAAAAAAAAAATAAAACATCAAGACAATCAAATAAATCTAACAGCTGATCTGTGGAAACTTTATCTCCTTTCCTTTTTTCTTGAATTCCTGTCTTTAATTTTCATCCCCAGGCAGCGCTTTTTAGTGTTGATAGTCATAAAAATTATAATTCAAAGTTCTGGATACTACTGGAGATTTTTTGTGTCTTTTTCTTCCTTCACCTGTTTTCTTGAAAATCACAGAATCTATTATTAATCATCGAATCTTTGCTATTATCTACCTTTTTCCATTATAACAACAACTGTCCAACGTGGGGCTCTTCAACTTTTGTTCCTATTAAATTTCCTTTTATTCTCTCCTAACAAGGGAGGTCATTTTACCTTGCGGTTGGGAACTTCCTGAAATTTGACCAGAACACTCCTTGATGTATCAGAAGGTAAATCTGTGAGCCTCAACCTGCGCAACTTCCTAGTTTTCGAGAAATGAGCGCTCAAGTTCTCAAAATGGCCTATTTTAACGTCTTTTAGTGTTTTCTTCGACTTTAAGGTGTCCTTTTCTAAAAACTGAGTAGTTGTGCAGGTTAAGTCTTCCAGGGTCTTCTTCTGGTACATCAAGAAGTGTTTTGACCAATTTCCAAAGAATTCCCGACCGCAAAGTAGAATGACTTCCCATGTAAGGCCTTAGGCCAAACGACTCCTCAAACTTTTTCATCGGCTGACTAATCTTGAAAGAACGAAGAAAATTATCACTCACTACAATTTAAAAACTTCGAAGACTTTCTGAGCTTTTGCGCGTGCTGGCAAGTTTATCAAGCTGACAAGGCCGAGCCCTTTGACATTAGTCGACGTTTGGTTGGAGACTTTTCTCATTGGTTTCAAGACGTTGCCACGGACGACCCGCTCTAACGACGTAAAAGGTCGCGCCGCCCACGTCGTTTGAACACCGAACGAGTACTACCTGAAGGCTTCTCTCGCCTTTGTAATTAGGCTTGCACTGAAAAATTGCTGTACTCTTTTCTTTTTTAAAAATTGCTGTACTGCTCGAAACAGAATTTTTTAAAGATCAAACAAAAAGCAACGAAACTTAAGACAGAACTATAAATTGCAACTTAACTTTAGTGAAGTTTTAAGAGCAAACATAATTTCTATCAACAAAGGCATAAACATAAAATAATTGAAAAGCACCTTGGATGTTACTGAACAGTCACAGAAAGTATATTGTAGCCTTCTTCAAAATTATCTGAAAAATCTTTCTGTTTTTTTCAGTCACTTCTTAATGAAAAATTTCTGACTTTTGTGAATTTTTTCTCAACATTTTCCTACCGTTTTAAAAAAGAACATATCTAACAAAAATTTTTCAAAAAGGCTTTGCAAGAATTCTAATTAGAAAGTATTCAAATCAATTTTAGGAGATATCTAAATTTTTTCGAAGATTTCGTTATATTCAATAGCTTCGGCTTAATAAGCTTTCACAGAAATTTTTTCAAAAGAAAAATTAGTACTTTTAGGTAGAGTAGTAATAATAAATTGTTTTTCCTATTTGAAAGACGATGTGGGTAGATCGGCAAGGGTGCTTTTTATGCGTACTCGACGCGGCTTTTTGACGGGAAACTCCAAATCAAACGCGAATCAACTTTTCAAAAATGATAATAATAATTTGAAATGTCGGTGTGAAATTAATGTAGATCTAAAATTTGAGAGGATCACTATATAACTTGACATCATTTGAGTCTAGGAGAAGCAGCTTTCAACTGTTTTGTTTTCCATTTTTTTTTTAGTTAGTTCTTCAAAGATCATTTATTTTTTCTAAATTTTTTGACGATTACGTTTGACCTCGAGTTTTTCGCCTAAGACGGCCTAGAAAGTATTGACTATATGTCCTTCAAAAAAAAATGTATTGACATGTGTAGAAAGACACAGTTTGAACTCGAACTCGGAGTAACTTTGCTGAGAAGCACTTTCACGTCTTCTTGTTCCAGAACTTTTTTTCGTTCAGCGGAATTATAGCGCCTCAAAATTTGGGTGCAAGAAATGGCTTTGGATGCAAGAGAAGTTGCCATTGCTTTCGTCTTGTTCTGAAATCAGAAGACCTGGAAGCGTTTCTCAGCAAAGTTTCATCAGGTTCTCAAACTATATATTGTATGCTTCCCTTTTGATTCTAATAGAAAACCAGCTTCCAACGTTTTTTAATGCATGAGAGCGGAAAAAGTTGATAAAAAATGTTTGGAGATGTTATTCAAAGAGCGCCGAAAGCGGTCAAAGAAATACCCCACATATTTATGAAAAGATTGGTGTTTTATATTGTCCAAGAATTATAAAAAGCTAATCCGTTCAAGAGACCGATAAATCTTGTCTTGTGTTTTTCTTTTGCACAAAGTCCGAGTTTTCGTTTATTGTGGCAAAGAAAAACAACATATATATATATGGGAAGCTAAGACATGAATCGATAAGCAGCTGATAAGCAGCCTCCTGTTTTTGGGAATGCTCCTTTTTTTCTCTCGCAGATAATTACTTTTTCGATTGTTTCTTCAAAGTTTATAGCGCAATAGCTATGATTGAATGGATTAGAAAAAAAACCAATCACCTCAAAATCTTCAAATTAATAATCATTAAGCTGTTAGTTAGGTCATGCCGAAATCAGCTTCTTGAGTTCAAAGCGCCATTTTTAGTAATTTCAAGTCGAAAAAAAAGTCCCCACCACCAAACTCTGTCAAAATTTGATTCATCTAATATACACGCATATGAATTTCACACACAAAGATACGAAAAGACTGGCAGACACATCGATTCCGTTCTGTTCTTCATTCCACTGGCGTATACATATATACAGGAGAGGACACCCGAATGAGAGAGACGAGAGAAAAGACCTTATTGCCAGCCATCTGTGTGTATCTGGTGTGTGTGCGTGTGTGTGTGTGGCCTTTGACCCTGACCTCAACTCACCTCGGCAGCGATAGAAGGTTTAGTGAGGAGCGCAAGTTGAGTGGAAAAAGGGCTCCGCCCACCCAGAAGGTGTGTCTCTTATGTATTATTTTTCCTTTGGTAAGGGTTAGTTGAGGTCATGGCCGTTTCTGTTTGATTCAAACCCATCTTCTTTTTTTCCTTGTTTCAAGTTTCCGTCAAAAGATTACCTAGTAAAGAATATGCTTTCAAGTTTTTCGCGTTTCATTTTTCCAAAATTATTTTTATTCCCAGCCAATACATTCAACTTTATCTGGGGAACCGGCTGCACACGTCATCTTTCGAATACAAAAAACTGATAAAAGTGACTCCCACTCACTTTTATTCTGTTTTTTTTTGTATTTTTTCCCAAGCTGATTGCTCTCCCATAAAGTGGGGATATGTGACCTTTTTCATCCTTGATGTTATTTTTCCGATCTTTCGGCACCACGTGCTGCCCTGGTGCGCAGTAGATTTTGCCTTTTTCGAAAGCTAAAATAGATTTCGAAAGAAGGAAAATGTGTACTTTGTTTTAAATAGAATTAACTTCTTAGATTTTCCATGACAAACACTGAAAAAAAGACCAATTTAGAATCATACGAAATAGAAAAAGTTTGATTAGATCTTTTTTTCTTCAAAACCTGCGATTTTAGAAACGGAAAATCAATAAAAACAAAACCAGGTTAACTAATGTTTCATCAAAGGGAAAAGCCAATATGAAATAGTGCTAACATCTGCCATCTTGTCCGCAAATCTCATAATAATACTCTTCACATTCCCCTTTAATGTTTCAAAGTATTATTCAATGGCTTATAAGGTTGGCAAACATTTTCTATCGAAGTTCATTCATCTTGATAACTCTGTTTGCATTTGATATATTTTCCGATTCTTAATAGATTGAATCAAAAATAGGAAAACTATTTTTGGGAGAAGAACAATTTGAAAAAAAAAATCACAACTTGAATTTTAGAAGTCTCTAATCCATAATGATTAGAGCGAAAAATAAACAAAACAAGGTATAAAAGAAGCCTCCAGTATTTTTGTTTCCAGGAAAAAAAAGGGAAATTCAAACGCCAAAAAGCGTCGAAATTTTTTTAGATTTCTGATTTTGAAGGTGCTCAAATTTTGAACCGCTTTAAAAAAACATTTAGTGAAACTGAAAAATCGAGGCTATAAAAGGACACCCAGTCCGTATAAAACGCTGAGGATTGGTTGGAAGGGGTGACGGGGCCTACGTCGTCATGTAAATTGACCCTCCGGCCAGCCGACTCTTTTTTTTCTGCGACCGCTGCCGCCGTTATAATTCGACCTCCTGAAGTTTTCTCTTCTAAACTCATTTAAATAATGTTAATTTGTTAAGCCTGATGCCTGGCACATCTAAAAAACCTTTCAAAGGGTTGGATTTGATTTTAACTTACACAATCTTTTTATTATTTGACGCAGTCTAAAGAGGGTCCGACCTCTGCCAAGACGTAACCAAGAATATTTAGAAGTTTTGGTAGTGGTGAACCACGGCTCCATAATCCCCAGACGTCATTCAAAGACGGATATGTCACTAGAGCCAGTCCACTGATTACCATTGATATAATTAAAGTATCTTGTCTATCATCGATTTAGGCCGCCGTCGCCGCTAAGCAGTAAAAAAAATTAGAAGAAATCAAAATCAATAAGTTGTTAAAAAATAACTACAGAATTAGTATCAAATTCATCAAAATGTTCTCCGAAATTTCAAATAAAAAAGCGAGAGAAAAAATGCAGAAGGGTTAATTATTTCTGAAATATACATCCGAGTTGTTTTTTGTTTTTCCCTACGGGGCATTTCTCATTTCATTCGAGGCTTCACCTCCGCCGCCGCTGCCTAAACTCACTTTTTTTTTGTTAACCTTTTTGTTTGTCTTAATAGTATCCATTATATACAAAAGATGACATCGATTTGATTGATGAAACAAAATTTAAGAAAAGTTCTGCTATGTGTTGCTCTCCAACAAAACATCACAATGAATTCCCCTCAGCGCGTTCTCGAATACAATCGTTTTTCACATTTTCCGAAAAAGAAAACCATTTCAGTTCCACTATAATTCACATCTAATATTACAGATATCGAATGCCAACGCGATGACGGGTCTACAGCGAATCGCCAGTCCGAGGACTCTCACTGCCGGTAAATTTTGTTGGTTTTGAAGATCCGAGATAGCTCGATGTCAAAGAGTATGTCGAAGATTAATCTTCTTCCGCCATCAAGGGCTTTTTCAATCTATCAATAAAAATAAAAAGGCAGCGGAAATTACTTTCAACACAGCAGGAACATATCACGAGCGTTAATTTTCAACAAGATAAAACAAGAATTCAGCCGAGTTGAACCGAGAAAATTGCGGCGAATTGTGTGTTGTCTGTGGCGACAAAGCATCGGGTCGGCACTACGGCGCCGTTTCTTGTGAAGGCTGCAAGGGGTTCTTCAAGCGTTCGATCCGGAAGCAGGTAGTCATTTACTTCCTTATAAACTTCTTTCAAACTTAGAAATCACCGCAAGAACTCAAAAAAGATCCATTATCTGCAACTTTTTTTATAATTTGAGCATTCATATGTTTCAACAACAAAAAAACTAGTCAAAATTTTTCCCATTTATTTTTTCTGTGTACGTCACAATTCGTCTGAACACCTAGTTTCTAAACGGAATCAGCGTATATGACTTGGTGAGCTTGGACTTTAAAAATGAATCCGAAATTCTAAGTTTTTAAAAGGCACTTCTATAGTCAAACTTTGAATGGTTTGACTTCCAAGGAAGCATAAAATAGGTGAGACAAGCGCCTGTTGGAAACTTCCCCATTTAAAAACTCTTAAAGTTTCTGACTCGAAATTTAAAAAATGTTTTTTTATTGAGTTTTTTTAAGATTAGTTGTTCGATGTTAAAACTCCCTAGAAAAAAACGATGAAACTATGAAGTGAAAAAGAAGCAACCTATGACAAGTAGTAACTACACGTAAAATTTAAGATAATATTTTTCTTATTTCTCTTAACAAAATTCATTGAAAAAACGTGAACAGTTCATACAGATTGGCTACATTTGCCGAAGCTCCAAAGACTGTCCGGTAACCAAGTTCCACCGCAATCGATGTCAGTATTGCCGGCTGAAGAAGTGCCTAGCCATGGGTATGCGGAGCGAATGTAAGTTTTTTCCTTCTTTTTTTTACAAGGAAAATGTATTTATATACATGATATTTTTAATTCCAGCAGTCCAAGCAGAGCGACGTCCCGTTCAGCAGTCGAGCAGCGAGTCGCCACCGACTATGATCACGCAAACGCCGCGAGCAATTACAGTATAATTTTGAATCTCTTGGGAGTTAATATTTTCTAACTTGGCTCACGAACTTCAAAAATCAACAATTAATACTTTAAGACAAAAAGTAAAAAATTAATCAATAGTTTTCATCTGATAGTTTTCACGAAAAAAAAGCGGAAATGAAATAATAAACAATTTTGATGAGAAAGTCACATGCTACTGTAGTCTGTGTGCCACGACTTGAAATTTCGCCGAACGACATTCCGCTGCGTGCGTTCGCGAAGCGTCTTTCAAATCTAGGTTACGCTTTCAATTGAATGGTATTGCTGTGGTAGCACATAAAAGTAAAGTACCTTAATAAAAGAAAAAAAAATCAAAAGCGCGACCAAGGTTCGCAAAGGCGCACAGCGGCACAGCGGAATGTCGTTCGGTGAAATTCAAGTCGTGGCACAGAGACTATACGGTGAAATGAAAAATTTTAAGACTCATTTATACATGAATTAGAAGTAAAAAGGGAAAATTTAGCCTCTCAATGCGGGAATAATGAACGGACTACTGGCATTGGCCAATATTGATCCGGATGATAACAATGCCACCAAGCATCACGAGCAGATGAACTCGAGCTCTCCGATGAGTAACCGTCCCTGCTCTCCATCTACCGAGTTCCCCATAAAAAGAGTTCGAGTTTGTCTCGTAGACTCTAATGACATTCATCTGCCAGGAATCGATAGGAGAAGACGAATCAGGCCTGGACATGATGACGGTGATTGGCTTAGTGCCGTCGGCGTCACCGACGTCGAGCGGTGCTGGTTCGGCTTCCTCTCTCAGCGATGAGTCTGGTCCAATATTCAACGCCGAGGTTCGAAATTCAGCGTCTGCGGATAATCCCTAGCGCATTTTCTGCAGCGAAGTCGATTCGAAGTGCCGATTCCGGTGTCGCCGCCCTCCCAGTTCAACATCCAGTACATTTGCGAGACTGCCAGCCGCCTTCTGTTCCTCTCCGTACATTGGATCAAAGACGTCCGGATGAGCTTAAGGTTTTAACTTGCCTTTATCGTATCACTCCAGATGTCTTGTCGATTGCGAGGGCTTGAGACATGATTTTTTTTTTCCGTTTACAAGGGAGGTACAGAGGTCTTGATGAAGATCCCACATAGTGACTACCTGCGCGAACTCTTAGTTTATGGAATATGATTTTTCAAAGTAGCGGAATATAAGTTCTAAGCCTAATTTTTTGAACTCCAAAAATAATTATCTCGAAAACTAGAAGCTGGCGCGCGTTGCAACTTTGATGGACCTTCAGAGATTGTCTGAGCAAATTTGTAAAAATAATTCCAAGTCGCAAAGAAGAATGACTTCCTTGTGGGGTCTAAATTTGCGTTGAACGCGAGCTTTGAAAACTAATACCTCAAATACTGGAAGTTTGCGCAGGTAGCGACTGTGAGAGATCTTCCCTTAGAAATTCAGAGAGTTTTTGAGCAAATTTGTACAAAATTCCAAACCGAGAAGTAGAACGACTTCAAGCCAAAAAAGAACTGAAACCAACCAAAAGAGGTTGAAAAACAGCTTTCGATTTTAAAACCGCAATTTTTATTTTGAAAAAGAGCAGGGTTCAGATCGACGAGTCTGGAAGCAGTTATGAAGAACAAGTGGTGCGACATTTTCGTGTTAGGCTTGATGCAATCAGCAGACAGCATTCGGCTCGTCAGCATGCTCGAGGCGATGAATAGTCATTTGGCTGCTTGTGTCGATATGGGTCTGTGGTAATTCGTTAGAAAAAGTACAGCCGAGGTTTCACGTGTTAGAAGATTTTTTTGTTTTCAATCAATGGTTTTATGAATAAGTGACCCCTGTAAAAACTCCAGTCCAAGCGAAACAGTTTCCAATGACTGTAAAAAAGTCAAAATCATCGAAAAGAACCGCTAAGCTTGTGACCTACGAAATAAGAGAAGATATAAAAACTCTTAGAAACGCCCTTAAGGTATTTCCCCAGTAGTCTTAGAGAAACCTCTGTCGGTAGGAGCTTGGATTTTTTTCCAGTATTGATATCCTAAAATAGAGAACAGCGTTTTTTTTTTTCATCTTGGTGAGATCTTAAACTAGAACCCCATAAAAACGAATCTTCAGGTCAACTTAACGCGGAAAAGTTCGAGAAGGTCAGCGAGCAAATGCAGAGACTGATTCAGTTGGCACGGATGTTCGACCAGAAAAGCTTAACCTCGGTCGAATATGCCTACCTCAAGCTTATCTCCTTCACTTGCGAAGGTTTCTCTTTGTCAGAATCAGAAAGTCAAGAATATGCACACTAAATCTAAAAATTACCAACTTGAGAAAGCCTTGAGAACTTTAAACTGAAACAAAACTTTTTTTTCAACAAGCTTTTATTATATTAAAAAAAATAGTATTATCTCATTCCTACCTCCCAAGTGGTCGGTCTTTATTTCTGCTCTCGTCTGAGATTCGATCCGACGCCCGTCAGCCCCGGACAACCTAGGCGGCGCAATATTCCTACATGGAGAAGCAGTGATCCTCAGAACGCTAAAAACTTGTCTACTACTTTCCCAAATAAGACGCGATGATCTTCGCGACGTTTTTGATCAACGAAATTCTCGCGAAGCAAAAAAAAGTTCTCAAAAAATTTTTCTTCGGAGATTAATTTAATTTGTAAAAAATTTGTAAAAAAAATAGATCAAAATAATCATTTACATCTATTCTTCTCTGAGTTCGAGTTCTAAGCAAAACTTTATGAAAGGCGGGGTTTTTTCCTGTCACCCACGAAAACTGTTTTTTAGATCTTCCAACGTCCACGAGCACTCCTGAAATGCAGCAGGTGAACGTTACGGCTTGCCAAGAGCTTTATGATCACATCACCACCAACTCAATCGTCAATTCCGATGATTCGACGTCAGAAGACAACGAGACGCACATCACCGGCCACAATGGTGTTGTGGCTGTTGAGAGGTACATTGTTATTTTCCACTGGAAAATGTTTAAACACCGGCTCAACTCATTTTTTCGCCTTTCAAACGAAATTTAAAAAGCTAAATTCGGCTATTCGATAATCTTGACTTTAAATATCATCATGCATTGTTTCAACGCACAGAACTCTATCATGGTTTTTGAGCGAAAATTCGTCAAGGACCCAACTTTTTTTTTCCAAATTTTTGTTCTTACAGATACTCAAGATTGCTTCAACTTCTTCCATGCCTACGGTGGTTCGATCCAACAGTGATCGTTGAGCTATTTTTCTCAGGTTTGTGAGCAATTATCCATTTATTAACTGATTTTCTACATTAATAATACTGGAAATCAGATTTAAAAAAATAATGAACTGTCTAACTAGAAGCTGAATACTACGAATACTTTCCTTTTCAAAAACAATGAAAATCTATCAAACAAAAAAAACTAATCAGTTAGTATTGTTTTTAAAAATCTATTAAACAAATAAAACCAAACTTCATTGTAGGTTTACTGGGCCAAATGTCAATCGAGACGGTGATTCCGTTCGTTCTCCAGATGAACGTGATGAACATTTTCGAGAACCCGACGTCATCCGACTCCTTATCATCTTCTTCAACTTCCGAGATGATCACGTCACAATAACCCCTTCCACAAATCAATCCCGACACTCAACAAAACCAAAGGCCACACAAACAACGCGGTTACAGTAGCTATCCAATAACTACTGTAAACCATACCTCTGCCTTCTAATATGTATTATATCAGATTTGAAATTGTACATTTTCTCCCGATCAAATATTATACTGTTGTGATGAATCTATCTATCTCCACTACTGACTCTCCACGATCAAATTCAAGTGCTTTCAAACCGTTTTTCAATCATTTTTTTTAGTGTTTTTCTAAGGGGTTTTATTTTATTTTTTCCCAATCAAATTTTTTTCAAGTTCTGAGAGCTTGCAGCAAATGGAAACCTCGAACTCGTTTTCCTCTTTACGAGAATTTTCAGAACCAAGAACCGGATCTTTAAAAATACAACCTCTTGGGACGTCATAGTTTTTTTATTTATTGGGTTTTCTTTTATTCTTGTTCGTCTACGTTTGTTGTTGTTCATTTTAGTTACTCTAGCTTTCTCGAAAAGTTTATTTCAAGATAATTTTATGATAGAGTTGTATTTTAAATCCCAGTGTCTCTCCAATTCCGTACCGCCACGCACTCCGGTGTGACCTTTTCCTTGCACAAATTAAATTATTTCTCAACTATTTTGCTATAATTCTTGTATCATCTAATTATTAATTTTTCGATGCGCAATAATACTATTTGCTCCTCTATCAAACAAACCATCAAAAAACACGTATACGTCACTTGCCACATTCAGAACTTCTTTTTTCTCCTACACATTTGGGTGGTTATAACTTTTTTTTTGCTTTCTCTATTTTTACATTCTTTGGGCTTTATTTCAAGCTTTATAGGCCTTTCATGCTCCTCAAAAATCTTTCATTCTGTCTGCTATTTCTCGGTTGCTCGATCGATTGTTTTTTTATACTGCGGGTTGAGAGACTGTGGGGAAGCTCTTCTGAAAGTCGAGAAAGAAATATAGAAACTTTAAAAAATACTTTCAATGTAGATAACTTCATACAACGAAAAAGAATTTTTAAAAAGTTTCCGCAATTTCTCAAGAATAAATCCTTTCAAAGTCGATAGTTCCAGGATCATTTGGTTACTCTAAAAAAATTTGATTCCATTTTTTTCATGACGTACTTTAAAAACTTCCGAAAGAAAAAAATTCTTTAACTTGAGGCCTTCTTTGAATCCCTAGAAGCTTCACTACACGATTTCAACCACAATGATGTCAAACCCATTACTGTTAGGCTCAAATTCATCCTTTTCTTCGAATATTTATTTTTTGAAAATGATCTGCCAACTTTAACCGTGCAATCCGTCGTTCACCGTCTCAGCTCGCTCGCATTTATTTTTCTATTCATTTCTTATCAATACGTTCCTTGATGGTTAGTTGTTTCCCCGGATAGATTTCTTGTTTCGCGCCTCGCTAGTATTGAATTACTTTCATGATATAGTGAAGATCGATTTCTATCGCAACCACCATAAAAACGATTTTCGTAGACATGAATATAAACCAACACGTAAATATAGTCAATTTTTTTCCCGACTTGAAAAACGAGGGAGGCGGGGAAGAGGGCGGGACCCGTAGCGTTGGCGTTCGCAGTTCTTGGCACACGTCCAATTCAACCGCCAGCGACTATTTGGAGAGCTGTTTATCCCATGCTTTCAACTTGAACTTCTAGTTCGCCAAAGGCGGTTGTTCGTTATAGCTTGAAAAAGTCCTTGTTCACCGCCTAATCGATTAAATCTGTCTAAAACAACAAAAATAAAAATATTATATTTGATTTAAAACGAGGCAAATATTGAGTATGTTAATAAAAAAACGGTCAAAAAAAGCCAATCGGTCCAACTTTTTTTCAAAAAGAGCCCAGTCATACAGCTGCTTGATACAAAAGAGTTGCAAAATAAATAAAAAAAATAAAAATGCAGTAGGTCGAAGAATTGGAGTTCTAAGAGACATGGTAAGCTAATTAAAGACTTATAGTCTGTTTAGATTTTTAATGTCAAGTGCAATGACGTCATTCAAAAACACTCTGTAGATGGCTCGCTCTCTGATTGGTTTATCGCACCATTAGGGGCGGAGCTTGAGCGACGACTTGACGTTCAAAATTTGAACAGACTATATTGAATTCAGAGAAGATGAAAAAAAGTTCAAATTATTTTTTTTATCTCCTATATGGTCAGTAAAAATTCATGTGAAAAACTTTCAATAAATGAAAAGTTCAAATTTTTGATTCGATTTCTCATTTATTTATAATCATAGGTTTATTCACTGCATTTTGTTAGAAGATAATAAATAAAATAGTTCAGAATACGAAAGCAGTAGAATAACCAATAACGGGAATTAGTCCACCCTAACGAGTAGACTTTATTCTTCTTCTTCTTCAATCAATCAATCAATCAATATTTATTGGTTGTTTTAGTCAGATGGTATCGACTAGGCGGTGAAAAAATTGCTCTTTTGAGCGGCACTAACAGCGCCTTTGGCGAAAAAGAAGTCAAAACGTGTAGTCGATTGAATTGAAAGCATGGTCTTACGGTCCTTCTCCTCGCTCTTCCACAAGTAGAAGTTTTGTGAAGTAAGAGTCTCACAATGCATTGAAGTCCATTGAGCTTGAACCAGAAAAGACGAAGCAATTCTTTGTCGAGAATTTTTTCCTTTTTACATATGACAAAGCATCATAAACATGAAAAATTTGATGAGAAACAAAACAAATTTTGTAATCTATTAAAACTAACAATACAAAATAACTCAATTTCCGTTCTAAACAACGTCATCAATAAACTCTTATTCAGCACTAACATCGGAAAAGAGACGAATAAATGTTGTTCATCTAACTGACTACTTCATCTGACATCAAAATTTTTTTTACATACACGCAAATGTTGATAAGACGTCATTTTCTTATTCGCAGTTTTTCTCCAAAGTCTGTTATAATTTTATTTTTCTCTCGCTTTTGTTCATTTTACAATAAAAACGATCAATAGTTACCAATTTGATTTTTTTTTAGAAATATTCTTCTTCTTATGTCTTACTTATTTTTTTAATCAATATTTTTGAAAACTTGGGTAAACCTGGGGAGGCCAACTGAACTCGATCCTGAACTCGGGAAATGAACAAAAAAATTTATTGTAATGAAATTTCAAAAAAATTCCGAAAAAAAGCTTCAGTTTTATTATTTTTTTCAAACTAATTTTTTTATTCTGCTACTAATACAGTTATTATTTCAATTATGAAAAAAATTTCAATATTTTCGTTCATTATTTTTCAAGCACATATGTGTAACAAGTTTAAAAAAAAAAGTTAAAATGAGTAATCAAAAATAGGAACCGGTCAAACTACTACACTTAGCGTCAACCCAAAAAAAAAGGTTTTCCCGAAGCTCCTTTGAGATCTTTAACTCTTGATTTTTAGGTCTCCCTCTGAGAAGAATACAGTTTCCTTCCGTGTATAACATTCTTCCCCACACGCGGACATGACATCATGAAGTCGCCAAACCACTAATCACTCTTTGGGGGAGAAAAAACGGATAGTTTGAGAAATAAAAGAAGAATGAAAAGTGGCAAAGACGGGTGTGTGTCGTCATAAGCACAAATTGGTCACGACGCTCCGCCGACCGAAGACTTTTTCGAGAGGAAAAAGCGACCGCCGGACCGGAAGTCGCCCCACAATTTGCTTCGACCCGAAACCGTCAATCCATTTCGTGCCATTTTGTTCTGCCTTCCAGCTTTTCGAATTTTCCTTTTTCTCCTTTTTCATTCAAACCACTATTGAGACTCAAGCTTGAAAACCGAAAAACCAAAAAATTTTTGGCGTTTCAAAGCAATTTCCGCTTTGTCCGATGAACACGCCATTAACAACGATTCTAACCATTAAAATGGGCTGTCCAGCTTTCCGAATGAGACTTTTCACTTTCACTTTAAATCACCATTAAGACCCAAGCTTGAAACCATATAAAAAAAGAGTTTGATACGAATAACAACGATTATAACACATATTTTCCAATATTCTCCTGACATCTATTTCGTGAATTTTAGTACTTGTGCGTGAGAAATTAAACATTTACATTCTGATTTTCTTGAATTTGAATTTCTAAAAAGTGGCTCTCCAGTTGGAAGTCCATTGGAAAAACCTAATGAAACTATCTCGCTGAGCTTTCGCGCTTTAAATTTTCTCTAATTTCATCCATTTTGAAGCAAGAAAGCCCCCAATTCAACTTTGATGAAAGTTCAAAGCGTTAGCTCCCGAAAATTTGTAATTTTACTCTCGATACTGAATAGTTAGATAAAACTATAGAACCAGTGAGTTATAGCGTAATCTGAAATTCATACTCATCCGTCGTTGAAAAACGGCCTTAACGAAAAATAAAGGAAAAAGGAGCACACCTATTTCGTGCAGCTCGAAAGTCGACCACACCTTTTTCCTTCTTCGAAAGCTTTTTGCCATTCGAAACCCAAAATTGAACTTTTTAAAAAGGAATAGAAATTTTCAAACCTTTTCCCTTCCAGAGTCGCTCGATCGCATTATCTTTTGGTAAAGAAAGTGGTTGAACTCCAAATTTTCATGTTCTCTAGACTGAAATTATTGAACACTTCGTCACATATAAAGAAGTATAAAACAAAAGAAAAATGAGTGCCGCAGTGTTGCGAGTGTTTTACTGTCGCAATGAAAAATAATTACCGTAAATCAGGAAAAAACAGATAAATACGACTGAAATAAGCATGAAAAATCAGGCGTGCACGTGAAGCACTTGAGCAACAAGAAACTCAAATACTGTCTACCGTATTTCTAGGTGGAGCAACCTTTCAAATCCGTTCCACGTTTTAAAATTTTTCACATTTTCTTCCACTAACGCCGTGGCTTCTTTGTTGCTGAAAAATCAGACTTGAGGGAATATATTGGGAAATAAAACAGAAGCTTTAAACTTTTTATAAATAGCGGATTGGTATCGCAATTCGATATTACAAAGAAGTCCTTTAATACATGTTTTTCTGGGAAATTTTTGGGAACAGAAAGCAGGAAAAAAGCAAAGTTAAAGAATAAGTTTTCATCAGAAAAAAAGAGAAAAGGTGGAAGGAAATGAAAGAAGAAACAAGGTTTTGCTCTTTTGCCCCAACCGAAACGAAATTTGTTCCAAAACTCGATAAACTTCTCCCAAATCAACCTCGGACCTTGGTAACGCGGAACGGTGCGGAGTGGATGCGGAGAGCTTTTCCAATTATCTTGCTCTTCAGCCAAGATATGTCGCGGTATCGCGATGAGAGTCTGGCTATCTGGCATGTTACTCACTGATCATGTCGCCAGGCTCCTGTCGCGATTTAGCACGGCTCTGGACGCGCATGAGAACAGTTCTCCCCGCGGTATTTATCTATTTTCTAGCTGCTAGATTCGCTTATTCATCACACTTCTTTTTCCTCTTGATAGAATGCCTGCTATTTACAGTTTAAAACTGTTGTTCAGGAGTACAGTGAAAATAAAGAAAAGAAAAACTATTGAAAATGTTCGAATTATATGCCTTCCTCAGTAGATAAAGCTTCTTATTAGGATACGCATTAGAACCAAAATAGTTATCACATCAATACTCACTCTGAACCGAGAGTCGTTCTTGACGCGGCTTCGAGTAGGAAAAAACGGAGTGCATTCATCCTTCCTCTATCTCTTATTAAAAAAAATTGGCCCCAGGTGCAATACTGGTTCGGCGGCACGCGAAAACATCCCTGTATTGTGCGGAGAGGAGGTCACGCCGTCGCTTTTTTTTCTTCTTCTTCTTTTGCAGCCGGTATAGTAGCACCCTTGTCCTCGTTCTTTCTTTTCAGCCAATTTTTTTTTGACTTTTTGAACATTGCTAAGTTAATTGCTAGTTCAAAGACTTTTAAGTCAGATTGTGAATGAGCTCTGTTACCCATTTAGGATATAGGCGAACCCCAACAACGTAGCTGCCAAGTGGTTATTGTCTTGCAAAAAACCAACTTTAGCTATATGGTTCCTGAGCGGTTACCAAGCTTGGTACCTAACCCTGGTCAATTTTTTATTCAATCGTTTATTTGACACATGTAGCTCTTAAAAAACCGTTTTGTAACTCAGTTCAACTATGTATCCGCTTAATAGCCGCATCGATCCCTGGTTGTACCAGAGATATTTTATTCTCTCACTGAACTTCACCCTCATTTTGAGTTACAAAACTTATTTGAGCAACACCATCAAATTAATTAAGTATTTCTACTCCATAATTACGATATTTGAAGCCGCTTGACCAGTTTTTCGCCGCCCTTTCATCAAACCACCACGCTTTCTCTCCTTTGCGAAAACTTCTTTGCGTTTTTTTAATTAATATTTAAAAGTCATTTTCAGAGAAAAAAAAGAAACGGCTACAAAACTCGAAATATTAATGAAGCTGATTTTCTCCGCTTTACTATTTTTAACGTTGGCGGTATGTTCATGAAGTGAAAAAAAGCAGAGCTGTGCCTTGGGCCGAGGATGATGGCCGAAACGGCCCGCAACAGTAGCAATCGTGAAGTTTTTTAAAATCTCATTCCATAATTTAAACCACATAACTTTCCTGGATAACACATTTTCGATCACTCACTCAAGCATTTACACAATCAGTGAAAATTGTGACAAAAATGTTCGAAAAGTGGCAAATTTTCGACCGCTTCGCGACCGCGTTGCAACAATACGGCCTAAAGCACAGCTCTGAAAAAAAAAGACATTTTTCAAAGTGCTACCGGTTCGCACACCGGTTGCTACCTTAATTCTAGCCCACTTTTTTGATCTTGCCTTTCAAGACGAGAAGGATTGGATTGATGGATTGCCTATAGAATGTGAAACTGAAACCTCATAGTCAGAAAAAAAAATGTTCAAATGTTTTTTCTAAAACTTCATTCATTTCAGAGCGCCTGTTATTCCTTAACGCCTGGAGAAACGTGCGAAACTTGCCAAGTCGTCTTGCGCACTGTATACGGCCATTTTTCAGCAAACGTTCCCAGCCGCAAGAAGCTCGTCAATCAATTAAAACACGAGTGTAAACGGCACTTTACGGTCAGTGGAAAAATTTCGTCTTCACACACTTGATAGTTTAAATTCGAATTGGGTTTTCTGACTTTCTCCCGCGTAGGTCATTTCAGCCCCGTCCAAATTTGCACACAGTAGGTTTAATTTGTGCATACACCGAACGCGGTTTTTGCTCTAACAAAAGTTGCGGTGCACCCCGCGTTCAACTCTCCTGTACACCCCGCAGTGTAACCAGGGGTGCACCGAGTTTTCAAATTTTCGGTGAACCGAAAACATCAACGCGGGATGCACCCAATCGCGCTGAGTTCAACGAGGGGTGCACCCCGATGGCCGGTTCGACGCGGGGTGCACCGCAACTTTTGTTAGAGTGATATCTTCATTGATAACGAGTTTTTTGTACGGAAATATGAACAGATTTGAAGAAAAACGCAAGTAGAACATTCAATGAAACAATCTGAGTTTTAACAATTAACTTTTTCCAAACGCTAGCAAGCCTAAAAAAATGGCCTAATTTGGGGAGTGCGTATTTAGTTTTTTGAAGAGCCAGCATATCTTAAAAAAATGTGAAAAGTCGTATTTTCTGTAATTTGTTCCCTTATTAATGTCAAAAAAGAGCCGTGTTAATTTTTTGAATAAAATAATGGTCAAAAATTGTCTGGTGTGGCCAACTGAGACGGCCCAGTGGAAACCGGACGGGCCCATGTAGGTCTGAGCTGGTGTGGATCGAGAGGATTCCCGAAGAGCTTATAGTAATTTTTTTACTTCACCCACCCTTCAAATCTGAAGAAAAAGCGCGCTAACGTGTGTTTTTGTATTTTTTTTAAAAATTTACTTTCAAATTTTTTTAACTTCGTTTCCAACTCAAAAGGTTTAGTCGCGACTAGTCGCCTGGCTTTTTCACGATAGTGAATCGAATTTGACAGCCGCGAGTAAAAATGACTTGGAAAATATCGAACTCTGACAAAAAATTTTTCAGTATCGCAGACGTTGCTTATTGGCAATGAAGGACCAAGGTGAATTCATTTTTCGTGAAATGACTAACCCCGACTTCAAGCCTATCAAGATATGCTTCATTCTGAAAGCGAGTTTTTTAAATCTGCTCTAGTTGCTTTTCAGTAAACTTTTAATAAAAATTTCGTTTCCAGGAATGCAAGCGGCTCCAATCCCCCATTCCAGAAGACTTTGTTCTCTCGAATACCACTGATTCTTCTGTTTTGTCCGAAACGACGGTTTACGCGGATGATACAGAAACTTCTGTTTTTCCATCTGAGCATGGTAGTCCCTTGTGGAGTGTTTTGAACAACTAGAATATTATATGTCGTTTTCAAAGCGATGACGCGGATATCAAAATAATCGTCAGAGTGGGAAAGATGACCCAATTTTTTCAGAGATTATTTTGACTTCGCTGAAGTTACTTTGAGCATGGCATTAGAAAATTTTGGAGTTTGCAAATTTTGGGTCATATCGCCATCTAATTTTTCATGTATATATTTGAATTTCCCCATATATCGATCAACTGGACGTTTTCATCGCCATCTTAAAAGAATACACGAAGATCGGGTACTCACAAAACATTGTGAAAAATTTTTTTCTTGTCTTTATAATAAAATTTTGAGAATAAAGTTTTGAAGTTGTTGCAAAAATTGTTTGATGAATCAATGAATCTTGTCCCTACCATTTTTTTCTAATATAGTGTATATTATATAGATTTCCAAAAAATCACTGAGAAGAAGAGAATGCCTCAGAGGTTGAAATAGGTAGCAAAAAGAGACTTTTCGAGGCTACGAAAAAGTATAGCCTATTCAGATTTTGAATTTCAAGTTCAATGACGTCATTCGCTTTGTGGATGGCTCGCACTCTGATTTGGCCAATTGGCTAGGATGAATTGTTCCGTACAAAAAGTTTCGTAAAACTTGCAGAAAAACGGTTTCACTCTTATATTTCTAACGACATGTGATGGTTCCCAGGAAAAGTCCGAACGACCTCAAAAAGGCCTTCTTTTCAAAAAAAAAAAAACGATTCTAAAAATCCTTTTTGAGTTCCTAAAAAGGTGCCAAAGCTTGAAGAAAAAAAGGAGCCTGCGAGGCCTTTTTTCCAAAATTTCTTTTCGAGACCATTTGGATTTTGTCTGTTTCATAAGGTTGCCATTGAAGACTTATGAAGAAATAGAGATATCTCTTTCAAGTCAGTATTTTGCTTTTATTGCGAACCTGCTGAACTTTTATTTTAAGTTTTACAGAAGAAGTTAATGGCGTGTTGAAAACAAAAACTGAAATTGCCTGAAACGCAAAAAATTACTCCAAAGCAAAAAATTAGTGTTCTCGGACATCGGTAACGCGAAACGGACGTGCTCCGGACGTTTCTGGGCGATTCTAGAGATCACTTAAGAGTGCTGAGGCTACTAAAGTTGTCACTAGAAATGCCCCGACACGTCCAATTCGCGTTACAAAGGTCCGAGTTGTTTTGGAGCAACTTTGGCGCTCCGATGAACACGATTTTTCGTTTTGAAGCATGTTCCGTTTCTCCGATGAACAACACGCCATAATCAAAATGTGCAAAAAATGAAGTTATAGGCCGACAAAAATGATATTCGCCAAAAATATTCCCACCATGATCTCAGTGTGGACAGTGCGGAAGACCACTATCAATTTTTAAATTTTTTATTATTTTTTACATTTTTGTATTTCCCTGTTTGCAAATTGGTTCTGTAAGAGGTCACTTCGGCTCTAGAACTGAATTATAACTTGTATTGAATAAATTATTGTAATAATACGGGTTGAAAAAAAGTGGTCCCTATAGGAGAATCGTTTCCATATTGCTCCTATATGATGCTGTAAGCGCACCATTTGCGTATACGCAAGCGCGCCTCACGCGCACATTTCGTAATCAAAACTGACTACAAACACCCTGTCATTATTCATTGAACGTAGTTTTTTTTCCGATGCTTCCTTTCTAACTTGAAATTTTGATCGTCCTATACATTTTTTAACTTTTCGTTCCAGCATACTTCTATGATTTTACGAAATTTTCGTAATATATCCTCGCATGATTTTGTTTCACATTGAGAATTATCAAATAAAAAAAGCAAAGTTTTTTTTGAAAGAAAAAGAAATAAATTAATTCGTAAGCCGTGAATGGTTTATTTTCAAGCCAATACTAGCGATTTTAAGAGCGGCGCAATGTCGAAGAAGTTCGATCGATACTTGGGTTAGTCGATAAAATAAAATCAACATCTTAATTTTTAATGCTTTTTCAGATCTAGCCACAGACAGTACGTTGGTGGAGCCGCATTGGGATGCTATTATTGCATGTTTCGACTCAGTTCGGGGAGGAGAAGTTTCGTAAGTTATAACGAGTCAGGCAATGGTGGCGAACGCGGGTGGTTGCCCACCTGTTTTTTCCATTTGAATGGGAATGCTTTTTTTTCATTTTCAAAACACTCTTAACATGTTTCGATCAATTTTGAATTTTTTTTAGTATCACCATTAAGAGGCGCCAATCGTTCCGCGCTACTGCCTGAAGATTGGGGAGATAAAATTAAATCAATTTTTAGGGCGAAACCAGCACTTTTGTCGATTCGAAGGCGTTTACAACACGAAAATCCGCATGTTGTCCAGCACACACTCCTTGTATTAGATGCTTGTGTCAAAAATTGCGGTAGCAGGGTGAGAATATATTAGATTCAATTTTCAAGCCTTTGAAGCTAAATTTTTCTTTAAAATGTTTGATTTTCAGATGCACTCGGAAATCGCGACGCGTGAGTTCATGGAAGACTTCAAGAATTTGGTCACGGAGAGTAAATATGATGAGGTTTTTTTTTTTCTGAAAAATAAAATTCGAGTTATTCCATTCTCTTAGGTTAAAAACAAAGCGCTAGAAATGCTCCAATGTTGGGCGACTGCTTTCGCCAACAAACCAGAGTACAAAATGATCGTGGATACGCATAATTTGATGAAACTAGCCGGATTCGATTTTCCATCTTTGAAAGAGGCGGACGCCATGTTTATGGCGCAGGTTCGTACAGTTGCTGTTGGCTTTAACTTATCATGAATGAAAAGAAGCTTTCAGGTTTTTTTTTTCCATTCCTCTCTCGAATCTCTGAAAATGTTTACTTTTTTTTTAGGTCGCTCCTGAATGGGCCGACGGACCGGAATGTTTTAGGTTAATTTTTTTCCTATTTTTTAAAACAATGTCTTCTATTTTCTGTTTTTCAGTGAAAAGTTTTTTTTTACTTGTTTTTCAGTAAGCAATCCCTATAAACAGTAGCGAAAAATAGGTGAGTATTTTTTTCTGGTTTTTAATGTGTAATTTTTTTTTAAACAATCCTTTTGATCTGAAATTTTAACCAAATAAATAGAATTCTGCTGTTGACAATTTGAAATATTGGTTTGAGCAGATTCCAAAATGAAAAATTCGAAAAAATGTTTTTTTTGAATTAGCACCGTATTCGCAAAAAAACATGATCAACAATAAAAAAATTCAACAAAGCAGGTAGACCGGTATTAATGTCTTCAAATTGAAAACACTCAAGAGAAACAGATCTGATACTTCGTACCATAATCTTTTGATTTAAGAACCGCCTTGCATTTTCGGGGCAAAGACTTGATAAGTTTGACCAATACGCCATTTGGGATTTTCTTTCGAACTTTTTCGATTTTCTTCTTCAAAATTTCAGACCAAAAAAATCGCTTTAAAAAAAAAATTATGAACGAACAACAAAAAAAAAAAAACTTACCCATTATCGCTATTGTATGTAGAGATTAGCTTCCAATCTTATAAAGTTCGAAAAAAACCAAACTAATCACAACCTCATATTAGAGAACTTTTTGAAGATGCCGAACGGCGTTTTCCTTCATGACAAGGAAGCATCATTGCCGTGCGTGTGGACAAATTTTCTGCGACCGTTGTAGCCAACGAGAAATGACGTTGCCACAGTTCGGTATTGAAAAAGAGGTCTGACCAGAGAAGATGTTTTTATTTTTCAAAGTAAATATTTTAGGTCCGCGTTTGTGATGCTTGTTTCGAGACGCGAGTTGCCAGTGAGACCGCTAAAAAGGTTTTTTATTTTGTTCTTTCCTCAATTTCGAGTTTTTTCAAGCAAAAGGAATCACAAGCACTTCTGTCCATGATTACGACGAAATCCGGCAAAAAGGAGGACGTGTCGGCTGAAGAGAAAGAGAGGATTTTGAGGGAACGCGTTAGTGTTTTCAGTCTTGAAATGGCAAAAGAAAGTTATCAGGAAGAAGAAGAATTGATGTTGGCCTTGGCGATCAGCCAGAGTGAGGCCGAAGCGAAAGAATCGGAGCGGAGCCAGAATTTGTACTCGGTTTACAATGGCTTGAATAATGATCAACAGCAGGTTCGCCTTTATTCGAGACGAAATCGAAGAAGTGTTTTTGGACTTCTTAAAAATCAAAAAAACAAAGTGAATAACCTTCAAGAAACTGTTTTGAGGAAACGGCAACGGTTTCGTCATATAACTTGTCGGATAATGGTATTTACAAGGTAATTTGATTTTTTCGATGTTTTAAAACACACTCTCCGAGAAAATCGATAAAACCTCTTGGTACAATAACTTTTAAGTTTTTTTTCGAATTGAAAATTATCTCGCAATCCCTATGCAACTATCTTAGCTTGGGTTAAGATAGGCTCCGATTTTAGTTTCCAAATTTTCGATTTATGGTCAAGTTACTACAACAAAGATTCGTTTTTTCAATGAGAAGTACACAGAAAACTATTGAAAATAAGCAGGATCTGTTTGAAATATAAATGATGATAATACTTTATCGAAATTCCGTAAATTCATTCTAAACAAGTAAGAACATTGACAAAGTGAGGTCATTTTACTTAGCAGTTGGGATTTTCTAAAAATTTGCTCAAACATTCCGAATTTCAAGAAGTATCAACATGCGAAACTTCCTCTTTTTGATCAAGGATACCTCAAAGCCAAAGAAAAATCTCTAAATCTATTTTGAGAGTTTTCTCTCCCTTATCTCTCGAAAACTGAAAAATTAGGCAGGTTGATACTTTCAGAAACTTTTTTTGGTGCATCCAGGAGTGTTTTAGCCAATTTTCCGGAAAATCCCGCAAATTAAAATGACTTCCCGTGTGAAATGTTCAATTCAAAACCCAGCTCACCAAAGGTTTCAATTTTTCAGGCCTATAAATCTCACGAAGGTATACTCAAAGCTTAAAAAAAAACGAACATAAACGAAGCAATCTTGAAAACCTATGTTTCTTCAAAAATTTGCAATTTGAAGGGAATAGCGGCCGCATCTGTGATTGGGGACTCACCCGTGGAAAGTACTGCTGACGATCCTTTGGCGCGATATCTCAACCGGGACTATTGGCAGCAGAAAAAAGATGTCACGCAGAATAAGGTCTTTCTAATGAGAGTTGAAAAATGATGTTTTCAGAATAATATGTTTAGATAAAATTTTCAAGACTTTCTCCTTTCAGCTTCTATTTTAAATTGCGTTTGAACTAGTACAAAAAGGACTACATATAATTTTTTTTTCAGGTTGAAGAATGGGCCGCTTCGGCTCCACCACGCAGTGAACCTTCAATCGCTCCATCAGTTTGCTCCACGATCATGGTAGGATTCAATAATCGATTAGAAAAAATCAAAAGAAAAACAACTGATTTTCAATTTCGATTTCTTATGGGTTTTCGGTGGTATGAAAAAAACACCAGCGAAAATTCGAAATGGCAACTTTTCCGATTTTTTCATATCGCTAGGGAACTTCCCGACGGCCATCTTTCCGACGGATAACTTTCCGACTTTTTTCCCCTCATGTTTTTCGGTTTATAAATATCCATTAAAAAAAATTTTTTTTTTCTATTTGTTTGTGTTTTAATCATGAACCAACTACTTACTTTATATAGGAAGATTTAAAACGAAGATTTTATCGAGAAAAAAAGTCGGAAAAAGTTTCATCGGAAAGGTAACCGTCGGAAAGTTCCCTAGCGATATGAAAAAATCGGAAAAGTCGCCGTTTGAATTTTCGCTGGTGTTTTTTCCATACCACCGGGTTTTCAAGGCACTTGTCTATGAGTTTGATTCAATTTTTTTCTTTTGAATCCGCACTTTTGAAGTTCAAATATATATGTCAGCAATTGATCAAGCCGACGTTCTTAAAAGAGGATATTTCGAGAATCCTATGGATTCTTCATGGTACCAGTTGTTTCTTTAGGAAAGAAGACTCTCTGAACTCAATAAAAAACTTAACTTTACCCTTTTTCTGAGCATTTTGAGCTGAGATATGTATTTTTGATGTTCCAAGTGCCTGGGGACTCTACCCCACCAGATGGTTATTCATGGAACAGGACTCTCTGAACACGATTAAAAAACGTAATTTGAATGAATTTTTCTTTTTGCATTTTTGAATTTGAAGCCTTTTTTATCAAAATCCAGGCGCCCGACGAAGGTATGTTGGCCGGCGAGTTCTCGTCGATGAATCTGAATGTCAATGGAAATCCTCCTACTGATGATTTCAAAGCTCGTACTGATGATGCTCTTCGATGGTGTGATTCGATACGCGAACAGGTTGGGATTAGGTTCTTCGAGAAGTTCCTAGCATTTTTTTCCTCTGAGATTGTTTTTTTCGTTTTTTTTTTGAACGGATAAAATTATAAGAAAACGGCCTCGAAAAGTCTTTGAAAAAAAAATCTGAAACTGTCTTTTGAGTTCCGTAAAAGATGTCAAAAAGTTTCTTGGAATATTTTTTTCATTTTTTTTCTTTCCTAAATCTTTCTTTTTATAAAAGTCCTTTCAAGAACCAAAGGTTATTTTAGGCCTTTCTGGACTTCGCCAATGAATAATAAAAAAATTTTTTTCTTTATTAATTTTTTTAAAAATGAGTGCGTGTGACACGAGTTTCCTGCCAAAAGCGCCTTTCAGGTCTAGGCTATACTATGATAATGTACAGGTGACGGTGATGGACAACCGAATCCGGTCGAACGTTGCGAGAGGCCGGCAGGTCATCAACGACACGGCTATACAGGACCTGTTCTCGCGGCTCACAGAGCTCCATTCTCAGGTCCTCAACCGAATGCACAATCTGGATGAGCAGCGAGGTACATTTCATGTTTTATGCCGAATGAAAGAGAAAATCCTAGAATTAGAGTTGAATTCAATTCAATTTATTCAAACATAAGAAAAATCAGAAAGGCTCTGCTGAATCATGGTAGATTTGAAGAGCTCCTTGTTGTTGTGCGCAACAGTTGATAGTTGAATGAAGTTGTAAAAAAAAAAATGAAAAGGATAAGGGCATTAAAAAATATGGGTTAGGTGAAACAAGTACCGTGTTAAAGTTTTCATTGCGCATCGAACGGCTCTATTCAAAACTTCACAGATATGAATACTTTTAAAGAGAAAAAAAGCTATTTTATTTTCCCACCTTTTAATTTTGAGTTATTCTTCGGATCGGTGCGATAAAAAGAGACACAGATAATAAAGGAAACGCAAATTACTGTTGGGTCAATCATGTTGGGTATTTATTTATTAAAAATATATTATGTGGTTTCGAGGAATATGTACAGAAAGAGAGGTTCTATCCCAAAAAAATTTTCGAATACTTTTGCTTCTTAATTTTTTTGTTTTACTTGTTGAAATGGCTATTTCGATTCTTTATTTATTTGTTTTAGGATATTACGAATCCCTGCAAGATCATTTGGCGAGTATTGGTGAGGCACGACAGGCCATCAATGAACTGAGGCAGGAGCATGAACGGCAGAACCAGGTGGAAAAGAATACTTTTCTGGCTCAAGTTCAAGGTAACGGTTCTAGGAGAGAATGGCCGAAGAACAACGTCAGCGGCAGGCGCAGATGCAGCTAACCTTGGAAATGATGAGAATGAAGAAACATGTTGAGCTTTTTGAGTCTGTCAGAAAAACAAAATTATATATTTTGTAGGCAATGCTGATGGAGCAACGGGAACAAGCGCTTCAACGTTTTCAACAGCAACAGCAAGAGATAGCAATGCGACGAGCTCAACAAGTTTCTTTTCATTCTTTTTTTTTAAAAGATAATTCTCATTCCAGTTCTATCCTCCTCAATCGGGTTTCGTGCCGCCACCGGTTCCAGGCCCTCAAGGACAAGGCCCTCAATACTACGGTACCATTTTTTTTTCTAATCAGATGATTCTCAGTTCGATTTTTGTTATGGATAATAATTATAATTTGTGATATAATTTTTGGCAGTGGTAATAAAAGTATGGATTTTCCAGGGTATCCTCCGACAAATGGTGGGATCAATGGTGCACCTCCAGCGCAGGCTCAATCTTATACAGCTCCCCAGCCGAATTATCCAAATTATCCGCAAAATAGTGGCCCTGTGTCGGCTTCAAATGGAGTCAATCAGAATGCATATTATCAGCAGGACGTAAGTTTCCCAGAAATCGCTTTCTCTATGAAAATTTGAGGCCCATAATTGACTTTAGAGACTTATTTTTTTCATTCACAGTTGAGATTTTGGAGTAGTTCGAAACGTCATTCATAAGATTGATAAGATATTTTTAGAGCTATTTTTTCCTTGCGCCTGAAGTAAAGTCGGACAATTTTCCATATTTATTCTTCCGCATCAAAATTTTCTGGAAAAACTTTCCAGGCGAAAAATGATGTTTTTCTCTTTAAAACTATAGAAGTGTTCGATTCGTCACGAAAAAATGTTGCAGATTTATTTGGTTTACCCAATATTTATTCAAAGAACTTTTCATCTTTACGGGCAAAGTCCAGAATGACCTTAAAAAAAGCTTTTGGGAAAAAGGCCTAACAGCCTCTTTTTTTTTTGACCCCTTTCAGAAAAAGAGAACAAGAAGACGAAAAAACAGAAGTTTTAGAAACCTTTTTAGAAACTCGAAAAGGAGCTCTCGATTTTTCTCTTTGAATTCTTTTCAAAGCCGCCCGTTTCCTTTTTCTTAGTCAGGAGTTTTGTCAAAGCAAAATAGCAGCAGGCAAGCAACGGTCAGTCGGAGCAACATCATGCTCAAAACGCTCCACAACAACAACAACAACAACAACAGCAAAGCCACGTTACACTACAACAAGATCAACATTACGCCTTCAAAAACTATTCGTCGCCGCCACAGCCAAGCAGTCAATATAATTATCAACCGAACCCACAACAGCAGAACTACAATGGACAACAACAACAATATTATGTTTGTTTCTTGTGCACATTCAATACTTATAATCAGTTTTTCCCGACTTGAAAGGCGAGGAAGGCGGAACGCTTAGCGTGTATCTGGTTCTTGCAAAAAAAAAAAAATAATAATAATAAATCTTCTACGAATCGATTGATAAAATAGATTTTTTCAGCCGGCGGCTCAGAAAACTCAACAACAAGAGCCGGAAGTTCCACAGCAACAGCCTCCGCAGCAGTATTACCAAGCTGCTCAAGGATTTGTTCAAGGTTTGCGTGCAAATCGAAATTCGACTCTTTCAAGTTAGGAAGCTTCAGCTGACTTTTCTAAGATTCTATTTTCATTCCATTTTGATTTTTATTGTCATTATTTGATTGAAAGTAAGCTCTTACAAACGTTAATCAAGGCTCGAAAAATTACAGGACATCCGCCTGCCCAGCAACAGCAAATGCCTGAACAACCATTAATTTCTTTCGACTAACAATATTTATTAACTTTTTCGATGACATGTACTTGGATATAAATAGTGAAACGCTCTGATATTCTTAGCTGTGATATTTGTGATTTGTATAGAAATTGAAAGAAAAAACTCCCTTTCAGTTGGAATTTTCATAAATTATACTCCTCTTGTGGTACCATTACTGTTCTCTTCTTTCCACTCGTTTTTTCTTCTTCTTAGAAACAATAGAATCAAAAGAAAGAGTTAAGGATTTTTCATTTGGGTCGGTGCTTGTCTTCGTGTCCCTTTTAACGCTGAACGGAATCTAATTTATTTGCACTCGCATCACTTTTCGTTTTTATTGATTTTGGAGAGAATGAACATTTATCAAAAATTTCGCATTTTTTGAAATTATTTTGTTGTTAGCAGTTTCGAAATATCGATTTTTTTTTTCTTGCTTAAAAAAATATATTTCATTTCAAAGATGAAATATATTTAGAGTGTTCGAGATTTTTCAAACTCACTTTTTTTCTTTATGAATTTTTTTACTTATTTACTGAAAAAAATGTCGAATTTATTTTTAGTTTTTTTATTTTTTTAAATTACACCTTTTTTTGCTACGACATTTAACAGTCTGCACCTTTTTTTCCGTCATTGTCTTGGTTCTATAGCCGATTCACGGCTACCTTGCGACTGGAAAAGGCGTGGCCTGTCTGCGCTCTCCACCAACCAGGCACTGTATCTTTTCTTATCGTTTCAGGACCTATTTTTCGATGGCTCAAGCCAGCCGTGAATCAGCTATATCAATATAGAAAAAAAGGGACAGACACGAAAACAAAAAATAAAACATTTCTGTTCAGAATTTTTTGAAAATGGGGCAATCCGAAAGCAAAAAGCCCGAAGACTCGTTTTCTGTCAACTCACGCGTTATCCGTCAAGAGGTTTTCATTGCGTTTTACAGCCAATTTTTCCCGACTTGAAAGCCGAGATGGGTAGATTGAAAAGGGTGAAGCGTTGCGTGTGCGACGCGGCTTTTGATTGAAAACTGGAAGTGGAATGTAATCACTACGGAATGTAGAAAAAAAAGGTTTCATTATTTTTATAATTTTATTCGTTCAATTTGATCTTTTCAAACCCATGAAAAATGACAATTCATTAAAAAACTCCCGAAAAGGGAGAAAAGAGGGCGGCTCGTTTTTGGCCTTGAGTTCCCGCCGAAAGCCGCGTCGCACACGCAACGCCTCACCCTTGCAAAAAAATATCAAGTCGAGAAGGATTTGCTATTTATATAGGTTTTTTCAAGTAATTCTAATAATATGGACCTTTTCAAAGAATAGAAATGTAATCTCAGATCGCTCAACACCCCGTGGTTTTGTATACGAAAGACAACTGCGGTTACTGTGTTCAAGCCAAGAACGATTTGTATGAAGCTGGCATCAAGTATACAGAAAAGGTTGTTAATGAGAAAGTAGAAAAAAATGGAATGTCTTCTGTTTCTGAAACTTCCGAAAAAATGATAAGAAAAAAATGAAACGGTTCAGGATTTTGATAATAAACAATCCAATTAAAATATATCGATTTTTGAGTACCGACTTTGCACTGAATATTTTTTTAACTTCAATAAGGTAGGAGATTTTTACAGCAGTTTTGTCATGGAAGTTTGTAACTTTTTTTATGTATTTCAATCAGAAGTTTTCATAAGTCATCGAAATTGGTTTCGCATGTGTGACACTAAAATAGTAAAGGCTTTTATCATTTTTTCTTGTTGAAATAAATTTCTAAATCCGGATTCTATTTGTGAAATGAAAAATTTACTAATATTCTGTCACCTAATTGAGACTACTACGCTTAATTAGAATTTAAAAAAAACCTAGACACTAGAGCGACCAGAGTGTGGGCGGAGCTTGACGGCCTGTACACCGGGCGAGGTTTTCTTTTCAATAATAACCTCTAACCACACTGTTTCCCCATCGTTTGAAAATAATAAAGATCTCATTTCTCTGCAGAACCTGGATACGATTGCTGCGGTTCAAGAAGACAAGACGGTTGTTAAAGAGTACCTACAGAGCCTGATTGACCTGACCCGCCAGAAAACCGTCCCGCAAATTTTCGTCTGTGGAAAGTAGGAAGTCTCAACACAATGAACTGGGATTGTACTATAATGTGTCCACGAGTATACCTCTCAAAATGGACCGTGCCTATTCAATTATAAGTCCGTGAGACCTACAGCTCGGGCAAAGTCAGAATGGTGGATAATGGTCGCTAAAAAAGGCTCAAAAAAGGTTGCATAAATGCAGCGAAAAAAACGTTCGCAAAAATAATTGCTTTAAAAAAATCCGCATTCTCCGTGGTAATAAATAAGTTTCTGGTTATCTGACCAGTTCAGTTAAAACAACGAAATAACTTGGACGTTGGTAACACGAAACGGACGTGCTCCGGACGTTTCAAGGAATCACTTAAGAGTGCGGAGGCTACTAAAGTGGACTCTAGAAATGCCCCGACACGTCCGATTCGCGTCTCATTCGCGTTATCAAGGTCCGAGAAGCTTCAAAAACCTTCTTGGAGCGCTTCTGACGATAAATCTTAATTCAATAGAAAATTTTTGAAATGGCATTTCGAACGGTCTAACAATGGCCGAAAATTTTTAAAGTGACATTTCGAACAGTCAAAAACCATGTCACTCTGAAGGGACATGTTGAAATTTTGAAACTCCAACCGTTCGACCAATGAACATTTATTAAGACATGTTGAAAAAATATTGGTCAAACGCTCAATTTTCGAAACTCTAATAGAGACCACTTGAGCCTTATGAACTTAGACATAAGGAACTTAGACCTAAACCCTTATAGGGGCCACCTAAAGTTTAACCATTTAGTGGGAATTTTTTTTTTATAGGAGCTGATTTTATATAGGTATAGGTACCTCTTTGAAAAAAATTCTCCTTTTTCATCAAGTATCGTTGAACAATATTTATTAAATTTTTAGAATAATAACAAACCTTTATCATTTGAACGAGTTCCAGGTTCATCGGTGGCTATTCGGAGCTGAAAGCCCTGAATCCGAAACTTATGAGCCTTCTCGAGCAGTGCTCTACGGACAATGGCGAAACTCTGACACGCGAGATTGCCGCCAAGCTGTAAAACGTTTTTTTTTTGTTAGATTAAAAAAAGCTTAGTCTCAAACCTCTCAAAGTCTATAGTCTCAGACCTTATCCTTATCCAAAAACTTGTGAATAGAATTTGATGCTTTAAACTTTTGAAAACTTTTCTTCACGCTTTATCGTTTTTTCTTCATGTGCTGTCAATTATAAATAAATATTTTTTGAAGAGAGTTGAAGTTTAATGTAATGTTTCCGAAGAAAGTTAATTTTTTTTCCTTTTCTCCTCAATTGCTCTTCTTTTCATGATTAGGAAACAGATTTGCATGCAGAAAAATGTGAAAAAAAAAGAAGAAAATAACTATGCAAAGCGAGCGCAAAACAGGAGGTTTGACCCATTTTGTGAATTCACTTTCCTGCAAGTTCCTCAGTTTTTTTGTTGTTTTCTTTTTTAGTTTTTTAGATGATTTTCCGGCGAATTTCAATAAACCGGCAGATCATATTCCGAATAAAAACTCGCATTGAAGCCCTTTTTTATCTCTTGATTTTTCATCACTGGTCGATCGGGAGGTCGATACAAGTAGGTACCGGGTAGCAACCTAAAGTCAATCGGCGTTTGATAATCGGTGGTCGTTTGTATGCGACCGGGTACTACCCCGACCCGGGTCGCCCCGGTCCGGTCAGCAGCTCTGAATTTTAGGTCCAATTCAGAAGGATGACATGTAATTTATTGAAAATAACACAATATCTCCTATTTTGAACCGCCAATGTTTGGTTTTTCGAAAAACTTAACCACAATCGAGGATTCTACGCATTCGGTACACTTAAACAATTCAGAACTGAAAAAACTCTACAATTTTCAAAAAATGGCGCATATGAAAAAGGGAGCGAACCGACCGACTGTTCCATCATGCCCTACAGAATTCTACCTTTGCCTATTTTGCGAATTAATTTTAAACTAACGCGTCAATTTTAAAATGTTGAAAACAGGGGTTACCGTACGCGGCATAAAAATGGCGCTTGCCTCGCGATGTGGCGCTTGAGGCAAAGGTATACTGTAGTCGAAAGTCCGTAAAGTGGTTGGTGCCGTGTCTGCACTCGATAATCCTGCGACTCCTATTTCTGATACACTGGGTACACATAGAAGAAAAAGCGCCGGCGGCAACCCCTGTCCCCTTTTATAATTTCTTTTCATGTCTGAGTGTATAACTGAACAGGTCATTTTCGATATTTCGTTTTAGGCCACTCATTGATGTAATTTATTTTCTTGTCAATTTTTAATAATGATAACAAGCCCTCACTCTTCGTATTTTCCTTGTTAGTCATTTGCTGTCATTAGATATTTATGTGTCATAGTTTTAGTGCTGTTTCGAAATTTATAGTACAAAAAAAGCCAATGAAAACTTTATTTATACGCTATGTGGTTGAAAAAAACTGTTCATATTGGTTCGCTAACTCTATTTGATAATATTTTTTATACGGCGAGGATATCCTTTTTTAATTTTATCGATAGGTTTATTGAAGCTGTAATTGTAAAAAGAATTTTTTGACGTGTTTGCTTCCAATTAGTCATTTCTCCAGCGGATTATCGCTAATAATGGAAGTTTTATTTGAATCTCTGGCTCCAGCGACGTCTCCAATCATTAAAAAGTTGAACAATTTCAAGAACTATGCAATCGCTCGGTTTGTTATTTAACTTTTTTTTTTGGCTTTCCTAAGGCCGTGAAAATTGTAATTTACTACTTTTTTTCATTCACATCTGGTATCATTTTTCTGTACGCATCAATTACGAGACATTATTTGAAATAGGTGATTTCAAAAATTTGAAAAAAAAACCTTTCAGAAAGCTGCAATGTTTCATTCAAATTACGCGTGAATGTGAATTTCACAATTTTCGTTTCCCCCATTTTTCCAAGATTAAAAATCTCATGTTGACAATGAAAAAGTGTTTCATTTTATGCCGCGTTCAAAGCTAATTTGACGCGCACTGTGAAAATTTTTTTTTTCTAGTTCAAAAGCACGAGCAGCAGATTCTCACGACGTGATTGGTTGACCCCGCCCAGCTGGCAAGAAAAATGTTTTTAAAATAAATTTATGTTGGACATTTGCAAAAAAGGCGGAGCCAACCAATCACGTCGTGGGAACCTGCTGCGTTTTGCCGCGTATCGGCTCGTGCTTACGAACCAGAAAAACTTTTTCGCTGCGCGTGTCAAATTCACTTTGAACGCGGCATTCATTTGAATGAAAAAATCAACTTTAAGTCCTTCATTTTCATTTCAAGGAGCTTTTGTCTCAAAGTTTGGTGTCCAATATATTTTAAAAAAATATCGCTTTTCGTTGGAGTATACTTTAAATTTCATTATTTTTTTCCACGATGAGTTCCAAATAATTTTTTTCAGAGGTTTGAAAAATGTCTTCGGCGTACCCGCCGACACCAGCCTTTCATATGATGAATGGCAACGAGCGAGGCTCCAGTGAGTTTTTTTCTGAACTGTGATTATTAAACTTTACTTTTTCCAAAATTCATATAGTGTGTACAAAACTTTTTTTCGTAAAGTATATCTTGAACAAATAGCAGCGTCTCCCATATTTTTTTGTTTGATGAAAAAAACCATTTTCAGCTCCAAATGCCCGCAAAAAAACAATCGTCCAGCGAATGTCGGGTCAAAGGTTTGAATTTTTTTTGAAAAAATTTTTTTTGTGAATCTTATAAAAAAATTATTTCAGATCAGTTTATATCTGTATTTATTGCTAACGGTACTCAGAAAAAAATTTTTAGAAAGTTTGTGTGAATTGGTACCTGTAAAATTAAGAACTTGGCGGACAATAGGGTGAGTAGAAAAAAATGCCAAATTTAAACTTTTTGAAATTTTCGTCGTTTCAAATATCCCTCTTCTATTTTTAAATTAAATTTCATCATGAAAGGTTCTGTCGAGTAATAATACCATCCTCATAATTCGTAGGAAAAAAACTTTTTTTCGCGGTCTAACCGTTTTTTTCAGCTTAGATCAGGCTTGTATAGGGGCTGGTTCGTCTGCCTATTGGCCCCGGCCAGTTTCTGAGCCCTAACCGGCCTTAGCGGGGCCTTAATCTAAAATGGCCGGCTCGCCCCAAAAAGCTTCGTTTTTTTATGACGAATATCAAGCTTTTTCACGTCAAAAGTCTCTTTTTGTTTTTTTTTGCACTCAGAATTCACAAAATTATTATTTTGAAGGTGAAAAGAGTTTTTCAGTCGAAATGGTAATGAAATTTGAAAAAAAAATTCGTAGCCTGGCCTGCCCCAAGCCCGCGCAGTCTTTTTCTCAAAAAAACAAAACCTTTTTCAAAAAAGGTTTTCGTTTTTTTCCTATGAACATGCATAGGTAAAAAAAGTGAAATTTTTAGAAAAAAAGGTAGCATCAAAAAAATTTGGAAATGGGATATATTAAAAAGTAGAAAATTTTTCGACGCCGATACAATTCAATAGGATGCGTAGGTTTTATTTTTTTCGAATAAACTTATTTTCTCTTTTTTTAAAGCGTAATTTCGGTGGTATGAATAAAAAAAGCAAGCGAGTTTCTTTTTCTTTCCGACTTTTTTTCCCTTATATTTTCCGATTTATAAAAACGTATAGTCCCATTTTTTTCGTGTTTTAATCATGAATCAGTTACCTATTTCATATGAGAAAATTCAAAACGAAGAGTTTATGGAGAAAAAAGTCTGAAAAGGATTGTTCGAAAACTTCTCCATCGGAAAGTTCCCTATTAATATGAAATCTTAGCTTGCAAATCAAATAGTAGTCGAAATTTCTATCGACCAACTTAGTACTCAGGGAGGATTAAGGAAGCTCCTGTTTTTAGTAACATATTTTTAATCGATATTTGAAAATTTCTCGGTACATGAAATTTAATTTAAACTTTCAGGAACTGAACAAACAGGAGAACGAAATGTTGTTTTCGTTGCTCGCCCAGGGGAGCGTTTCACTGACGGCGGCTGTTGTTCAGCTTCTCATCGCCGAACGAGGATCTTGGCGCATTTTGCTGACCGGTGTAGCTAGTTTGATCAAGGTTCGGAACCGACAGGAATAAGCTCAATTTGATTTTAGGATCTAACGCATTAATGCAGCAAGTTTTCTTGATTTTTCTTCTCAAAGTAACTTTGCAGGACTATCAAGAGCGAGCGTATTTTATCCGGATATTCGACATTCTCGATGAGAAGCAGCTTTGGTCGTTCAGATTGTTGGTTTTATTTACACCTTTCATTCCTCAGAAAGTCCTTCTTATTAATAACTACACTGGGACAACACATAAATTGACATTTTTTTATACTGTCATCTAATCCCTTCAGCCTCTTACAGGCAGTCCGAGAAGATAAATTCAAAATGTTCGCATAAAAATATATGCTTCCAGGTACAAAGGCTTCAGGCCGGTTTCTTTCAGTCAATGCCAACAATTGTTGGCTTTCGACAGCACCGACAACAGTTCTGATAGCGGAATTGTGTATGGATTGAATTTTGCGAATATTCCTGAAGCGTGTGAATTCAAGGTTTATATCTTTTTAAAATTAACACTAAAATTAGCTTTAATTTATTTATACAGTAAATAGTTTATAGTTAAGTTTTTGAGAGTACATTTTTTTTGCTCAAATGAAAAAGTGTTCCCTTTTTCAAATCAACAACTTCTTCTATTTTCACAGCTGAAAATATGCTTTCGGTGTAATTAAATTAATAAAATAAAAAAACTTATAAGAATGACAGAGCATTTTGAATTTTTTTATGAAGGTTCTCCGCTCACATTTCCTCCGAATTTTTTTCTTCATCTGAACAATATCTTTAAAAAAAGTTCAAGAAGACATTATTTTATTTTGGCGACAAATTTGTTCTCGAAGAAAATCTGTCCAAAATTGCGTGTTCCAAAAAAATTTTTTTACTGATAAGATAAAAAAATTTTCGAAGAATCACATCAGGAAAAACATTTTTTTATTTTGTAGGTGATACGAAACTGAGATGGAAACTGTTTTCTGAAAAAAATTTCAGTTCTTTGTAAGATCAAGTTTTTGTAGAGTACCTCACTTTGTTTTTAAAAAAAATTAGAGTTTATCGAAAGTAGTTTCAATCAGTTTTTTTTTCAATTTTAATCGGCAAGAGAGGGTTTAAAAAAAAAAGCTTTTAATTGAATGAATAAATATTTGAGCAACGATTTTCAGAATCACCTGGAACGCCGTCATGCACAAGAGCGAAAAACTGGCCCCAGTGGTTCGTGTTTCTTTTCAAACTTTTCTAAAGAGGTTTTAATAGGCGCCTCAGTATAGAAGCTGAGTTTTATTTCGCGTTTGATTTTCAATTGGTTTTCAAAGTTCATAGAAAGCTTTACAAAGGAAAAAAATTCAGCGTGTAATTTCGTGGTCTATGTTGTATCCCGCGGTTTTTGAAAATGAAAATTTTCAAATTTTCAAAATGAGAAACCATATAAGTTAAGAAACAAAACCATATAAGTTAAGAAACGAAAATTAAAAGCGTCTCCCCTGGCGAACGTTCAGGATCTTGGAAAATTAATGAATTTAAAGAAAAAAAGAAAAATTTGAGTTCTTCGAACAAGAAGTTTTTTTCAATCAATGTTCTGATAATTTAGGACGTTATATTCTGAGATACCTTCACTTTTTCTTTTTTTTTTTGTCTTTTGTCGGTCGAACTCGAGTGTGAGACGAGGGCGAAAATCCATTTTGAATCCGTTGATATCTGCTTCGTGTTCCTTCTTTTCCTCCTGCGTTGTTTTCGTTTTTCCAATCGAAATGATTCCCTTTTCAACTTGCGAATCGAGAAGGCAACTCTTTGTACTTCTATTGATTTTTGACCTTCTCACGAAAATTACCGAGAAAAAGTTAATTACAAAAAAATATAAAGCATATCGGAATCTCAAATTGTCGAGAAATAGGCTTTTTGTACAAGAAAAAAAACTTTGGCTTTTCTGTTCAATTATTTTCATCTTCTTACGAGTTTTTGAAAGATTTTATGAAGTTAGGTCGGATAAGGCTGAAAACTACAAGACTTTTTTGCGTTCAATAAAACAATGTTCAGAAATTTATGGTCTTTCTTTTCTTTGTTTCAATCACGTGCCATTATGGTGATAAAGGACACTGGGAAAACATTCTTATCACTATGAATTTATACTGGGAACGTGCTGTGAAATGGAAACGAACTGCTCTGAGTGCTGCCACCCCTTCGGCTGGCTTTTCGATTGGCTTCGAGGTTAGGAGAACCTTTTTTTGTGATTGATCGTTTTCTAGACTTTTGTTTTATTTCGAGTATAAATAGAAAGAGCGATCAAATTGAAGCCTTTTATAAATAGAAAAAGCGATAAAAACTAATTTCAAATCCGGAAACTGGTTATTCATTTTTTATATAATCCGTCTCTGTGGTTACCAGTCTGAAGTTGGTTGGTAAAGAATGTACATATGTTTTTAGGCGTGGCTTGTTGCAGTTAGGTTTTTTTTTAGTAAAATTCATAGACATATGTAGAGGATCTATATTAGGGTAGCGCGTTTTCTTTTTTTGTAAAAATCAGTTTTTACAAAAGATCTTAGCGAAATTCCGTTCATGATTATAATTTAAGTGTTAAACAAATCAAGACACCTACAAATCTTTTTTTTCAAAGGTTTCTTCTTTTCAAGAGTTTTCTTGGAGATGCTTCTTAGTCAGTGTTCGCAACAACATTCCTGCAGGAGAAAAGTTCTTTGAAGGCTTAAAGTCCTCAAATATTTGATGCTTTGAAGGAAACAATTGAGGCGATTCCCGTTTTTTACTCTTTCCATTTTATGCGAGCTAGTAAGCACCAAAACATTTATCTCTTTTTATCCACCCCAATTTATCATGCAAATAAAGGCGAAATTTCAATACGTTAAAGCCCCGTATTCGTTGTCGACGTTTAGTGTTCATCACGTAATGTTGCGCGGCTTGTAAATGCTCGCCGCCGTACAAATACGAAGTCGCGAGAAACAATTTCTTGAGCCAGAAGCTCAAAGAAATTTTCCACGTAGACGGCGAGTAGAAAGAGGACATTCGCGTCCCGTCGACCACCACCAAGTGATCAGGGCGGCGCTTGAAGATAAATGCACAAATACACACACAAACACACACAGACACCAGAGACTCACGGCGATTTCTACACAATACATTCAGTCAACAAGGCCCTCTGATGGCGTTGTTAAAATTGATAAACTGGACTGAAGTAGTCTTTTTTTCATCCTTTTTTTTAGTCATAGTATGATATGTGAAATTAAAATTAAAGTCAGCTTTTATTTAGATATCTAGTCTTCATGTTTCGTAAATTTCTAGTTTTCAAATCAGTGCTTGGATTTGTGTCAAGCCTCTTTAATTTTTTTTGAAAGTAACTATGATGTCGAAGTTGATACTATTTTTATAATTTTAGTCTTTTTGAAATTTCTTGCTCGATTGTTTCACATTATTGAATAGAAAGTAACAAATCGAGGAAAAATTTAGTCTAGCCAAAAAGCAATTCAACAAGGAAATTCGAGAATAATCTTTGAAAGCAGAAAGGAAATTTTTTTAATTCCAAGCTTCATTTTTTGGCAGATAATTTTTCTAAGGACCATATTACACATTTCAAACTGATTTTCCATCTTTTTAGAAACGAAAAAAGACGAAAAGACGTAAAATTGCCCTTTCCTGCTGTTTTTACGTAGGACGCAAAATGCCATTTGGGTAGGGTTTTGGTTTTTTGTATTTTGTGGCGCTTTCTCAAATTAGTTTTTTCGGGAGAACAAGAAGAACAAGAAGAAGTCGTGAAATTCGAGAGCCGAGAATAAAAATTGTTTCCTGACAGCCGTTCTTCGTTTCCGTCCAAACGGTCAATTTCTTTTGTGTGTTGGAACCGTTTTGGCGCTTTTGGTGGTCCGCCGCGTGACTCCGCCCATTTTTTCCTACCCTTCCGATCGCCACCGAACGGCGTTTATTTTAGGGATTGATGGGTGGATATCACTTCCTTTTTGATTCCTTTTTAGTTTTTTTTTTTCTGATTTTGCCGGAGGAAGTTTTTTCATGAGTTATTAATATTCATCATTCCTTTTGTTTTGTGATCAACAAGGAAGGTTTGAAGACGAGTTTTTTTTTTGAAGCTAGTAACGAAGTCCTGATGAAAAAGCGAAGGAGAATTTTTTGTGGTGAATTCAAATGCTGCGATAATTTGAACAGAGCAGACGGTCGCATCACTTCATTTTTTTGAAAATGGAAAAAAAAATACCACAAAGCCTTTGAGGCTTATATTTTTTTTTTCCAAACAAGATTTACTAGTTTATTCTCTGTTTAATTTCTGCTAGGCCATTAGAACTAGATGCATCTTTCCGTGTCTTCTTTCGTTTTGTGAGAATTTGACTTCACAAACGATTCTCACTTTTCTTTTTCTCTCTCTATTCTTCTCAACGAGTGTCTCTTTCAAAAATTATTTATCTTTTCAAAAAATCTTCTCAGCCTCGATTAGGGGCCTTTTACTTTTATTGTTATAGCGGCTCTACAAATGCCGTTTCTTAGGTTTGTGGGGGAGTTTTAGTTTTTCATTGGAAACACTGGAAATTTTGTTCTATGCACATTTTATTATAAGAACTACAGTAGAAAGTTATAATAAAAATATAATTTGATTGAATAGACGTTAGATAAATCTTTTTTCCCAACATATGGAACTTCGAGTTCTCTACACTTTTAGGTAAGAATAAGAGAGGTTAGAATGAAGTTTGCTTATGAGCTTTTTGCCTTACATTTGCGCAAGTTGGTTAGTCGGAGTCGGTTCTCGGAGCGAAAAAAAAGGGAGTTTCGTGAAACGAAAACGCCTTGGGGGCAAAAGCGGTCCACCTTTCCCTTCGTCTTGTCGAACCTTTCGACGAAATTTTTTGACTTTTGTTTGCTTCGTGATTGCCAAGTCGGCGGCTCCTCTTGTGCAGCGCTCAAATGCGACTAATTTTTCGGCGTTTACTTTTAGTTAGCACTTACCTGCTTTGAATGATTATCGGTTTGTCAAATTGAAAAATATTAATTTGAGATTATTTTGAAGCATAATTTGTCAAATAACTTTTTGTATTTCTATTCTTTTTCGAACTTTTTACCAGGTTCTCTAAAATGTCTGCTCATTTTTTTCGCGTCTAGAGAAGTCTGTATCTAAATTTTGGACATTATTCTAAATTCGAGACCTTGAATCAATTAATCTTATTGGAGATTAGGGAGGAGCAAGGTATGATACCCAATAAAAAATTTCCGCATTCTTTTCAATTTGTTGAACAATTAGATTCATACTTCTCATAATTAATTTTTTGAACTGTCCAAAAAAGCAGAATAAACCGGTCACACTTGAGAATTCTTTTTCCCCTTACTTTTTTCGACTTTTGCATGCAAATCATAGAGTAGTTTGAAGTGGCGGATCGTTATGTCATGCGTATGTCATCCGTTCCTTCACTTTTAAAGTAAAAGGCATGGTTTTATTTGCTTTTTTGGTTGTTTTTTTTTCGAATAAAAAGACTAGAAGATCGAAAGAGTCAAAGGCGATCTAATGACTTGGATTCCCTGAAATGGGCATTTTTTTCAAGAAAGAGCTTGACACGACTTTAAAAAAGAAAACAATCCTCTTTTCGAACTTGTTGAGGCGCCACAAATCTTATTTCGTCACGCCCAAGTGCGTACTTTTGTGCAGAGAAATAGTTTTGGAACTGGCTCTTACCTTTATCGATCTGTTCTTTTTTGCTTCATATCGTCAGATGTTTCTATGAATTGCTTAGTTTGAAAGCTTTTCGTTGTCAATATTTTTTTCTTACTGCTTTTCCTTCTTCACCAAAATTTTCAAATTTTTCAAAACAAAAAGTTTTTCAGTTTTTTTTTCGGCTAATCACCAAAAAAGAAAAAAACAAGAAACTTTTTTTCAAATGTCTTCTCTTCAGCTTTGTATAATTTGACTCATGCGCTTTTAATCGAAGTTTCGGGCCGTTTCAATGATTTATGGGTTTTTTTTCTATGTTAGTGTTATTTTATAATTGTAGTGGTGAAGCTCAGATTGCATCCTATGAACAGTGAACTAAATACTCGAGAGAATAACTTTTTTTTTGCTGCCTAGTTGAAATTTCCGTTTACATTGCTTTGTTTGATATATTTATCTTTAAGCCATTTTTCCGCAAAAATTTTATTTGATATTATTATAATTTTTTAATTTAGACAAGGGTTAGTCATGAATGAAAAATAGGAATTTATCCCCACCTTGACAAGATGCTGGAGAGAAATATAGAAAACGTGGAAACAATATATTATCCATCTTACTCCTTTTTTTTTCTCTCACAATTCTTTCCTTGAATTTCATTATATTTGAACTATTTGAATATTTACTTCCGTTGGTCCGTTTTGTTTTCTTCTGAGGGACGGTTTCAAAATACGGTTCAGGTTTTTTCAGGCTTTGCGTTGAGACAGGAGCATGTGGATGGTGGTTAGCGAGGATCCGAATGGCCGGATCCGATATAAATATCACAATTTGGCCGCTACTCAACCGATATTTCAACCCGCAGAATACATTCGATCGGCTGGATTTGGCCGTGGCGGATGTTTGAGCTTCCCAGAGCCTAGTTATATCGCTGCCCGAACCATTCCAGTACAACTCGCCAAGAAGAACTATGAGTATGAGCATTACGATAATGTCGCCAATCTCGGCGGTGACGAGTTCTTGTCCTTCTACAACACTTACGGCGCCGTCACTGATTCTTCCAACAGCTCTTCTTCTGGGGAATACCAAGAGCCTGTTTATCCAACTTCTTCGGAACGAACTTTCATTCCAACCAGCCATTACCAGCGATGTTTTGTAGCGGCAGTGCCTGCGGAAAGTACCTATTATTATTACCGGGATCGCCAAGAAGAACAGCCAAGAGTTCCATCGCCAGATTATTCGCCGCCGTTGTCCAAGAATAGAGTTCGGTTCCGTCTACCCAATGAAGTTGAACCGGTATCGAAAGGCGCTTTTGTGAGCAGTCTTTACACGAGAACGCCGTTTCCGGAGGATGAAAATCCATACGAGGAGGACCAATCAGTTTCTCTAAATCCGGACCCGCCGCCAAAACCGAAGCGGGTACTCGTACATCGAGGATGTCCAGCTGGAAAAGTCTCAGTGCAGGTCAACACACAAGGCAGGACAACGACATGCGAGCTACCAGCATTTTCCGAAGACCCTATCTATTCGTATTTTACCAGTGGGTCGAACTCTACCAGCGAATCGAGCTACGCTATCTTGCCAAGTTGTAGCAGTGAGTCCAACTCGCCGGAATACAGCTTTAGCGCTGCTTCTTCGGCCTCTGGAACGACTCCTCCGCCATTACCACCGTGCCCGCCGCCTATTCATCGATTGGCCAAAAGTCGGCCTGTTCATAATTTGGCTTCTGGTAAGTTTTTTTTTTTTGAGATTTCGTAAATTGGCTATAATTTTTTTAAGATATGGGCGTCTTGTTGTGCTCCTCATCAAATTATTTCGACCTTTTGTCTTACAAACTGAACTTTTTCGGCTATTTTTGACGAATTTTAACGAGTTTGATTGGTGAGACTAAAACCTCATTTCAAGTTTTCGATAATGAAGTACAATTTCTTTTATTTGGCGAGAAGCATCAAGTTTCTGGCTTCACTCATCCGTAAAATTCCACTATATATTTTTTTTCAAACTTTTTAACGATAAAAGTCTGATTGTTTGTATAACAACGTACGAAATGACGCATCTCGTGTTTGCCAACTATAACGTTGCCAGCGGCGCTTCGTTTGATATACAACGCAGAAAACTTGAATTTTTGGAACGCAAACATTTGAGTTGGACTTTTTCTCGAGCTTGTGAACATTTTTTCTGGGATCAGAAAAATGGAAAAAATTTTGAGGCAATATCTCTTTTGGAATTTGGAAAAGGTTCTTTTCTTTTTTCTTTTTATACTTTTCATATCACCTATTCGAAATTCGCCAAGTTAATTTGATTTTGCTGGTGATGGGTCAGTTTTCCTCTTCCTCGAGAATACCACATGTACATCGAAATATTCAAGAAGTTCCTGTTCCAAATAAGAGTTGAGATTTTCTTTAGCTTTACAGCGAGAAAGCGAATTGCTGTTTAGGAAGCGCATATTTGGTCGCGGCGGGGTTGCGTGCCATTTGAAGTGTACCTTACGGTCGAGTGGGTCCCGATTTTGAGGCGATCTCATCTTTTGAGCGAATCGAACGATTTTCAAGCTGTGAATTGACAGTGGGGAGATTTCCAGAGAAAATGAGGAGCAGAACAGTTTTTTTCTGTATGGAAATCGTTTTGTATAGATCTTTTGACTTTTTGGTTTTTTTAATTTCTTTTTGGGAAACTCGAAAAAGTAAAAAAATTCTGACAACTCTTTCGAGATACCTTTAAAAAAAGACGACCACAGAAAGCCACATGATGATTCGAACTACTTATTTGAAGTCGCCTGGACTATTTAAAAGTTCGAAAACTTTTTTTCAAAGCTCAGTGAGCTTTTGAGAAATTTGGTTTAGGAAATTCACACTGAACTTTTTTAGAAAAATATTTTTGATGAGTGAATCCATTCAGATTTCCTCGAAAAATTTTAAATTTGGAGAAATTTCAAGTTTTTGATCGTTGAAGTTCTGAGAACCCCAGCGAAGAGTATGATTCTACTTTTTTTAATAATCGCGTTGTTTGATCTAAAAAGACAAGCGCGTAATGTTTTAAAGTGTGCCTACTAGTCAAAAAATTTGAAAATTATTAAAAGGATATTCTTAATGAACTTTTAACTCGAAACGAAATTTTTCTCAATTTTTCGATTGAAAGAACTTCTCCAATGGTTTTTTCAGCTTCTCAGAAACTACCGAAATTTCAGAGCTCACGTTCCGAAGAAGTTTTTAATGATATATAAAGATGCGAATGGTTAATCAAGGCGAAAAAAAAAGAGAAAAAATCTGAATTTTTAGAAATAAAGTATGATATCTGTGTAATGAAGATGGTTACGAAACACCCTGTCAAGATTTTTTTTTGGTCTTCAGGGTTTTTAAGCTGAAATTTTCAGGCGTCCCTCAAGTTCAGCCTAGTCGAGGGCTGGAAATAACGCAAGCCTATGGAGCGACGTCGAGGTCGACGGCGCCCATGCCGATGGCAACGGGCAGCGGAATCACCCAAGTTGGCACGATGCCAGTTCAGCTGCAACAGCCTCAAAGGGGTAGGGTTGGATATCGAGCCTTGTGAATATTTCTATTGATTTCAAGAAAAGTCGGGTGGCACTAGTGGACTATTTGGAACCAGACGCGACAAGAAAAAAGACAAAAAACCGCGAATTCGCAAGGAAGACATCAGCAATCCGACCAATTTTCAGTGAGTCGAAGAATATTTGCTCCCGAACTTGCAACAAAATGTGACACTAACTGAAAAAAAAAATAGATAAATTTGAAAAAAGTTAAAATTAATACGAGTTTTTTAATTGGTAAATCCCGAATAACCTTTTCAACTAACTAAAAAGCAAAAAACTTGTAGTTAAAAAAAAGGTAGATAAAAACATGATCGTCAGTTTTTTGCACGATGTTCAGCTAGTAGCAATTGACGTGCTTAAAAAATAGCAAAATTCGGCGCTAAGCCTTGTACAACAGGATGTCTATGAAATTGGAAGCCTCGAAAGAAGAGCAACCACTTCGAATATATCATTCACTCGAGATTTTTTTTTCGTTCATTTAACTATTTCTATTGTTCCAGACATAAAGCTCACGTTGGCTGGGACCAGGACAATGGCTTCTCAAACAAAGTCTACGCTCAAGATATGGATCAGGAAACTATGTTTGAGAATTCTCCGAAACTTTCATGAAACCTAAACATGAAATTTCAGAAACGTGATCAAAGCGGCGGGCTTCAATTTGGACGATATGAATGAAAGAGATCGGCGATTCGCGACCAAATTCATCGCCAAAAACTATGATAAATACGCGAAAGTAGATGGGCTGGCGGATGTAGCGCCGGCGCTGCCTCCTCAACCTTTGAATGCCTGGAATCGGGCTCCGTGAGTTTGAATCGTTTTTTTTTTCCTTTGAAGTGGATAAAAACTCATTTCGTATGCAGTTTAAGTTCCGTACAGTTATATTGGATCGTCCCATACAAGTTCATTTAAGCATAGAGTTCAGAAGTTTTCCGAAATTGGCTTTAAAACCCTTTGATGGACTGGAGGGAGTAAGATAAGAATTGTGTTTTAGATGCTTGTCTGGTGTTAAACGGCTGATCGGCTGTAGCATCCCCGGGGGCTACGGACCAACATGAGAGTGCGTCCAATAAGGATAGGACCCCTTCGTTTCTGACTTTATGGGGAATCTAGAAAGTTTATCAAAAAATCTGTGATTGTCATTCGGTTCAGCGTACAAAAGAACTTATGTAACCGAATTTCCATCTTCCTAGCCCTTTTCTGTTCTGTTTTTAGAGCGTCCAATAAGGATAGAACCCTCTGGTAATTTCGACCTTTTTTTAGACGTTTTCCGTCTTTTTTCATTTTACATGCGGATTTTTCTTCTTAAGGCCACTCACGCCTCAAATTCCAATTTTTTGTGCGCCAAAACGTCCAGTTCCGAAACATATTTTTCATCAAAATTTAGAGAAAAATGGGGGTTTTTCGAATAGATTATTGCAGAGCGTGAATTTTTTCAGTTCGTGAAATGATTTTTTTAACTTGTAGTTTTCTAAGTTTCATAAAAAAGACGTCGAAACAATTTAATAATAATCTTAAGATCAACTCCGAAGATGAAGCCATCCTTGCCGTCGGTCGGACCAGCTGCCTTCAGCACGCCAGCTCCTTCAGCTCCTCCAGCCCCTCCTCGTGTAGAATCTCATGGAATTGCACCGGCACGACCTCCACCACCGCCGCCTGGACGAGATCGCGCTCCGTCTAGGCCTCTGCCTCATGTTTTAAATATCTTGAAATAGTTGCCTCATTTCAAAAGTTCAGGTGCCGTCCACGCCGACCTTAGAATCGCGACCCGCTAATGTGCCGCCGCCACCCCCGCCACCTCCTCCCGCACTGGGGCAGTCCGTCCCTGCTCCTCCACCACCTCCGCCCATTTCCGATGGTAAGACGATTGCTAATTTCTTTCTTTTTTTTAATGATTTTGTCTTGTTTTTTGGCACGCTGTCTCTGTATTTTTCAAAACTGCATTCAATGCCGGAAAAAAAAGAGAGAGGGAAATTTTTTCAATGAAATTCTTTGCAGCTGCACCTCCACCGCCGCCTCCGCCGCCTTCCTCGACAATGCCGACTATAACCGCCACTTTGCCGACGGCTCAACCAGGCAGAGGAAATTTGCTGGCCGAAATACAGGCCGGCAAGCAGTTGCGATCTGTCAAAACGGATCAGAGCTCGGATTCGAGCGCTGGTGGTCGTGATGATGTGATGGCCCAGATTCGGCAAGGAGCGCAGTTGCGACATGTTAGTTTTCTGAATGATTTTCGGTGGCCGTTTAGATCTTTATGAAAATTCACTGAAGCTTAATTTTGACCTGAACTACTGAGGAGTTTACATGCATTGGGTTTTACACGGAATTTTAATTCGAAGACATCGCTGAAAAGAATTTCCAATTTTCGGAGAGGTGAAGATTAAAAAAAGAAATGCATATTTACTCGTTTGCTAGAGATCATTTATTTTCTCGCTCTAGCTACGGGTAAGCGTTCTTGGTCTCTTATATCAACCGAACTTCGATTTAAAGCGGAAAATCAACGATTTTCTGCAGATTGACGCTGCCGCCGAGCAGGAGAAACGGCGTTCGACGAATGCCGCAGTTGGAATGGGCGGACTGGCTGGCGCATTGGCCAAAGCTCTCGAGGAACGTCGCATGAACATGGGAATCGACGACTCGAGCGATGATCCCGATTCTGAAGAGAAAAACGAGTGGAGCGACTAGCCCGATACTTTCTTTCTCTGTGCTTGGTTTCGGAGTACAATCCTTTCCGGGTTATTTTGAGGAGAAACTAGCGTTTTACGCAAATAACGGAGACCTTAACGATTTACTTTTTCAAGGAAAAGTTGGATTGGATAGCCAAACTTGAGTAGCTCTCCTTCTATGATCTCAGAAAAAAAATATGTGTCTAAGGTGCTTCCTAGATTTCGAAGATTAGATTCATTTCTCAAGCCTGAAAGTCAATACTCCAAAACCTGGCTCTTCCTTTCTACAGAAAACTTTTTCTTTTTATCTGTTCATCTCAATGTTCATCTGCATATGTAGCGTTTTTTCTGTATATTTTTGTTCCATAACTTTTTTCTGCAATCTAATCATGAGTTCAAACAGTTTTGTGTAGTTGAATATCTATCCGCTCTCCGCGACCGGTGTGTGCTTGTTTTTCTTTTCATCATTTTCGCCCAACTGTGATACATTTCAATTTATTTTTTCTTCCGTTTTTTGGGTGGCATTTTTTCTGGAACATAATAGATAATCACCTAAGTTTTGCTCATTGTGTTCATAATATAACGCCCAGTGCTTCTTCTTTTTTTCCAGTGATCGGAGTGAGCTTTCTCATTATTTTATTTATTTTTTTCAAAAGTTTTTAGAGCATTTCCGATCAATCATGAAATTTGCATGTATGTGTCAAAAATAGTCAAAGATGTCAAAAAGCATATTATTCGATCAAAAATGGTTCCTTCTAGTTGTCAAAAAAAATTTTTTCTGCTTTGTGTTGAAAAAGAAAAGCCTGCTTTAAAGAATAAAGTTTTTTTTGTAAAAAATTTGACTTACGAATAGAAGCTTAAAAGGCTATATCAGTACTTGAGTGAATATTTAAATATTTTTGTCTCCTTATTATATCGAATGTATTTTTTTGATTGGATGAAGCAAAGTCATTTTAGAAGAGCGCTACTAAAATGAACAAAAAAACATTGTTGATCTAACTTTTTCTCATTACTTCTTAAAAATTCGAAATTGGATATAATACAAGATTGTGATGTTTCGGCATTCAAAAAAGAGGTCGTAAATCACAGATTCATGTTCAGAAGTTTCATGAGTCTTAAAAATGAATTCCAATTGGTACATGTTGTGAGAGGAATAGGTCATAAAGATGTTCTATAGGTCAAAACCGAAAGTGGGCGGATGGTGGCGCGATTTACAACGGTACCGTCGTTGTCTTGGGTTGGAGCCGCCCGTGATCGTTCGACCACGCCCACTACCATATTCATCACTCCTACGTGAACTTCTACTAAGAAACGAGAAACATGCTCCGACAACTTTTACTTCTGCTTTTACTTGGATTCTTACCAACGACAGCTTCTGGATGGTGGTACGTCTTTTTTTTTTTTACGAAGTAGTCTATTTAATAAATACTTTCTATGTTGAAAAACGAAAAACTCTTCCAGTAAGTCACGGAAATTGATACGGATGAAAAGGAGATTAGATATAAAATATAATGTTGTTTTTTATCTTTAAGTAAGACTATAATTTTGAAGATAACTTTAAAAAATAGGCCAACTTCCCAATTTATTTCCAAGAAATTGTATGGTTCTTACAGATAGGAAATTATTTTTTTATTCATTTTTTTCTAACCAATTGTCTTTTTTTGGGATTGACCTATATAGTTTTTTTTCTCTCTCTTATAGTTTTTTGAATTTGTTTGAATTAATGATCTATACTTACGAAGATTTCTCATTGTAGTTTTGATTTTGATGATCTTGGGAATTTTTGCTGTGAGTGCCAGAGGACACGACTTTTTTTTTACGCAAACCAATTACGGGTCAAGATTATTGGAGCCGAGATCGAGGTGTTAATGAGCCGAGCGTGTACTATACCAGTGGCTCAAATCCACTTGAGTTCCTTGGGAATTTCCTGTTGGCCAGAATGTTTTCGTTCTTCTGAAATAAAAACTCTATCGGCTTTATTTTCGATTTTGACCAAAAAAAAAAGTCATCTATCGGCATATCTGGGGAAATCTGTAAATTGTGTGGGACTTTCGGTGTTTGAAAAATAAATTTAAAAAAAAAATTTTTCCGAAGTTCACAAAATTCCATTTATAGTTTTGTATTTTTGCTCGGTTTTTTTGATTAGTTCACCTTCAAAAGCTTTTATAACGCGTTTTTCTTCCTAAGGTTGTCCTGTGGCCTGGAACTAGGAACAAATTAAAAAGCTCTCTCATTTTTAATCAGATCCTAAGTTTTCATTTTCCATATTGAATCCAACAATTTAGATTTTTGAGATTATCCGAAAATAGTTTTAGGAAAGAAGTAATATTAACTTCTGTCCCACAAAAAGGATTAGGCATAGCCTGTTAAAATTTTGAATGTCAATTCTTCGCTCAAGCTCCACCATTTAACGGGACCATAAACTAGCGAGCAATCCACAGAGATTTTTCGAATGACGTGATTCTAACTGACCTTTGAAATCTGAACATACTATGATTTTCTATTTCATTTTCTCCAAAGAATTTAATTGTGAATATGTACGTCTGAATATTTTCTAACTGAAAATGGAGGCCTACTGGTTGATTAGCAAGATCATTTTGCGATTGAATTTTTCAAAAGCCATTTTTTTCAACTAGTGAAGTTATACGGCTTCAGAAAAATCTGTTCAATTTTCAAAAAGAAGGAGGTTCTTCTTTCGAGAATAGTACAGTTTTTTCTATCCGCCATTGTTTCCCACAACGGCAAAAAACGTACCGGCGGAAAAGGCTATTGTTGCTGCCGACGGCCGTTGTTTTGGTCAGTATCGGCGAAAAGAAAAAAAAGGTTCGGTTCTGTATGGCTCGAGAGCCATTTAGGGTGATAGTTTACGACAGGCGGCGACCGCTGACCGTTTTTATGACCAGCGCGGCTCTTTTCTCGTTGCGCCGTGTGCTTCTATGGGTTATATGGGTTTCTGGGAATCGCTCGCAAATGGGATACTGTACGACACTGATTTAGAATGAAATGACTACACGGAAATATATTTGCCCCTTTTTTGACAAATTCTCCATCTGCGTCGACTATTGCTGCTCCGTTGAAAATCTCGTTGATTTTGGTGTTATCGAAGAAAAAAATATCAAGTCTTAACAATAAGTCCTTTCGAAGAATTCAGATCAGTTTATTTAATCTTCAGAGCAGATTTACTGCTGAAATATTGAAAAAATGAAGAGTCTGCATGATCGTGCTGACCAACAATGGCCCGTAGATCATCTCGCCTTTTTTGTGATAGTAGCAGCTATGAGTGTTTTAACGATCATCTGCTCCTTCACGTGGGAGCAGTACGGCTTCTCCTAAGCTCGTCCAAGACGCTTTTAATTACTTTTTTTTTGATTTCAAGTTTATAAAACTTTTCAACGTTCTTTGCCGGTTTCAGGCTCCTATCCAAAGCCGATGAGACTAGACTCGCACGGCACGCATCAGCTTGCAACGCCGTACCTGGCCTTTCGCAAAAGCAGCGAGAACTTTGCACCCGACATCCCAATTTGATAAAATATCTGGTTTGTCTATTTTATTTTGGATTTATCATTTTTTCATAGGCTCAAACAATTCCAAAAGTTGAGCAATTAAAAGAAAATAGGATGTTCTTTCAGGTGTCTGGACTTCGATTGGCTCTGAATGAATGCCAAGAATCGTTCCGACACAATGTTTGGAACTGTACCCTGGCTTTGCCGGGCGTTGGAACTTCCCCTTTGAAAGGTTTTCATCCCAAATTATTGTTTTCTATTTCCGCTTTGTACAAACACACTAAGTGAACAACTAAAAATGTGGTACATACAGTACTTTTCAAGAATGGGATTCTTCTTTCTATCGTATCGTCAAGCATTCATATAAAAACGCGTTGGAAAATTATTCGATACGTAATCCGTTAAGATCGAAGACTAATAAGTAAAAAATTCAGAAAACTTTGACGCTCACTGAATTTGCAAATTACCAACAATTTTCTAGTGGCATCTCGAGAATCAGCATACGTTTACGCTATCGCTTCAGCTGGTGTGAGTCATTCGCTGGCCCGCGCTTGCTCCAAGGTTTGCTTATTTATTTCATTTCCTTTCATTCCTTCCGAGGTCACATACATATATTGAATGAATGCCAAGAAAATAACGCCTTGTAGGGTCTTATCGACGAGTGCGGTTGCGGCGGAACTCCTCGCGGAGGTACTAAAGAGTTCACTTGGGCCGGGTGTTCTGATAACGTCCGCTTCGGCAACTCGTTCGGCCGAAAGTTCATGGATGTGACTGAAAAACAACATGCTGATGCTAGGTTTGAAATTATGACGAAAACAAAAAAGAACCTTTCAGATTCGACATGTTCGTTTTAGGAAGATTGAACGATTCTAAACTTTGAAAAGCTCGGGTAGTAAGGAAAAGTTTCGATTAATAAAATTTTCCATTTTTTTTTAATATTCAGCCCGTCCGGATTTTTCACACCGTTAGTTTTTGAGCGTACACCAATCGCGATTTTTGGACGTTCTTTTAGTTAATAATGAGTTTTTTGTACCAAAAAGTAGGCGAATTAGAAAAAAATAGAACGTTCAAAGATACAAATTTAGTTTTAACAATCAAGTTTTTGCATACGCCAGCAAGTCTAAAAAAAAGCCTAATTCGAGAAATACGACTTTAGTAAGTAAAAAGTCGTATTTTCTGTAATTTTTCATATATTAATGTCGAAAATAGCCTTTTTCATTTTATTGAATAGAGAAAATGGTCTAGTATGGCCAGCGAAGACGGCGCAGTGGACGCAAACTGCAAACTGGACGGGACCCTGTAGGTCTGAACTGGTGTGACTGGAAAAGAGTGGATAAAAAAATAAGCGGAATCTGATTATAAAAAAATGTATTTATAAGAAGAGTTTATGAAATGCTTTGAAATTTGAAAGAGGCAGTAGAGAAAAAAATTTTTTTATTTGTTATTCAGACAGGGTTTCAGAGCGCTGATGAACTTGCACAATAACCGAGTGGGTCGTCGTCTCCTCGCAAGTTCCCTGAGCAAAGAGTGCAAGTGCCACGGCGTCAGTGGCAGTTGCGTTACCAAAACGTGCTGGAAGATCGTGCCCAAGTAAATTTTTATCACTTGATCCCAAATCATGAAAGAAACTCTTTGAATTTAAATTAGGTTTTCTTCAAGGCTCAGCCATAGAACTGTTTTATTTATAGGAGCGTAATCATTTTTCAGTTCTTTTCGCTCGGCTTGTAATAGCAATTTGCGGCATTTGCGGTCTTTCTCATTTTAAGATTTTGCTCAAATTTCTTGGTGAAGATAATAATTATTAATATCTAATTTCATGAAAGATTTTCGCTTATTCGATAATTTTTAAGTGGGCGCCAAAAAGCACCGTAACTTTTTTTGATTCACTCGAAAAAAAAACTATTCTAGACGGTTCTATCAACAAAAACGCATTTTCAGGTTCAACGACTTCGCCAAAAGGCTCAATGAAAAGTACGAAATCGCACACCAAGTTAGTTGTGATTAAAAGGAAGTATGACACGATAATTTTGAGGTTACGGTAACCGGTCCAAGCGCCCAACTTATCTTGCGGCCCGAACCTACGCCTGGAGGCCGCACCGAACGTTATTTGAAACATCGCGAAACTAATGAGGTGATTTTGCTTTATATGACGATATATTGTTTGTTGAGCGATGTTTTTTTTTCAAAATTGAATTTACATTCCGTAGACTACAAAGAAAATAGCCTTTTTGATTGAATTTTAACAAAGACCGCTCTCGAGATCTAGTTTTTCGTACTTTTTATGTTGGACTTCCTTGTATGGAAACAAAATTTTTTTGATCTCGCATTGAGCGAGGTGGCGCGTCACTGAAAAGAACTTTTTTCAGATGAGCGACTTGAATACCGTCAAAAACGACTTGATCTTCTTTGACGCCTCGCCCAACTACTGCGCAATTGACGTCAAAGACCGCGAATGTGGCTCCGAGTGTGGGAACATCTGCTGCGGCCGCGGCTGGAGAACGATCCGCGAAGTCGTCGACGAGCCCTGCCACTGTCAGTTTGTGTGGTGCTGCGAGGTCAAGTGCAAGACGTGCAAGCGAGTCGTCGAACGCAACTATTGTATATAAACTCCCTTTTTGTATTCACGTCCATTTACTGATCTCCTATCAAGAGTTTTATTTATTTATTGATTTCTACGATTTTTTTTTTGCTCTCAAAGAGTTGCCAGCTATAACCATTTTGGCCATCTTTATATTGATTGATTGATCTGATTAACTCTCAAAGAGTATCTAAAACCCCGTCCTTCAGCCGATTTTCTGTCAATTTTTTTTTCCCTGACTTAGAGTTTTACAGATCTCTTGTCACCCACCAAATATAGTGTAAAAATTTTTACTTATTCGCTGTAATAAAGCATAATAATCAAATTGAATTTTTTTTTCTATTTTATCGTTCGGACCGAAATACAAACTTTCTTTTTTTGATAATTGACCTTTAATAGGTTTTAAAGAGTATATCCTACCTCGATCCAATTTTTTCAAATGATTAGATTTTCAAACCTTACGCTTTCAGCGTATATTTTGAGCCTTCGTCTTCATACGGAAAAAAAGTAAAAATTTTACTTTTTTTAAAAATAAGTTTTTTTTTTCGCGTAAAATAGTCATATGAAACGATTTTATATAGTGACGTGACGTATTATAGGTTCGATATTTGACTAAAACACTGAAATATAAAGAGCGTGGTTGAAAAAAAGACAAGAAGGAACATCACAGGCGAGGCACGCGATTGCGCGCTACAGTTACTTTCAATATTAACCAGAGTAACCATGAATTGAGCAGTGAAGACAGAAATTTGGCAACTACGTAGTCCTTCAAGTTGTGCATGTTTCTAGATTTTTTTCAGATAAGGAAAATGAAGTCGCCGCTTGAAGGGCCGTTAGGACCAGCGAAGTCTTCTCCGGACAGTTAGTTCTACCAGGTAAATTCATTTAGAACTGTTTTCAACTTGATGGAAAATCGGAGGAATAAAAATAATGATAATTAACCATAAAAACAATATCATAAAAACGAACACGATTGTTAAAAAAATGAAGTTGAAATTGAATGTTTGGGGGAATTCGACCCGTAATTTAAATAGTTAAATTAGAGTTGAAAGAAGTAATGAAAAAGCTACAACAAGGCATACACAATATAGTCCGTTCACGTAACTTTTTTTCTCTGAAAAAAATGAATTTTTTTGGATAAAAAAATTAACTAAAAACGAGGCCTTTGCTCAGAAAATTGAGCAAAACAATAAATGATTGAAAAGAAAAAAGTCGAGCTAATCTATAGAGAGTAGAGATGAGCGGAATACCGCGTAAAATTTCTTATTCCGCATTCCGCAATAATGCCGTGTTCAAATTGATTCCGCGAAATTAGAAACAACAATTACAAAGTAATCGCGAAAATTACTTTGAACACAGCATATTAATTAAGTTCTGGCTATATCTGTAATCTAGTTTCACAATGGAAAGAAAAAATAAAAACTAATGATGATAGATTTGTTGAAGGCGATCACAGCTTGGCATCTTCGTGTTTTCCGCCTCGCGTAACAATGCTTCGTCCCGCATCCACCGCGCTCGGTATATTTTCGTTTCTTCTGAAATAACTTCATTCTTCAAGAGTTCGAGTTCAATAAGGTCAATTTTTAAAGTCCGTTTGCTAATTTTTGAGAAAGAATTTGAATAATTTTACTCAGAACTGCACGGCGAACCCAGGGCGACGCCAAAAAAAGCCTTCAGGTATGATATTGTACCCCCGACAAAAATTAACATACTTCCGAATTTTTTTTCATTTTTTAAATGAGCAAGAGAGAAAATTTTGACGTTAATGGCGTATTCATCGGAGAAACGCAACAGGTTTCCAACGCAAAAGCGTGTTTATCGGCGCACCGAAGTTGCTTCAAAACAGTACTAATTTTTGTTTTGGAGCAACTTTCTTGCGTTTCGGAACAATTTTCGTTGCCCGATGAACACGCCATGAAAGAGAAAAATTGAAAGATTGCTCATTTATCTACCATTTCAAGAAAGAAACCGCTCAGGAGATCAACTGAAATTAATTTAGAATATCTCAAAACTTAGCAAAGTTCAAAGTACCGATCCAGTCGAAAATGATACTGAAATAACATTTTTATAAGCTAAGAATATAGGCGATTCACGAGTAGCTTAAGACGCGAAGGGCGTGGCCCTGTCTCAATCGGAAATGACCGGCCCGGCCCAAAAATCTCTAATTTTCTTGAAGTCGAATATCAAGCTTTTTCATGAGAGAAGATGTTTTTTGCTTATTTTGCACATAGAGTTATTAAAAACTATGATTCAACAAGTAAAAATTATTTTTCGGGAAAAATTTTTAAAAAGCGAGGCCTGGCCCGATCATGCACAGGCTTTTTCTCAAAAATGAGATCTTTATCTCTTATTTTATCGTGTCAAGACCCTTTCTTCTCAAACCAGTCGTGGATCAGCGCAATGTAGCGCAAAAATTATGATTTTTTTTCATGAAAGATCCATGTGGATCAGGATGTCATTCCCCAAAGGCTTCATAACTGAATCCCAATTATTAAGTATTAGTTCATTGAGCCCTCAATTTCTCTTTTTTAAATTGAAGACCAATATCTCTTCTTTGTAGTTGTTATAAAGTTCTAGATCCTTCTAAAACTAACTGATGTTCTGCTCCTTGTAACAATTCATCCGCAATTGCTGTATATAATCGTCCTCAACTTGATGTTCAACCTGAAGCATGAGAGTATGATGGACTCTCTGAATGTTTCTGACCTGTTTTATTCTGCCCCTGTAGTTCTGATCAAAGTCTGGCCTAACGAAGTACGGAACTTTGAGTTCGGCCGTCGTCTTTCGGACTGTATATTTGCTGAAAACTGAAAATCTTCTTCTGTAGACGACTGGTTATAAAAATGACTTCTTTCCAAAAAATATCATCAATATTGGCTGTCAGCGCAAGTCTTCTGAACGATTGCACTTTGCAAGCTATTCCAAAAGGAATTTGAATATTTCTGCTCATCATCTTATTTACTTTCTCAATTCAAACTCACTGAGTCTGATGAAGCGAGAAAGCCGGATCGCCAACCATCAGCTGGGCAACAATTCCCAAAACCAAAATCGCGATCAACGGCAATAATTGAAGGAGTTGTCCATAGGGATTCTTCAAAAAAAAAAAAGCTCTTCTTCCACATTAGCAAACTTCATTACCGCTTCATGATGTTGTCGTTCTTCGTAGTTTTGTTGTTGCTGAGCGTTGAATCTCTGCCTTCGGCGGTTCACTGAGTCTGAAGGGAATCCACCGCCGAAAAACATGTTGAAAATCTCCTCCGGCGTGAAATCAGCTAAAAAAAAAGTTCATTTTATTTTCCGAAATCTGAGGGTACATGAGCCGCAGAAATTCGAGCAGCAAACAGTTTTTTTTTAAAGATTTATCATAAGTTTTCGAAAAAAAAACCTTGTTCTCTTTACATTTGATCTTGTTTTGGATTATGTACTCGCGAAACAAAAACTTAATTGTATCCGTAGAGCGCCCATTTACACGATCTGCGACGGTGAGTACGAAAAAATTCAACTTTGATTAAAAATTCTCCGAAAAAAATAAATTTCCTTTCAAAATTTTTGAACGCACCGATATTTTTCAATGGAGCACTTCCATTTTGAAATCTAGACTGAACATTACGTTTTTTTTTGCAACTAGAAAATCTGGACTCAAATCCCCATTGACTAAAACGAACAATCGAATCCATGGGCGTAGTCGTGTTCGAAGAAATGACCGCCGTGGGACCTGCGTGAAGGGGCCGCAAAACCGTTGGCCGCCTCAGCGCCGTACTGATCATACTGTCGGCGCTTTTCCGCGTCTGACAATACGGCGTACGCGTTTCCAAGAGCTTAAACATGAGTTTCAATTAGGGAAAACTTGTCAGGATCCTTGTTAGAAAATGAAAGCTTTTCTGGAAGTTTTACCTTTGAAAGCTTCAGTCGCATGCGGAGCTCGACATTTGTCAGGGTGGAGTTTCAGTGCCATTTTTCGGTATTCTCGGCGAATATCGTCATCCGAGGCTGATTTCTCGACCTTTGTTTTTCGTTTTTTCGAAAATGTATTTTCTAGACAAACCTTCAAAATTTCGTAGTAGTCTTTGCAATGCCGAATCCGCTCCACCAATTCTTGTTGCTGAAATTCCTTTCAGTCAAAATCGAAATCACGGCAAAAAATACCTCCTTAGTGTAATCAACGCCCAATTTCGGGGTTCTGGACGCTGACCGCGGCTTTTTCTCTTCTTTATTTTCGTCTTTTTGAGGAACTCGACCTGAAAATCCGTATCATTTTATCGGATAAAAAAGCGCCGAATGAGTGAAATATCAGGAAAAATGCAAGGTTAATTCAATTTTCCAAATCTCTTGTTTTACAAATTTCTCATTTATTTTCGATTTGCGCATCGTTTGGCCGGTGTATCAGTACTCGGATTCAAGCAACTGCTAAGATTCGTCTAATCGACGCTGAAAAATTCAAAAAGGGCCCCTATAGCTATTTCATAGCAAAAAAATTGAGAAATGTAGAAAGATATATTGAAAAAGTCTGTCATGTTAAATACGATTTATGCTTCCATTTTTTAAAAACTTCCACCAAATTCTTTCTTTTCCAATTTTCTTATGATAAAAAGGAAAAAATATCTACCATTCCTGGCCGGACTTCGATTCCGGCCCCTTTGTCTGAGGTTAGGCTCATCGTAGTGATCGTCGTGTGCATAACTTCGCTCTTCGGAATCTCGGCTTGACGACTGCGATGAGGCCGTCATATCGTCCACCTTTTTCAACAAAACTGAAACGAACTTTCAAACATAAAAAAACTATTTTTCCTGAAAAGTTTTCATTTGATTTCTTTTCACTTTTGGCTAATCTAAATTTTAATCGCGTCCAGTATTTAACATTGTCATAGTATTGACACTCGGGGAGGAAATATATGTACCTATGCTAAAGGTTAAAACGTGTTCATCGGCGCACCAAAGTTGCTCCAAAACAGTTCTAAGTTTTGTTTTGCAGCATCTTTCTTGCGTCTCGAAACAATTTTAGTTTTATCCGATTAACACGCCATAATTAAGAAATTCTGAACTTGGAAACCATAAAACCTTTATGAAACTTGTTCGAAAACCCATCGAAACTTGAAACTCGACAAACTTCAAATGCAAGGAGAAAAAAAATAATAGCCGCGTTCAACAGTTGTAACAACAGCGCGTCTTCAGAAACATCCGTGTTACACAAATTGAGAATGATGCTTCAATTTGCAATAGATACGGAGAGTAAAATTTTATTACGTGTTTTATAACCATGCTATTACTTTTTTTAAAAAAATGAAAAAAAGAGTGAACAAGCTAAAAAAAGTTTTAAAATTTAAAAAAGAACGATGACGTGTGCTGAAATTTTTTTGATATTAACTGATATATAATGAAAGGTTTTTTTCAATGATTTTGTTTGATAGTATGATAAATAAGTTTCCTTTTAACCAATTAAACTCACACTTTATATCCTGATTGGGGTCAAGATGCTTGGCTTTTATTCAGCAGCCGTCGTGCTTTGTCAGCATCGCCAGCCTAAATTTTTTTCTTTCAATTTCTTCCTCTTTTTTTTCTTTTCCCTTTTCAGCGGTTGACTCGGGATTCTTTCAATTCTTACATGCAAATATCTTTTTTTAAAAAAATTACGACAAAAAAATATTTAGTAAATTATCAAAAACTTAGTGAAAAGCTTACCTTGATAGCCTCGCGAGCCTTGTCCATGCATAGCATAGATTCGCTGCGATTCGCATCGGCCGTCATTTTACTTAAGTTCTGCAACTAAATAAAAAAAATCATAGTTCCGAGTCTCTGAAACGGTTAACTCACACGAATGAATAAGTAGACTTTCAAAAGCGATTTTCACTCTTTCAAGCTACCGGTCCTGTAAATGAATCTTAAATTTTTGAACCTTACAAGGACTTAAAACAAAATAAGAAAAAACAAACATCATACCGTGTTCAAAGTAATTCCCGCGAAATGCTGAAATGATCTCTGAATCTATGAAATTTAGTTATATTTTTCTTTCTCTAACGGGTATTTTGCATTTCGCGGAATCACTTTAAACACGGCATCAGAAAATTAAAAAACAGAATTGCAGGTGATCCTGAATCAATGGAGAGTCCGATGGGGCGCACTTCACCATGATTGTCCGACGGTTTCAACTCGCCTCAATTGTTTTTCGAGTTTTTTTGTTACCCGCTGTATTCAGTAATGAAACGAGTATGGAATACGCTGAGTAAAAGCGTCAAGGGTGGTACGTTCCAAAAAAAGGCCGTCGAGCAAGTGGAGAAAATAGAAAAGGGCAAAGTGAAGGTATGTACAACTTAGTTTTCTAATTCATTTCTCAGTACGTGTTCAGATTGCACCACCACAATATCCAAGCTCTCGAAGCGTGTCCGCGTCACCCGAAGAAAAACGAAAAATTCAAGAAGTTGGTTTCCTGGTAAATCAATGGAAAAATCTGAGATTTAGGATTTAGATTCGAAAAATGAGGAGTTGATTGAAAACATGAACAAGATTCACATCAAAAGCAATGATCCTCGAGAAAGGTGGATATCAAACAAGGATCTTCCGACGAAAGAAGCTGAATACCTTCATCGAAATGATCCCGTTTGGGAGTACGGTTTTTTCGAACCAGAACTTGACAAAATTCCGAAAAACAAGTTGATGTTTCGCGAAGCTTTGGAAGTAAAAAACAATCTTTGTAAAGTTGAAAATTAAAAATAATTTGGGTTCTCCGAGCGAAGCAAGAGCTTTCCGATGAAACGAGGAAAACTTCTTCTGAAGCTGTGAGGTTTTTATGGAAACCTATCTGAAATGGTTTTTTATTAATAAATTTCAGAAAAAAAGCGCTCGAGAATTACTTACAAGGCATCCAGCCATAACTCGTGTTGATTCTGAAGTCATCGAGGAAATTTTTGAATACTTCCGTCCGTTTGAACGGAAAGATACTCAGAAGGTTGAGAGAATATTAACTCTACATATGTTGAACTTATCTCAAATTTAGGTCGTTAACAAGTACGAATTGGAAAAGCTTCAAGAACATCTCAAAGGTCAGGTTGACACACATGGACTGCTTGATGCGCCCAAGGTTTTTTTTCGACTTTTCTCAACTTTAATTCTAAAAAATTCAGAAAAAGATGAAGTTTCTGGTTACTGGGAAGGCCAGAGAGTTAGACGACTATGAGAAGGTGAGATTTGCAACTTTTCGAAGAAACCTTTTTGAAAAGGTGTTCAATAGAGGAAGCAGAGACAATTTAATAATCAACCAAAGTATGCTTTCAAGATAACTAAAATCTATTAATAACCATTCAATATATTTTGTTTAACAGAAAAATAGAAAGCTTCCAACGATAAGAAATAAATTACCTTGTAGTAAAAGTTTTCAGCTTGAAATAAGCGAAAAAGCGAAAGTCCGTGAAGCTGTAACTCAACTTCGAAAAGAAGAACATGAGCGGTTGAATAAGCGTTTGACAGAAATACAGCAGGTTTCAATATTTTTTTAAATTATTCTTCAAAAAAATCAGCCCCTCATGTTTTACAGATTGAAAAAAAGCCGTGGAAGAGTTCGATGCGTCCAAAAAAGCGCAGAAAAAATAAGATAGAAATTTTCATACATCTCAATTTGTTTGATAGGTTGCCATAGTTTTCATTTTGCGGGTTCGCTATAAAAAATTTTTGTTTTTTTTTTCCTTTATTTACTGTATGAAGCTTGCAAATGTTACTTTAATTGGGCGATAATATTTTAAATTTTTTTCAGGTTAAGAAACAAAAAGAAATGTATTATGCGTCAAATTATAATATTATATTCTAATACTACCAAAGGAAAAACTTATCTTCTCCATTTTCTCGTTTGAACTTTCTTCTCTACGTACTTTTTCCTATCAGATCGCATGAGCCGATCTCATTTTTGTGTGTTCAGAAAGAGGAAAAAAAATTCATCCGGTTAAGACCAAGGTATTGGAACCGAGGTTTGAGACCCTGAAATGTCATACATATTGTGTGATCGTTTCTAGGTATCAATGTAAATAAATGTTTTACTTTAATTCCTATCGAAATATGACCTATTCGCCGAGGCTTTTCTTCATGAACGACAAAAAGATCTACAGACAAACTGTTGTTGAAGTGAAAAATTAGTGATGCGTAGAAACTATCACATTTTAAAACATTCTTCTGTACTGAGCGAACTGTGTTGAACTATGTCATTATTTCGTAGTATTTGTAATATAATATATTTATAATTTTTTTATGACCTCTTTTATGGTTCTTTTTTTGAACTGATCGAAAAGGAGGTAGGGATGAAACGAGGTGCCCGAGTAGTCATTGGTATGTCGGGTGGTGTCGACAGTGCCGTTTCGGCCTTACTTCTTAAGAAACGAGGATTCAATGTAACGGCAGTTCACATGGTAAATACAAAAAAATAAAGAGATCAATAATTTCTTCAGTAAATTTAAAGATAAATTGGGATCCACTGGAGGAAGGTACGACCACCTGCCCACAATCAAAAAGACGAAGCGGACGCGAAAAAGAGTTTGTTGGTTGGTCTATTAATACAAATGAATCTTCAAAGAATTTTTAAAAGAATGCATCAAAAATTTACAGTTAATTATATTTTTGTTCTTTTTTATAAATTATAAACCGCGAGGCTTTCTTTATAACTCCGTTAAACACTTTTATAACACTTTCTAAGGCGTTTTCTAAAAAAATAAATTTATGTTGTTTTCTCACTTTCAAACTGTAGTGTTACTATGAGTCTATATCCATAGACAAAGTCTCAAAGGGTTGAAAAAAACTATAGAAATGTTTCTTTTAGGGTGAAAAAATTTCTTTTTTTGCTGCCTTCTCGCGCCATTTCATCGGCTGTTATGCATCATTTTTGATACCTCTCTTTTTTTTCCACTATTTCTTGAGCCTTTGAAATCCTAGAAAAAATGGGAGGGTCAATAAAAGGACTCTTTTCCCTGCCTTACTGTGGCCTTTTCCAAACCTCTCCTTTTTAGCTGCCATTATTATATCCACCATTCCGCCTTTGCTTGAGACTGATTTCCGGCTGGCTTGAGCCATCGAAAAAAGGTCCTGACACGATAAGAAAAGAGAGAGTGTCTGGTTGGTGGAGAGTGTAGACAGGCCTTCCCTTTTCGAGTCCCAAGCTAGCTGTGAGTCTGCTGAATTTCAATTGATAAAAAGGCATTTCTTTCAGCCTTCTGGACATCCCTTTTCACACGGTCAACTTTGTCAAGGAGTACTGGAACGAAGTTTTCTTGTGATTATTATTATTATAATCATCATTTCAAATATTTTTATCAGATCGTTCCTCGAAAACTACCGATCAGGCAGAACCGTCGTGCCGGATATTGTTTGTAACTCCCGAATAAAATTTGACCACTTCCAAAATTTTGCACTGGAGAAGATGAATGCCGACTTTGTGGCAACCGGTCACTACGCGACTACATCTTTTGGAGATTTTCAGGAGCATCATAGCTTAAATAAAGGTTGTTGTATGTTTAAATCTGATTAATCTTTGAATTACTTCTCTCACACGTTGAAATACTCAAGCCTGTTTTTTGAATGCAACTAATGATTTCCGAAGGTGAAACGGAGGAAGGACACAAACACACTCAAATTAAACGAAGGCCTTAAAAAGCTTAGTTTTTTCTGATTTTCTCACGTGGGTAGGATTCGTGTTACTTCCATGATTTTCACTATCGTAAAAAGTTATTATGACGGCCGCGTGTATGAGAACCCAACTTTAATTTTAATGACTATAGAATTCTCAAAATAGCAACCTAAGTTGGTTCAAACTTGCCTTCCTTACCTTCTGTATTCAAACAAGGTGCTGTCAAAGTTTCAGAGGTAAATCTACTCTGCGGCGCTGATCCACTGAAAGACCAAACCTACTTCTTGTGTACTGTTCAGCAGGAACAACTGCGTCGGACCATGTTTCCAGGTTCTTTCCTTTGCGTTTTATTAGTTTCATGTTTCAATGGTTGCTCTTTATTATATTCAAATTCCAGTTGGTTCGATGATGAAAAGTCAAATCCGACAGATTGCATTTGAGGAAGGGTTGACGAATGTTGCAAAAAAAGCTGAGGTCAGCTGAATTTAGTTTGAATGAACTCCCAGTTTGATTTGAAAATTTCAGAGTATGGGAATTTGTTTTGTTGGCAGGAAGAACAAGTTTGATCAGTTTATTGATGAGGTGAAGATTTGAAGTTTATTGGAAAGTTTGTACACAAGTCCATAATAAAGATTATTTCTCCCAGAAGGATTTCATCGTGAAAGCCTTTTCTCGGAAAAAATTCAATTTAATTTGTTTCAAACATGTAAGACTTCTCGGAAAAATCTAAATTTCAGCTTGCAGTACATCGAACAGCGTCCTGGGAGTGTTACAGACCTCAACGGCGTGGTCATAGGCGAGCATGACGGAATCCATCATTTCACAATGGGAAAACGGGTTCATGGTAGATATCTCAGAACGAAAAGTCATCTTGGTTTTTTCGTCGTGAAGGTTGAAGCAGAAACTAATCGGGTGATCACGGTGAGCGTCACGGTTGCGTTTCTCACTCGAATTAGGCGTTTCAGTGTGAAGGATCGCATCATTCGAGTCTTTATGCGACAGAGTTTTCCATAAATATCCCGGATTGGATTTCGAAGAAAGCACCTACAGGTTTCAAAAGCATTTTGCGGAATTGAGTGACCTCTTCCTAGATTTAGGTGTTTCCGAGGAAATTGCATGTCGAATTCAAAGAGCCCATCCAGCTGTACCTTGTAGGATTTTCGAATTCGGCGAAAATCGGCTCAAAGTTGTTCCGAAGATCCCTTTAAGAGCCACTGCACCTGGACAGGTTTGTTTTCGACAAATAAATGTAGATTTTCTTTCTCCGGTATGTAGAAGTTTTTCAAGCATCTTAAATAAGCTTCGGATAATAATATGAAGATGAAAATTTCTGGTTTCATTTCTCATGATTGCAAAACTGCTCAACATTGAAAGAAGAAGATAGTTTATATGCAATGTTTTGTTTCAGATGTGCGTGTTTTATCGTGGACGACAATGCCTCGGGGGAGGTGAAGTTGTTTCCATTGAGAAAACTTTATTCGACACCTCGTGATCAAGAGATATTTGTGAGTTGCATAAACTTTTCTATCTTGTTCGCATGATATATGAGGGAAAAAAGACTACAAAATAAAAATTTTTTGGTTTTTTATATAAACTAAAAATTATTTGCTTCTTCAAGGGTGAACTCTAAAGATCGTAATATACTCGATTTTAAAAAGTAGTGCATCGTAAAAAGAATATGACACTCTTTGGAAGTCAACTAGCAATTCACAAAAAAAGTTCTACACCCCCTGTAACTCATAAAAAAATATGTTATTTTATTTGGGAATCTATACTTGAACACCCATGTAAGTACTTTTCACTGCTCCGAAGCCTTCAAAACTCTTTTTGATTCTGACTTTTGTTACAAACTAGAATCTTCACTTAGAAATTTTTCTCGTAAGGTGTTTATTAGGTTCAACCTATCCTTTGAATTGTAGCTGCTCTTTCACTTTACCTCAGGCTAAACTATATCTGACATCCTAACCCTTCATAAAAAAATTTTTCGGTATGGATCATTTTCCTCACTTTGAAATTTTTGCCATCAGATCCAATTCAAGACGAAATCCACTTCGACTGCGCTCTCAAGCTCAGTTTTCCAAAATATTTTTTTTTCAAAACTATTTTTAATTGAAGGAGTCTTCCAAATTTCAGTTCAAATATCACCTCTAGCATTTCAAACATTTACTGGTCAATCTACCGATATACCAATTTTTTCTATTTCTCCAAGACTCAAGTGATGTAAAGTTATGGTTTGTATACTCTTGAATCTTAATTCCAAGTGAACTCGCTAGGGTCGATACTGATCCAAAGATAAATTTATTTATCTAACTCATGGGCCTTTCTTATACCTTATTAAAAAAATATGGGTTTGAATGAAATATAACAAAGCTTTGATTCGCGGCCTGGCTGACTGGTCCGAAGACGACGACAACGAGAATAAGGACGCGTCATAAAAACGACGCCGCTCCGTGCTTGGCTATTTGTACAGCGGAATGCATCACCCATGCGTTATATGGCTGTGTATTCGCACCGTTCCGGGCTCTTCTTTACGTTAATTTGCAGATCGTTTGGCGATTTGTTGGGGCTGAAAAGGTTTCAGAGCACTATGTGTAATGAAGTTGGAGCTTTATAGGGGTCCTTATTGATTCAGGAGTTGAGGATCTGTCAAAATCTCGAAGAAAAATGAGTTGCCTATCTTTTTGGTCGAGAATTCTGAACAAAAAAGAACACGAGATGCGTTTGATGGATTTTCGAAAGAGGGTTTCAATTTTTTGATCTAAGCTACCAGGCTGGCACCGTTCTCAGCTAATCTATTCAATATTTTGTAGTTATTTGAAACGCTGATTAAAATACTTTCTCAGGACGAAATGAAAAATTAATCAGGGGTAAAAAAAAGTTTTCCGGTTCTGTGCTCTAAAGACGCTGTTTTTAAGGACCTAAACTTTCTTGCCATCCTTACCATAGTGGCAGAGCTCACTTATCCCAGAAGATCTGGTTTGACTAACACATTTCTCGACTTATAAGAAGGGTGGGAAAACAAAGTCTCATTTTTCAAATTCCATCTTTGAACCAATGTAGGTGGTGTTGTATTTATTTCGATAGTTTTTAAAAGGATCGCTGGCTCTAAAAATCTCCTGCCCATCTGTCTGAGAAAAAACTTTTAGTCGTTTGAGTGAGCACTAATTTTTCATATACATTGGCTATTAAAATGTCAATACCTTAAAGTGGCCACTGAAAATTTTCCCAGGCGCTGTCTACCATCTTTGGTTCAAAACCGCGAACAGACTTGGAAAGCTGCCATGTCGATGTGGGCGTGGCCTATTCCATGTGTATTTGCGCGTGTAGGTGCGTGTGTGACCGGTCGAGTCCAGCCAACCGGCCGGCAGGATGACTGTATCTTATCTTTTCTTCCATTTTCCATTTTCCATGTTCGCAGTTTGTGTTTGTTTTTATCGATCGTTACGGTGGTACTACCCCAGGCCTTGAATGACTCATGACTTTTTTTGCGCCCTGTCGGTATTATTGATCCTGGTTTCTTCCAGGCGCCTCGTATGAATCACTAGCCGAGGTTACTGTAGGCGGCCGTTTGTTATATTCGGTTGTGTGTACATCTTTTCTTTTACTTGAAGCTCCACTGTACTGTTCTTGGTATTTGTAACGTTTAGCTCATCTTATCCATTTCTCATTGAGGGAGAATTGGAAAGATTTTTATTTTGATATTTTTTTTCATAAATTTTGGAAAAAAGGTAGTTGATTTTAAGTCAAACCATTTCCGTTATTTATACTTTTTTGGTCATTTTTTATGCAAACAACCAAAATTGCATAAGCGATAAACAGGACACAATGCTCAACACAAAGTCATTAATATATCCAAGCTCATAATTTTTGGTCATAATATTTCATGATTAGCCGACATTTTCTGAAAAAAAGAAACGTAATTCGAGTTTGTATTTTTCATAAGTTTGTTTAAAAGATCTTCAAAGGTCCATATTCACCTTTTCTCATAATCACTACCTTCGCGAAATTTTCTTTTGTCATGATGTGCTTTTCGTATCACTCAGAATCACGTATGAAATATTGCTCGGCCTAAAAAAAACATATCTTCACAACCTGAAGTTTGCAGGTAGCGGCTAATTCACCAAGTTCCTTAAATTTATGGTAAAAATTATAGAAAAGTCCTCAATTGTAAAAAAAAAACATAGGGAATCCGTACAATCAGCAATTTTTTAGAAAATGTAATCTTTTATTTCTGTTATTTAATTTATTTTTTCACATTAGGCTTTTTCACACCTTTCAGTCACTTGCAAAACATTGAAAGGCACGTCGAAAAGCCCTCGTAAAATTCTGTTATCACTACTTGACACCTTTTGGTATTATGTGTTGGCGTAAGGAACCTAGGGTGGTCCTATCATTCTCTGTTTGGATTGTCATAGGTTGTCTAATCCTTGTTCTTCACTCTCATTATAAAGTTTGGGATCTTTATTAGTTAGGTTCAAGGGTAAATAAGACGGGTTTGCGAAATATTCTCGAGATGTGTCTTCACTTTTCTATTTTTGACCACTAGTTTCGATTTCGTCAAAATTGACTTTTTCATTATCATTAAGCTTGAAAAACGTTAGGCCGACTTCAATCGTAGGGAGCGCTTTTGAAGGGCTCTGGGATTTGTTCGGGTGTTGAAATCTGGATTTCCTGAAAAATCAAATTTTTATTTCACTCCAAAGTCATTATTGTAGGCGTTTAATTTCTACCTTGTTCTCCAGCTTCTTTTAAAACCCTTTGCGAGATACATACGACGTCTTCTTTTTTTTTGATTCCAAAATTTCTTATCAATATGATTATTTTCTTTCTTTTTCTAATGTCTCACTTGTTATCAAACGATTTTTTTGTTTCAAAGTTTATTTTTGAGAGAAACAAAAAATGAGTAGTTTCGAAATCCCTTGTACACCGAGTTCACCTGGTTTCTCAGCCATGTGCAGAACAACTGAAACGGCACCACCCGCTTCGCTGCAATGTTTACTCAAAGATCCCGACGTGCGGAAAACGGCTACTTTTTTCCTTCTCGAAATTTTCAGTTCTTTTGCCCCTTTCCTTACGCCAATCCGTTTTTTCTGTGCTCAGTAAGGGATGATCTCCGCATGACAACCAGCTAAGAATTGAGACTTCGTAGGACTTTGTCAACTGTCGGCTAGAACCATCGCTGAGTCGAAAAACTCGAAAGGTTTTGAAAAACTTGAGTCATTTTGCTTTTTAATTTCTTGAATCGTTCAACTTTTTTAAAGAACGCATTTTATAAGAGTATTTGTTAAAAAATAAACCTCGATTTTTGAGTTATACCACAGAAATCATTCAGCTTTTCCTGTTTTTCGGTGTGTTTGTCGCCGGCGTGTCGACTCTTTTTTTCCTCTTCAACATATTTATTGATTTTTAGCCAAAAAAATCGTACTGTTTTACTGATAATGTTTCTCATCAAGTCTTTAAGATATAAGTTTTATAACACTGAGAAAGAACTTTTTAAAAAAACCCTTGTAGTTTTTCTGTTTCCTTAAAAACTGTCATTCGAAAAACTTTTTCGTGTTCGTATAGTACGATAAAAAGACGGTTCCCTAGCCTCAAAAATTCCCACGTTCTCGTTTCAAATTCAAATATCGTTTTTTAATCGTTTATTTTCTTGAGAATTTCTTCAAATCGTACGTCCTCTCTGGAGGAATCGACCGAGGCAATGAACCACAAAGAATCGATTTGATAAGCCTTCGATATTTGTATTTTTCGCACCGCTCAGTATCTCAACACCAAGAATAGGGACGAACCCGATATTCTGTCTAGAAAATTTTATTTTTGTCTCAAATTGATAATAAGCTCGTTAAGGCGATTATTCCGGGTTGAGAGGCTAGTTCTGTTGTTTTGTAATTTCTCGATTTTAGTTGTAATGAAATTTGAGTGTTCTTTTGAATACTGAATCAAAACACTTCGATTTTTTTTTTCAAATTATCAATAACAGCGCAAAATTTATTACTGGGACTTCCATTTTTTTTTCAACTTTTTTTTACATAGTGTCTCGCTAATCGTGTAAAAAAATATCATGAAGTGATACTTTTTAAAAAAATATTCTTCTATTACAAGACATTCACAGTCAGAAATAAATTCTGAAAATCTCTCTAATTCTACTCCACAAGATTGGATTTTCATTCAATTTTTCTCGAAAGCATCCGCATTCCATTTAGTTTCGCCATGGCTGTGATTCATTTTTTAACCGAACTGTTTTTTTTTTCCAATCTTGAACAAACCTACTATTCATTCTTTCTTTCCGGTTGAATTCATGGATTCAAATAAGCGCCCTTCTAAGGTTTTGCTCATTTATCATTGATATGGTTTCCATTGAATTTTACAAATATCGAAAAGTTATTAGTACGTCTCAATTATTTTTTCACGCACTATTCTTGAATTCTATGTTTCGTTTCATTTTCGATACAACTTTCATCTTTTTTTTTTTTAGTTTACTATGCTATTGTTCCGGTAAGATGTATTTTTCCTTCTTATTAAAAATCTTCCTTTTTTTGACTTCTTCATGCGATATCGAATCAAGGTAAATTTTGATTCTTGATTCTTATGTTTGACGAGGAAGAAACAATTTTTTTTTTGTAGACTCGTGAAGTTCATTTCTCCTCTATAATCATTAGTTTTCAACCAAATTAATAATTCCCATTGCTTTTAACTCAGTAATTTTATTTTTTTTGTGTCTTAAGTGACATTTGAATTTTTTTTTCTTGTTGTTCAACCCGCAGAAAATATGTTCATTAGCCCGCTCCGTCGCCACAAAAAGGCGTGATAAGCGCTCGGAATTTATCACCCATAATCGAGTATACAACCTCGGACCCCTAATGAAGCCACCGAACCATTATAGATTTTCTTCTCGGCCTTCATTATTGCTAATTTGAAGTTCGAATGCTTTTTCCTTTTAAATGTAAACGTCTCTGAATATTGAAAGCTTTTTAGGCAAGCAGGACTGGAAGATGAGGTGGACGGAAGGTCCGCCGCTCATCGTCGCGGTCGTGGCGCTTGCAGCGGCGGTCGTCGAGGCACAGATGATGCAGCAGCCGCAGTCCGCGCAGATCAATCAGAACATTGGCCAGCAGGACGCTTCTTCACTCTTCACTGGCACTGGCACTAACCTTTACTATGGTGGTGCGTCACTCGTTTTCTAGTCATCCATTCCTAGTTTAAAAAAAAATACTCCGAAGAATTTGTGAACGGCGCGTAGCGCAACAGGTGTACTGATTTTTTTCGCTGGTGTCGCTGGAGCGGTACGAAGGCGTAAGAAGAAGAAGAAAAAGAAGAATAATTCGTAAAAGGTGCTTGATGCAAAAACATTGCTGACTGAATTTTTTTTTCAATGTGTTTAAGTGGGGAGAAAGGGGAGGGGGGGGGCTACGCAAAGGTTTTTAACCGATCTCGATGTGTACCCATTCAAAAAATTGTTTCCAGTGAATCTCGTGCCGTTTGGACCAGAAGTTGGCGATCATGAAGTTAATCCTGGTCTTCTGACCGCAGGTCAAACGATCGACCTTCATATGTTTTTTCCCTTTTATGGAGGGCTGTACAATTACACTACGGTTTAGTGGAACAAAAGTTAGAATAAATGTTGATTGATCATTTTGCTTCAGCTATCTGTAAATGGATACATCGGTTTCGCGACAGTCCTCGATCAAGGACCAACGATCAACGTGGGGCCTGACATGACCGATTGGCCTCGGCACGAAGATCCCGCCATGATTGCTCCTTACCTCTGCAAACAGCAGGTGTGGGAACGTCGTTCACTTAGCTGTTGAAATTGTCCAGTATCGAAGTGTTTTCTCAAGGGTTACGTATTGTATTTTCGGGTAAAAAAAAGATGAGGTTTTCTGAATTCGCAAATTTCCATTACCCGAAAATGAGTTATGCAGAAGTTAATAGAAAAATCGTTTGTTTTTTCTAAGAAAAACCCGCTTTTCAAGATCCCACAAACCTTGAATCCTGGAATGAGGTCTGGCGTCTTCTACCGGCTGATGATGCGGCAGTCGCTGTTCGGCCGCCAATCCAACAGCAATGCCAACCTAGGCGGCACCTATCAATCTTCGTTCTTTGGCCAGCCGGCTTCCTTGGTTCCTACCACTTCTCGAAAGACTTTTTCTCAATGGTACCATTTCAGGCATGCCCCGGAACAGCAGATTCTTATGTCCGATGCGACCCCAACGCAGACTATTTTCTTGACTTGATGATGTCGTGGTTGCAAGAAGGCGTCGCAGGAGCGGCTGCATTTCGCGCCGATGCTGCTCTCGTCGTCACGTGGTATAACACGGCGTCAGCCATTTCTGGACGCTCGGATATCGACGCAGGACAATTGGCAACTTATCAAGTTGTCTGGCTCACAGACGAGGTACCGAAATAACTCAAACTTAAGGTTTTGACCTAAAAAAAAGCTACTCAGGCAAATCCTGGGAAGGTGAATGTAAGTCAGAAGGTCTTAAAAAGCCCTAGGGAAAGTGTTCCAAAGGTAGCTAGATGCCTGCAATAAGCCTTCCAGCAGACTTCTAAACGGTAAGCAGAAGGTGCTGCAAAGGTATCTGGCTGGAAAGCTTCCAAACACCTTCCGAGCAACCGAAAGCAGAAGCTTTCCAACTTTTACCATAGATCTCGACAAGAACTTCAGATACCTATTAGCACGGTTTATCCAATCAGGCGGAAGATGTCTGTGCGGCATATTGCAATAGAAGCACGGAAAAAACCAAATTTCGTGGATTTAGCGGATGTAAAAGTATATGTAGTGTGTTCAGATTTTGAATGTCAAGCAGCTAACTCTGTAGAGCTCTTTTTTAGACGTTTAGTAATGTATTTTTTTTACGTTTTGGAAGACCTCTTAACATTAAATTCTTTGCTTCAGACCGCCCGGCTCAGTTACGTCATTTTAAACTACGATCGTCTCGGTTTTGACGCCGCTGACTTCCGCGCCAATTCAAGAAGTGGCCGCTGTCAGGTGGCTTTATTTCTAAACATTTTTTGAGAAACCTCTTAGTCGACGCCAAACAAAAAATACGAGCAAATTATTAAATTAGTCACGCTTTGTACGAAGTGAGTAAGAGGTTACGAAATAGGGGAAGAAAAAAAAAATGAGTTGGCAACGGCGAAATGAAACGAGAACGGTGTGAGAAAGTTTTGTATCCTTCGGTTAGAAAACTTACATAAACACCGGGAAGTATTGTACTACCATGTTATATATGAAGGAAAGTACAATAGAAGACGTGATTTGCTAGGCCACACCGAGAAGGTGAAACTCAAGTTCTCTAGAGAACGTACTACGTCTTTTAAAGCCATACGAGCAGCATAAAACGGGATTTGGGTTAAAAAAAGTGTCTTGTAGAACTATTTATTGTCGAACGATCTACAGGGTGACAAATAAATATTGAAACCGTTTTTTGTTTGATCGCTGCTTTTTGCACGAAGGACTGTCCTTCGAATTTTTTTGTTTATTTCGTTCATTCATGCTCACTTATCATGTGTTTGAAGTTACAGCTCACACTTTTCAGTTTTCAGGTAATGGTGGCCCCATCTCCGTACCGTACCGCAATCATTGATTGTGTCAAAAGCGGAATGACGAATTCAGAGATCGTTAAAAAGCTGAAAGTGTCTCGTGTTCTCGTTTTTCGAACTGCACAACGCTATCGGCGTCTCGGTACTTCAGATGACATGCAAAGAAGGGGACGTCCAGTCACCGTCACGACTCCAGAAGCAGTCAAAGCCGTTCGAGAGAAAATCAAACGCACTCCGGAAAGAAGCGTGAGAAAGATGTCAAAAGAACACGAAATGAGTCGAGAATCGATGAGAACTATTGTAAAGGACAAGCTGAAGATGAATCCCTACCGTATGCAGAAAGGAGCCTTCCTCAATCAAAAAAACAAGACATTGCGGATGGAAAAGGCTTGAAAGCTGCTCGCTGGCACGAAAGATGGCTCGCATCTGACGACGCTATTTACCGACGAGAAAATCTTCACTGTGGAGGCGAACAAGGAGGCCAAAATCATTGGATCATCGCTACTGACTATCAGAGTGCCTGTGAAAAAGAAAAAATTCTGAATAAAACTTCCGGCTTCCGTGATGGTTTTTGCCGGAATTACCGCTGACGGCAAAACTCCGCTGATTTTTGTGGATCCTGGAGTCAAAGTGAACAAAGTATACTACAGGGAGTAGATTTTGAAGTTGAGGGTGTTGCCCTGGGCCAATTCTCACTACGGAAACCGACCACGGACCTTCCAACAAGACGGCGCACCGCTCATCGTGCCAAAGGTACTCAAGAGTGGTGTCGCGCCAATTTTCCGAGTTAATCTCGGCTGCTGATTGGCCTGCTTCCTCGCCCGACCTCAACCCGATGGACTATGCCGTGTGGATATATCTGACCGAGAAGGTCTCTTCTAAGAATTACGCAAGTCTGAAGACCGCGCTCATCAAGAAATGGGACGAAATCGACGACGACTACCTTCGTGCCGTGATCGATGCGTATCCGAAGAGACTGAAGGCCGTTATCAAAGCTAAAGGAGGACGTTTTGAAAACTATTCTTGAATTTTGTTTCTATATTGTATGAATAAAATTTGTTCCAAGTTTGGTGGTGTTTGGTTGATTTTTGAGAAAGTTATAACGTTTCAAACGCGTTTCAATATTTATTTGTCACCCTGTACTCACGGTCTAGTCAGAAAATTCACAGAAATGAGTACTTTTGAAGAAACATGCGACTTTAGTCTTTCGTCGTTTAATTTTGAAATCTGTTTGGGAAGGTACTGAATGAGCCAGTATAAATAATTATTATTGTTATTTCTTGAGAAACCCCTCAGATTATCTGCCCAAGTGAAGCATGAGTGATACTGAAGATCAAAATTTCGGACAGAAGGTTATATATTATAAATAAACGAAAATTTCTTTAATGAAATCTCAAAACAGCACCAGTTGAATGAGTAATGAGTCATGCCTTCATAGCAAGGTTCAACTGATACCTCGAGGAGGCTTACAACTCTTCAAAGACCTAGTCTATTTGTGTGCTTTCCACACTGTGCAAATATTATTTGTGTCTCGTTCTTCATGGAGATTCCGATGCACACAAATGCACAAATACGAATTAATCGTATTATCGGACTCACACTGTCAAAAAGGCGTGAACTCTACCTCGTTTTGAGGCATTTGGGACCCTTTATCATTTATATTTGAATACCGAAACGACTGAAATTTCACGTTAAGTGGAGACGGAAAATTTTTTTTTTAATGAATTGAATTTTTTTCAATCAGTTTTCTGCTAAATCAGACAAAAGTCACTCAAGTTATCGCTAAATGCTCAAAACATCAATTTCATTGACGGTAAGCATTAATGCACTATCAGTGTTTGAGACTGCTGCCGTGACAGTGATTTCGGAAAATTTATGGTTTTCTGTGACTCTCCCAAATTTTAGTTGTTTCTCTCACGGTTATTTGAATACCCCGAAATTGATTTGAACATGTTTCTTCTCTCAAAAATCGAAAAAAGTTGTTTTTTTTTACAGATGGGGTTAGTTAATCCACCTAGTGATCTTACCAAAAAGAAAATAAATCAATAAATATTCTGTTGTTGTTTAGTCATGAATGTGATCGAATATGAAAATGAAATGAAATGATTGATGGAGAATTTTTTGTATTTGACTGAGTTTCAGGCGGTATTCAATGGCGGAAATCACACTGGAATCGTCCCAGTCGACCCGACGCAGGCCTACAAAAACACACCAAAAGTTTTGGCTCAACGGTCTGGAGTTCCACAAATGGTTCGAGGACGGTACATGTTCCGCGTTGACGACGTTGTTCGCCCTGCTGGTTGCTCCAACAAAACCGGCGGAACTTGTTCGTTTTTTCCGAACCTGGACATCAGTCAGCACATAAAAAAGCCAAATTATTGTGCAGACTATTTTTCGAGTCATTGAGACAAACACGAAATTATTGTGCCCTTCTTTCTTAAATTTCATAGCCGATTTACGGTTAGCTTGAGACGCTAAAGGGTCGTGGCCTGTCTGCGCTCTCCACCAGTCAGGCACTCTCTTTTATTATCGTGTCAGGACCCTTATTTCGATAAATCAAGCCAGCCGTGAATTGGCTTTATTTATTAGGGTTTCTATTACCAATTTCACAGACCCGATGCTGATCTATCCGAATATCGTTAACATGTTGGGTGAAATGACTGTCGATGTCAACGCGATCTGCCTCGACCGCTCTCAAACCTACATCCTTATGATTGAACAACGTCAAGTCCTCATATTCCGAAATACAGTGAAATAATGAATTTTGTTTTCAAGACGGCCACTTGTACCGTGTTGACGCCGGCCATAGCGCGGTGTAATTTGCCGAAAATCTACGATTGGGGAACGAAGACCGTCTACTTCCAGCCGCAAAGTGGTGGAGCCAATGACGAAAAAGCTTTCGTAGGCTACATTTATTTTGGTTAGTTTTGGATACCCCTCGAAAAAGCTTTTAGAATCTTTGTATATGTTAAAAGGCTTGAGGTATGATATATCTAAAGTTTGAACTTTCTCAAAACACTGCATTTTCGTATTCTGAAACGTTTTTAGTTCTTTTTTTATTTGTTTCTGAAATATTTTGGATTCACAAGTGTGGCAAGTCTCGAAATTGTTCGCGGGCGTTTTTAAAAAGCAAAGTTTGTCGAGGTATCGCGACAAGGGAATATTTCTTTAGTATTATTCGAAACCAAGTTCTGCGTCTTTGAAACCCAAATAGAGTTGTTGATTCATCTCAGTTCTTCAAAATACAAAACTTCTAATTTCAGTACCACCCACACTTGACCCGATGCGGCTTGACATTGGAAATATTTATGACTGGTTCAAGAATCCAATACCGTATCAAGTAATTTTTTAAACCTCTCTTTTTTCCAATGACTGTCAATTTTGAAGGTGATGCCTTTGGTCTGGTATCCTAGAAACTTTACGAATCCCGACATCACAACTCACATGGAACAATTGAGAATGAACGACGATTCTATGTACAGTGTGCAGCTGGGCCTCTACGTTATTGCCTATCGGGAATATAAAGACGATAATGTTTGTAACTTTCAAACCTTCAGAGGAAAGGGTTTTCTTTAGATCAAAAAGTTCCGACCAGAACATCGTGTTATTGCTCGGCTAGCCACCTATTCTAACAGAAACACCTACGAATACAGATGGAAGCCTCAAGAGGAACGGATCAACATGAATCAAGTCTAAACTCAGCCGTTCGAACGTTTTGTGAGAAAAACTTTCAATTTAGGTCGAACAGTGGTATATGACGGATTGGGAGCGGATGAATGAGCTGTATATGTACCGGTTTGGCTATTTGAAATTGGCGCCGATCAAGCCAAATCAAGAGCAGAATCCGCAGATTCTGTTGTCTGGGTGCGTTGGAAGAGAGTGGCCGCTAAATCCCGGATTTTTTCACACTTACGTGAAATGAAAATATTCATTGAACTAACGTGAAAACGATAATTTCCGTTTCTTCTATGGCTACCTGGATCTGTGAAAATTTTTTCTAAAAACGTCATATTTCCTATGATAACATTTTTGTGATTTTTTTTTCACGCAAGAGTGAAAAAGTCCGGAGTCAATATTGTTCTATTCCAATTGAAAGTAGTTTTTTATGAGCGAGTTCTATGCAGTTTCAAAAACTCAATTAACTTCAACATTAATTTTGAAGACTTGTCTCCGCGCCAATCTCGCTACATTGGCTTTGGACTAGCAACAATCCGAAATTCTCGACCACGACATATTCTCAGAACGACGAATCGGCTCGTGTTGAATACGTCAAGAAAAAGGCGCTTGAAATGTGCCACGATTGGTACGAATTCAAAGATTTTTTCAATTGCAAGCCGTGCTGAAATTACATAATACATAGTCTGTTCTTTCATATTTTTGAGTGCGCGAAAAAAGCGGGCGAAATGCGAGACATTTGCGAGCCCGTCAATGTACCGCGATGTCGACCTCACCTTTCACGACTCGACGGTTACCTTCAGTGTAATTGTCATGTTCTCAAGGTACGACGAAGACGGCGCTCAATGGAACTTCATCAGAGATACTGAAACCAACTCGTCCTGTCCTTGCATTGAACGACAAGCCATTGCAGATATTGGCCGTTTCATGCCCCATCCTCGGTGTTCTCAAGTACCTCACGATTTTCGAAACAGTTCCTATGTTTGAAATTTTTAGGCGTTCCGTGACATAACCTGTACGACTTCTATCGGATCCAGAAACTGTTACATGTCGTCCCAGAACATTCTCACTTCTTATGCTGGCGATGGACGCACGTTTAATAGCGAAAATACGGCGTTAGTTTTTCAGTTCAATAAAATAAGTAATATTTAATCAATGTTTTTTCATTTAATAGTAGTTTGATGAATTGATTTCGAAAATAAACAAGAGAAATAAAAGATTCATTTGATCAAAACTATGGAGAAAATCCCAAGAAGAGTTATCTATCCTACCCTTTCAGATGTGTTTCCTAGCGCTGCGAATATATAATTACTGGATAACTTTTCAAAAAATTATATTTAGACTTTTTTATTCACTCCCTCACAAGTTTTGACTTCAGACGCTTCCCGACCCACTACGGACAAGTTTGTTGCTACGATGACCAAGGTCACTTGATGCAGACGAGTTACCAGCCTGTTATTAAGGTTCATTATCGCGATTTTTTTAAAACCGTTTTTGCTGCCTCTTTTTGCCCATTCCGCGGTTCTGAAAAAAACCTCATACCAAATTGGACTTAATTTGACCAACTTCGCTTCAAGGCCTTTTTTTTGCTGTCTTTTTTGCATTTTTGTAGGGCTGCTTTTACGGTGGCCTTTTTTTGTGCTTTTAAAACGTGCCCGTCTCGCGCGGAACTCACTACCAGAAAGCGGCTCCGTTTTTTCTTTTATCAATAATGCAAATATATTTTGTAGGTCACTCCCGAAGTTCCCTACAATCCTGGGTTCCCGTTGAGAGCCTATGAGTTCGGAACTCCGCCTTATATGGGTCAGTACGAAGTGCCTGGTCTTTCCGCCTTCCACAACGACTACATGCCCTATTTTCTGTGCTGTAAGTACGCCGACTTCCGCTGTCAGATGTTCTACTGGCGACGGCCGAGTTCTGGATGTCAGGAATATCAGCCGCCGGCTTACGGTGAGATTGGGATGCATCCAAAAAAAAAAAATGAATAAATATTTGCGTTTTTCAAATCAAATCAAATCATTTTTTTTTGTTTTAGTCAGATGCAATCGACTAGGCGGTGAACAAGAATTTTAGACGCTATAACGAAAAACCGCCTTTGAAGAACTAGAAGTCCTAGAATGTAGTCGAAAGTGTTGAGAGCATGGTCTTGTGGTCTTTAGCTTTGTTCTTCTGCGTGTAGTCTATCCAGTTGCACCTTGCGGAGCTCATAATGTAGCGGATCTTGTGCTGGATCCCGGAGACCGTGCTCTAGGTGGAAGCCTCGGAATAAGATAAACCGCTTCAAGTGAAGATTTTAAAAATATTTGCTGCAGAACGTCTGTCTTACTTTTATTCCTTTTGTATGCGTTCTCCATCAACTTCTGATCACAAAAAATTGGTAAAATTCAGAAAACCCAATAAAGAGGTGATTATTTCCAAGAATCGTTTTCCAAGATTCAAATTTTCGAATTTTCGAGCCCCCAAGATTGGTGCATAGGTAAAACTGAAAAGTTCCTTTGAGGATCCTCAAAGGATCCTGAGAGGGAGATAAAAAGCTTCCTCTAAAAGCTCCTAAAATGATGTAAAAAAGCTTTTGAGCACCTTTTTCATAGCCTCAGAGGATCCTTTTTGAATCCTCTCGCATATTTTTAGTTGCTTTCCAGCATCCTTTTTGTCAGAGGATGTGAAAAAGACGCAAAAAAGAATTGAAATGATGTAAGAAAGATCTGCTGGGGACCCTTTCAAGGTCTTTTTTTGAGAAAAGCTTCTGGGGAGCTTTTCAGTTTTGCCCGAGTGTATGCACAATTCACGCTCGCGAATTTTTGCAGGTCAAAATCTCTATCCTACCATCAGAGAGTTTGAGATGCAAAAAATAACGAGGGAGAAAACTGAAAATTTTATCGGACCTGTTGTTTCAAACTGGTGCTAAAAAAAATTACTACTGGTTTCCGTTTTTGCAACAAAAAAAAACTAATCGCTTTCATTTACGCCAAGCTGTTTAATAATTAGTTTTTGACAGTCAATTGGAGTCGGAAACCCCGAAAGTCAACCGGCAGAAAAAAAAAAGTTTTAAATATTTTACATTCTGTACATCGTGATTTCAGGAGAAGTGATGGGTGCCGGGTCGTTCAACACGATCGACAACGACAAGTTCATTTTCAATGAACCTGGCGTCTACAACTTTTTGTACATTCCGAAGACGTTCACGACACCAGAGGTGAAAGTGCAGATCAGGATGGAACGCTACCCGAACCGTCGCGTTGACTTCAGCAAGTGATAAGAGCGAAAACGAAACGTTTAGACCAATTTTCAGGTTTGCTGGGAAGGTATATGTCGCAACAAGACTTGGTTCAACCTACCAACGCTACCGTAGTCACAGGAGTTGTCCTGGAAGCGACTGGAACCGACCGAGTGCACGTCTTGTCGCGAAAAGACACGCGTCGCTTCAGATATCGTACCTCCATTATTGTGGGAAACATCCTACGGTACTTTGACACGATGAGAATTCAAAGGTTCCGAGGTACGCACTGTTTTTCGAGCCTTCTATTGTTTGTAACACATAAATTACAATCCTCCTGTACATCAAACACAAACTGTAACGGAGTAATAAAGATATCGGAAAAAAAAACTAATAGTCCCTCAAAAATGTTTGGTAGATAGAGAAAACTTTTTATGAAAACGGCTGCAATCATGAGGCCAAAGGTTGAATTTCAAGGAGTGATGATCTATGTGAATAACGTGGAACGAGGCCAACCAGAGATCTACGTTGTGCTCGAAGAGGCTCAGATTGGAATTCGTGTGCGAGAAAGCTACGCAATCGATATCGATCGATTGACCGAATACCAGGAGAGTATGGGAATGCTCAACGTCGCCATTTCTGTTCCGCCGCAGTATGGAGTGGTATGGGAACTCTTAATAGGACAAAATTCGAAATGCTGATAATTTAGCGGCCTGATGGAGACAAAACCAGAGAAATGGAATACAGACAGAGGTACAATCTGCCTAGAGTTTCTGGCGTGATGCGGCCGTTCCCCGACCAAACCTCCAACAGTTATCTGCAGACTTTGACGTTGAACGATGTCAATTCAGAGACCTATCGCCAACAAATTATCAACCTCTGTGAGTTGCATGGGTAATGTCCTTATGGAAAAGGATCATTTTTTCACCACAATCGGCTTTTTAGAGTTTCGGTTTTCAGTTTTTTAAGTTAAAAGCTTTCAGATCGTGTGCAAGGATCTGGAGAGCCAGGAAGTGACCAGAACATCAACGCCGCCGGCAACGGCTATGGCATGCCGACGGAAAATATGTTCACGACGTCTAGAGACGAAGATAAAAAGTTTGAAGTTTTCCCGGAGGCTTACATGAAAAGCGGGCCAATCTTCAAGACGGCGCCAAAATACGAAACGTTTGTGGAAAACAAAGGAAGGACCTTTCAAAGCGTGTCTCTTGCAGGGGACAGTACCGCTTTTACCCAATAACTGGCCAGGCGATGAACCAACGCTTGCAACAGTGCCGCGACATGCAACAGTCCAATACGAGTTCGTGTTGAGTCAGTTTCTGAAAGAAAAAAGTTGTAATTTTCAGTTAATCTACAACCGCTGCAATCTCAACTGACTCTGGAATTCGGCCAGACGCAGTGTCCAGACAACCCTTCGGCAGTCATCCAGGACTGTGGCGACTCAGTCTCCTGCCTCTACGACTACTTCACGTTGAATGCCAAGATCCTTGGCATGAACGTCAAAAACGAGTGGAACATCTTTGGAACCGAGCGAATGGATGCGTCAAGGCATTGTTAGTTTTGAATGAAACAAAAGAACAGTTCCTCAGCTCTCAACATAGCCTGGTACGCTTCGGGTTTTTTTTTCAATTTTCTTTGTGCCTTTTGCTCACTTTTCAGTGTTAATCCGTGTGAATGAAACGTCTTTCTTATTTGAAAAGTTACGAAATTTTTTTCAAATGTTTCTTTGACCTATAATGAAAAAAAAAATGCTGAAGTGACTGTATTTTTTTTAAAATAATTCATTTGATTTTTACGTTTCTTGCAGACAACAGCTGTGGCGTTATTAACATTGAATATCCAGAGTATCTGATGAAAACTTCATCCTTGTCCTCGGCTTATTTGCAGGCTAGTTTTGGGATTACTCAAGTTTTTTTTTTTCACAAAATCAGTTTCTAATAAGGGATAGAAAGAGAAAAAGTTCAAAAATCATCTTCTTACAGGGCGACGTGGCTCGGTTTGAGTGCTTCCAGTCACATTGGATCAAAGGAGTTCATGAATATCGATGTATGTTTTTTTTTTCAAATTACAGTTCTAAGCACCACAAAACCACTCATAAACGGAAATAAAATAAGCTTCATTCGTTTATTCGACCAAAAGTAATTGGGGACCTTACAAAAAGCGAATTTTTTTTTGCCGGCTCAACATTTTTCACATAGATTTCAGTTCATTTTTTTCTTGCAGGCGGAGTAATTGTGGATCGGAACCGGCCGCTAGAGTACCGTTACGAGTGGAACAAGGGCGAGCAGCCATGGTGCCGGTCAAGAGAAAAGGAGAATTTTCTCATTTGGCTGTCGGCAATCCTTGGCACGATCGCCATTATCATGGGCATCGTGTTCATCTTCCTTTGTTGCTGGTGCCTTAAGCAGAAGAAGATTTCGGAGAGGCGGCAGAACAACGATCTCCAAAGCCGAAGCACCTCCCTAAGCCGCCCCAAATACCCAATCGTACGTATCATAGTTGTCCAAGACAAACTTCCACCCTTTTCGGCTTTTTCGATCTCAAAAAATCAATCGACCAAAGTTTTTTTTTGAAACTTAACCTTTCAAAGTCAATCGACTGAATAAAAAAATTAAAAAAAGCTTTTTTTTTCTTAATTTTGCAAACCTTTCTCTCACATTTAAGCCACCTTTAACTTTGAAAATCTTGGACATTCTGCCTCAGTGGCCTAAAGGCGAGTCTCATGATCTTTTTCTTGAGTAGGTTCGACTCCTAGTTCGCAAAAAAGTTTTGCATTTTTTTTAAAGACGAAAATCTTTGCGAACGGCATAAAATTGATGGAAACTCTTTTCTTTTGATTCATTTGCTTCTGAAAGAAAAAGAAATCATTTTCAGTTCGACCGGAATTAAACCTACTTAAAATTTCTGTTATGAGACTTGCGCTTTAGCTTTGATATATAGTCTGTTCAGATTTTTAATTTCAAGTGCAATGAAGTCATTCAAAAACAATCTGTGGATGGCTCGCTCTTTGATTGGTTTATCGCACCATTAGGGGCGGAGCTTGAGCGACGACTTGACATTTAAAATCTGAACAGACTATACTCAGAAGCCTGTGGGATTTAGCAGCTAGTCTTTTTTTCCAAGTACTTTCAACTAGGTCTTTAAGGCATCTAATTTTCAACTCGATACTCGTCCTCGATTTTTCTTACAGTTGAAATTCCAAAACTCAAAAGTTTTTTTCAAAGATTGACCGTTTTAAATTTCAACCCTTCTCGAACCGAAGGAAAAGAAGAAAAATTGAATTTGGCTTCATTATATTGAAACTTGAAATTCTAGGAGGAATCCGAACCACTCAATGAGAAGCGATTTACGTCATACCCTGATGACTTCGCCCCACACTCGCGGTAATTTTTTTTCCGTCAACACGAAAAAGAATTTTTCGTTTCAGAGAAGAAAAATACGATCCCGACTTTCATGGTCTCAAAACTTCCGTCTGATGCAACTTGAAAAATGCTTTTTTTTGCATCCTGTCCCCGCAAATCTATTGGTCTCATATGAGCTGCGTGATTTTGATATGCCTCATTAATATCGCCGCCTTTGTCCTATAATTAATTTTCCAATTCCTTTTTTCAAACCAAATTCGAGTTCAATTATATGGTCAATTTTATCGGCTTTGAACGATAGAAAAAACTTTTCTGCCAAAATTGATAATAATGCTTTATATTCAAGAAGCATATCTTTATGTTTTTTTTGTTCATTGGGTTTCTCGCCTTATTTTTTGCTACTTATTGTCATTCTATGTTTCCACTTTCCCCCATGACTGATGACGTAATTGTTGTCATTGACTTTTCGATTTCCTCTTTTTCCTGTGATGTTATTTTAAATACAAGTTCGTTGAAAAGAAATATTTATTATTATCGTAATTTTGTAACTTTGGAGCTGTCAACATTATAAGCATCAATACTTTGAAGAAGCGAGGAAAAGGGTTTTTTCCCCGAAGTTGTTTCAGATCATCTTCGGTCATTGCGTACAATCGTCCAAACAGTATTTGCGATTCCGACCGATGGGCAGATAGAGGTCAGCTAATCTCAGTTCCAAAATTTTCAAAAACAGCTGAACAATATCAATCACATTTATATTGAAATTTCGATGAGGTAATTTGATTTGAGTTTGTTTTTCAAGTTGTCTAAATAAACGCCGGATAATTTTCACATCATAGGACAAAGTTCATGGAACCAAATAAAAAAAGTACCATTTTAAAGTTATGGACAAATGACTTTGAACTTGCGTTTTTCAAAGGACGAAGTTCTTTAAAACTGTTGAAAAAGTTCGACATGTCAAATAATAGCGTGAAAATATTCAAGGAAAAGACAACGAATCAACTATTTTCTAGAGTTTTTTATACAAGTTTAAACATTTCCTGCACTCATCTCTGGGAAAAAATGAGCAACAACATCCTTGTTGAAAACTGGAGTTAGTCTGATTCCATCAGCCCAATCCCTAGCCAACGGTCTATTCATAATATTGGCGTCATCCAACATACCGGGCGGCCTGAGCATCTCCTCAATTGATTTCGTCATCGTCAGAGGGAACTTGGGGAATGGCAGAGCTGTTGGCCGATTTGGAGCGGTGAACGAACTGCTCGGCGAGGGGTAACCATTAAGTGAGGCGGTTTGTTGGTGTTGTTGGACAGCCATCGTTGGCACAGAGTTCATTGGGGACAAGATGGGCGGCGAGAAATGATAGATTGGCATGGTCACCGGCACGTTGGCGTTGAGGTTGACCTCTGATGACATTAGGTTTCGGTAGTCGACGGTGAGAAGCAAATCAGACTGCTCTGGGTTGATGATGTCAATGAAGATTTTGTTGAATGGACCACATTTTGGCGCGTCGCGTGGAAAGTAGTGACGCAGGTCTTTCACCGCCGCCCTCGAAAAATCCTGCAAAAGCCGAGCAACTTAGGAATTTCAGAGTGGTCCCTATAGGGCTTAGGCGGGAAAAAAAAAACCACCTCGGGGTCGAAAAAGCGGTCCCTATAGTGGTTTAGGGTCTGTTTTAATTCGAAAAACGGTTATTTATTCAGTTTTCTCATGGAAATGCTTTTTCGCTTAGAGTTCATAAAAATTATCGACTAGCATGTCCCCTCTAGGGCCCACTTACTGAAACCTTCATAGGGAGCACTTTTGCAAGCTTCGGTGGCCTCTATAGGGGTTGAAAAAGTGGTCTCTAGAAGTGACCGTCCAAGGACCCCTAAGGTTGCCCCTATAGGGACTACTCTGAAGTTCCTAAGAACGTTAGTATTTCCTCACTGGACGATTTTTTGACTTACGCGGCTCTCATAAATGAAATGAAGAAGCGACGACATGAAGCTGGCTGCATTGGTTGAAGTTTTCCCCCTACTGCATTTGACGACTTTGAAAAGTAGTTCTGATAGAAGCTCTCTAGCAGTCGTCAGCATCTCGTTTAGACTATTGGAAAGAGTCAAGCTTTCTGAAAAAAATTATGGTTAAACGTTAGAAGGTCTGGCCACTTAAAGGCATAGGGGCAGTAAAAAACAGTCTTTCAGTTCAAATCAGTACTTTGTAGAGCTTTTCATTGCGAATCGAACGGTGAACTTGGAAACGTACAGAAGTTCCTAGTTTTGGAGAAAAAATAATTCAAAGTCGGAGAGAGGAAAGCTTGAGTTCCCGCGAAAAGGGCGCTTTGCAGTAAAGTTGCTCTATGGACAACAGGCTTCGCCATCTTCCGGATTTTCGCTTTTCTCTCCGTTTCTTTCATGCCGTGTTCAAAGTAATTTCCGCGAAATGCAAAATACCCGTTAGAGAAAGAGAAAGATAACTAAATTTTGGAGAGTCAGAGATCATTTTGCATTTCGCGGAAATTACTTTGAACACGGCATCAATTTCCAATTTTTTCTGTTGTCACCAAAGTTCTTTTCGTCACAAAAGCTTTCTATTGATGCATAATTTGCAAACTTTGATCGCAAAAATGCTTTTCTGGTGAAAAATGATGATTTTACGCAGGTTTCGATTGGGATAGCGATTATTTGTGTTTTCTTTATTATCAATGTGTGTTTTCTGTTTTCTTAACCGATTTTTCAGAGGAGAAACGCTTAATTTGGAGCAGATATCCGGTTATTTCTCACAAAATGCGAGTCAAATAAGACGTCCGCAACATCGCGTGCACGGCTATTGTAAACAGTTGTCTGCATACCGATCCAAAGCTTTTTTCAAAATTAAAGGCGGGAAAGTAAAATCGCTTTTTTCTTCTAAAGTTGTCACATCTGTAATTTTTTTGAGTACACCGTTCGATTCGCAAAGAAAAACTATATAAGATACTGCTTTCACCTGAAACCCCATTTTTTACTGCCCCTATGCCTTTAAAGAAAAGATGTCAAATTAGTGAGCTCTATTGATATTTGATGAAACGGATAATGATAAAACTTGAAAAATTCGAAGAGAATGTTAGATTTCATCTTGATTTATTTTTATATTCATGAGAGAGGTTCTGAAACGACATTGGAAAAATAATGCTTTTCAATTTGCACTATGTGCAGAGTTAAAATTTATATAGTCAATCCATCTCGATTTGAAAAGAGAGCGAGACGAAGAAGTGGGCGGGACGCATACGCGATTCTCGGCACGAGTTCAATTCAAGCGCCACTGACTAATTGATAGCTCGGTCAAAAAAAAAAGAAATGAAAAGAGCGATAAACGAGCTCTCCAAATGGTCGCTGGCGGTTGAATTGAATCCGTGCCAAGAACCACGTACGCGTCCCGCTCCTTTCTTCGCCTCCCTCGCCTTTCAAGTCAGCAAAAACTGACCAACATTTTTCATTGAAAAATTTAGGTACAGATCTTCCGTTTCTTCATTCATTCGCTTTCTTGTTGATTTTAGTCTGACCTCCAGTTGTGATGATTAGAGCTCGAAGTATCGAGTATTCCATGGTTGATGGCGGTCTCCTTTTGAAAAGCTCACACGTGTCAGCCATCTTCGCGTAGGCAGATTGACTTCTTTAAATTGCCTAATGGTTGATTCTTCCTTTTCAATTATACTCACAGTGGGAGGATTTCGAAAGTTCGTTTAAAGTCGTCGAACAGGTTGGCAGAGCCTTTGGCTGATAAGCGAGTGACAGACTCGTAGTAGAGTAAATGAATAGTGACACTACTCAGCAAAGAACTCTGCAAAGTCTTTCGTTGTTCTAGAGTCGAAGTGGCTTGAAACTTTTGAAAGTAATTTATAGAGAATTACCTTATCTTCAAGTGTAACTTTTTTCCCATTGTCTCGTTCCAGCAAATTCAAAAACCTATCAACAAAATCGATTACTTTGACAACTCTTTGTATTGTCAAAAATTGGTCCACGTTATTTCGGTTCATTCCTGTGGTTGGAGGTACCTGTAAAATTCGAAAATTAATTTTTTTTTTTGCAAAATGCAAAGTAAACAATACAAAAATGCATCTGAAAATAGAGCAGTTATATATACTACTGTTTTGCGTCCGTGAATATTTAAGCTGTTTCGAATTGATTAGAATGGTTGCCGGTTTATATATTAACTACTAGAAAAAAAAATGAGAATGAAGGAAGTTTAGGAAAATTAATGGCAATATTGCTTTGACCTTGGTAACGCGAATCGGACGTGAGCATTTCTAGTGACTCCCTTTAGTGACATCAGCACTCTTAAATGATCGCTAGGATTGCTCAGAAATGTCCGGAACACGTCCAGTTTTTGTTTCCAAGCTCCGAGATGTCGCAAAAAATTTTTCAAGGTGCTCATTTTCACAGGATTCCTCATCTCAATGAGTTTTTTTTAATTTTTCCCAGATTGGAAAAGTTTTCATATTCAAATAACACAATTCACATTGTTTTTTCTGGCGAGAGTTCTGTCGGATATTAAAGATTTCAGCGAAAACTCGGCAACTCCTTCTAAGTTCTCTGAGGCAGAGTCGCTCCATTCCAATGCGCATAGTTCGTTGAACAACTTCCTGAAAATGTTTTGAAAACGGTTTGAAAATTTTTTTTAGATTCATTCCTACTTTTGAGCCGGGGAGAGTAGACAAGTCCAATCGCCGTCACTTGAACCATACCGATTGGAAAACGTTCGATTTAGACTCTTCTTTTTTGATAGAGCGCTCTTGTCACTGCGTAGTTCTTCTCGGTCTGGACGCACAACTGGAAAGATTCTTTTCAATATTTTTTTTTTCTCTGTCTTTGGAAAACGGGCTTCGAAAAAACCGATTTCGAACTTCATTCAGCTGACATAAGAAAAAAAAAACACAAAGAGCTGTTGAAATAGTTTTCACAATTTCGAATACTTTTTTTTTCAAAAAGAATTTTTCCATTTCATTATCATGCGCGGAGCTTTGAAAAATGATATCTAGGCTCCGATAAAAAAAAAAATCAGTTTTTCGTGGCCGGGGGAAGCAAGGACTATATACCCCCCAAATATCAGCTCAATCGGTGAAATATCGAAATTTTCGACTTTTGATAATTCATAACTTTTTACACAGGCCTCGAGGGCAGTTTTCAAGACCAGATTTGGAATCAGCATGAAAAACTACATCTAGTAAACTTGGTCTCATTCAGAAGCCCCACTGCGAATGGAGGCCATTCCATAGTAAGCTTGTCCACATGTTGTTACATAGTTGGTTTTCAACAGGAAAGTGCGCGAGGCGACTAACTTTTTAAAATAGCAAGCAAAAGACATAAAGTTTAAAACGTACAATCTGGATTCATGCCGACGAGCAGGCATTTTCGAAATCGGCAGTAACGGCATGCGTTTCGCTCAACTGCAAAATTTGAATGATCATTTTAGAAAAAAAAGATTTATTATTATTTTTTTTTCGAAAAGTCGCGTTTGAAAAAGTTATCGGAAAAACGGACAAAGACAAAAAGGCCTGGACAGAACAACCGCAAAAGGGTCTCGTCCGCCCAGCCTGAAGCACAAACCTGGCTATAATAACTATGACATGCTCTCCGCTCGAAAACGAGTTGAGAATCGAGACTTTTTGGTTATGTAGGCCTAGATGAGAGTCTCCACTAGGCCTACCCACCCATAACGTCTCGATACTCAACTCATTGTCGGGCGTCAACCCCTAGTAAGACAAACTGTCGTGATATGAGCGAGGTTTTTGGCTTGCAAAAGTGCTCGACCTTTTTTTCTGAGCTTTTTGTTGGCGGCTTCTCTTGTCCGCGACTATTTTATCACCGCACTGTATAGGATATTTTTTCCGAGCTATTATTTCACATGCTTGTCTCAACTCTCAAATATTCTGAGTTTTCGAGTATATATCGCTCAAAAGATTGGGAATATCTGTTTTTTTTTTTCGGATTGAAATAGGCTGACCAATTTTTCCGAAAGCTTTCAACTCAAGTAAAATATTTCTTCATTTGAAAAATTTTGAACTGTAAATTTTAAACAGTTGATAGCTTTTCGAGTCTTATTTTCAAAAAGATGAGAAACGACTCACATTTGGTAACTTCGCAATTTTTTTCAAACCGGCAGACGTACTTATTTCGGCCGTCTTTCACAGCTCGCCGGAAAAATCCTTTACAGCCGAAACAAGCGAGGACCCCGTAGTGAATCTGAAGCTTTCTGAGTAGGAAAAAAATAGTCCATATAGAAATGAGTTTATAATTTAAAATAACTCTTTTTTAATTATATATAATTTTCATTTGTCGATTTTTCTATTTTCTAAATCAAATCAAGCGAATACGTTTTTGGAAATAAAGATTTTTTGAATGCTAATTCTCCCGGAATTTTCGCAAAAGGCATGCTTTGAGACAAGTATACAAACCAGACAAAAAATAACCTTTGCCGGATTGTCACCACAAACGGCGCAGACCCGTTGTTTGCTGCCAAGCATCTCTACCGATTCAGTAACGTCTCAGAACTTTCTTTCTTTGGGCCTAAAAAATTTCAAAGAGCATGGGTTACGTGTGAATTTTTTTCATGTTTACAGCGGCAAAATTGATCGATTTGCAGGCGGATGCAAAACTATTCTGATAGGAGTTGTTGTTTTTCAGTTTCCGCTCCTTTTGAATAATCGGATTGAAGAGGCGTATTGAACAGTTGAAAGTGACGAATCATTGAATATTGATAATTAAACGGGTACATTTTTGAATATTATAGAGTTTCATGTGAGCATCGCGCAAAGGATTGAAAACTTTGAAAATTCTAAGAACCGAGGTACTGAAAAAACCAAAAGTCATGTTTTTGATAGGTCTTAAAGAAAAATATATCATTTAAAATTTCGTAAAAAACAATAAAAATCAGATCATGATTGAACAATAAAAAAACGTGATTTATGATTCAAATTGCCCGATTACAGAATCCTTGAAGTTTGAAGTTAAAAAAGAAATCAAAACTTTTTTTCAATGAACTTGAATTGAGTTTGGAAAAAAATGGAAAAAAAAAATCGTTACAGAAACAAACGACGGCAATTTGGAAGGTTGGCGAGTTTCGGAGTAGAAGAGCGGTGAAAAAAGAACCCGAGTTTTAGTTCAACTGTTTGAAGAGTGACGCCGATCGGATGTACACTCACAAACACACACACACACACATAAACACTCGCGACAGTCACTGAGCACGAGGATTATCGTAAGTTTCGACTGTTTTCAATTATTAAAACGCTGTCATTGTAATTTTCAAAAGTTTTCAGAATCAATGAGTACAATAGAAAAAACATTTTTTGAATTTGATGCAACTTCACCAACTGTGATAATCTGTCATTAGAAATGCTCCTACCGTAGCTAGGTTACGGCAGGCAGGTCCGTCTTTTCGTATCTAAGAAACTATGCGTTTTTCTATGCCTACTGTATATCAATCGATAACGAATGCAATTTTAAGAACTTTTTCAATACATACCATCATGGGTTACTGTAAAAATTTTTTGAGTTACGGTGATATGTGTGTCTGCGGTTTTGGTTTTTCCGTTACTCTGTGTGTTAGAGGAAAGACCACGGCTAGTAACTTTCTTAGAACATTCTTTCTAGCAATACCTTCGAATTGATGCTTCTTTGAGGCCTCCCGGTCCCTCTAGCGGCGTCAGTCCCTTAAGTGATTGCTTGAGCTGCGCAGGCGCGTCCGGTTTGCGTGACCCATGACAACGTAGTCTTATCGGAAATCTTTTTTTTTGAGTTCCGAGAAATTTTGGGTAAAATATTAATTGATGAGTTTTTAGTTAATTTTCAAAGGGGCTCACAAGCGTTTTCAAGTTTTTTTTTTAAAGTTGTATAGTTACCGCGCAAAGAGGATGAGTCCATTTTTTACAGTTGCCTTGGCGATCTCAGCAAAAGTTTCCTGGATGAGTTGCTTCTGCTCCGTTGTCAAACGAGACAATTCAGTGTGAACCAATTTCTTCACTTCCGTATTCCCTATCAACATTTCTTCATGAAAAAAAGAAATATCCAAATTTACCTTGAAAATTTCTTTTTAAGCTGTACGTATGTGCTACCTAAAACCTTCGTCTTCCTGATTTTAAATAAATAATAACAACGAGAACTCACGATTTGCAGCCATAAATGAAGACGGAAATAAGAAAGTGGACCCAGATTATTCAGGCAGTATTCAAAAAACAATCGGAAACGTTGAACTAGGCTTATGAGGCACGCGACATGATAGTCCAGAAAATGAAACTTTTGGCTTTTAGTCTGAAGAAAAAATAAATAAATTACAACGTTCAAAATTTCAACACTTTTCGCATCATTCAAGCGTCCTTGTTTGGAAGATGTACACCTCTACAAAGAAAATCCGTAAATGAGCTACGTAAAAGGTTAAATGTTGGGTATTTCAGTCGAGAATCACTGATCGTCTCCCCTACCTCAGTAGCTACCGCTAGGATGAAGCTGAAGGTGGCTAAGGTCGGCCTCCAGAGTGTGGGTCTCAAACTTTTGTCTTCTTCTTTTCCGCATTTTTGCAGTTTTCTCTGAAAAGAAGCACAAAGAAGCAATCAGTACGACAAAGTAATAAAGTGAGGAATGGAAAAATTCAAGTAAAAAGAGTCTGAAGCTTCTGGATTGAACTCAATCCGTTGATAACCTATATTGCTGAAAAGCTGACGAAACGATTGATTCAACCAGACTACCTGTAGCTGCTCCGAGAGCCGAGATATAAGCCTTCACAGATATCATTAAAAATGAACCTGCGCACAAAAAAAGTTGAGATCAATCGATAGAGGAGATCGCGGAGGTCAGAAAATACTAAGTCTCTGAGTTCCTATTCAATTCAATTCAATTTATTGTCCCTAGGAATCTAATTATGATTTTTCAAAAAAATTCTCGAACTTTGAAAAATCATATCTTTTTTTGTAGGAGGCCAGGTACCTTTTCACTTGGATTTTTGGACATCTGACGTCATTTCCTATCGATTGATATGAAAATCTCCGAAACTTTGATTTTCGGGAAAATCGGAAAAAGTGCAGTCTAACCCCTTAGGTTTTTTTTGAGCTTCTGAGGTCATGGAAGCCGATCTGGACAAAATGTATATCAATCGATAGATCTCGACGGGAAAATAACCGGAGGCCAGGTTTGACCTCTGTAGGTCAACTAGGAACAGAGTTAGAGGCGATCAAACTTAGAGACCGAGAATCTCAATTTCCGTCAAAATTGATATCAATCGATAGAGGAGATCATGGAGGTCAGGAAAAACTAAATCTCTAAGTTCCTTGAGTCCTAGAAGCCGAGTTATGAGTAATAGTAAATTTTGAAAAATCATATCTTTCTTTGTAGGAGGCCAGGTACCTTTTCACTTGGATTTTTGGACATCTGACGTCATTTCCTATCGATTGATATGAAAATCTCCGAAACTTTGATTTTCGGGAAAATCGAAAAAAGTGCAGTCTAACCCCTTAGGTTTTTTTTGAGCTTCTGAGGTCATGGAAGCCGATCTGGACAAAATGTATATCAATCGATAGATCTCGACGGGAAAATAACCGGAGGCCAGGTTTGACCTCTGTAGGTCAAATAGGAACAGAGTTAGAGGCGATCAAACTTCGAAATCAAAAATTCGAAAATAGGTCAAATTCGGTATCAATCGATAGAGGAGATCAAGAAGATCCGGAAAAACTAGGTCTCTAAGTTTTTAGATTCCTAGAAGTAGATATGTTTTTTTTTTTCAAAAAATCATATATGGCTTAAAAATCAATTACGGCTTTAAAAGGCCTAAACTCATTTCCCAGGGACTTAGCTTTCATTTCTGGACACAGTACATCATTCTGCTCCGATCCTGGGACGTCATTCCTGTTGATGGAAACTTTTGAAGTCCTACATCCTTGAAAAGCTGGTAATCTGACAAATCGATTGACATGATCAGCCCAGCTGTAGCTTTAAATAGAACAGAGTTATGAAGCTTGAAAGTCTGAAATTTGCCATTTTTTCACTCTCATTTTTGACCATCTTCCTTAGCTTTTCCTTAGAAACTGATTGGTAACAGTAATATACAGAAGCTGCTCTATCGACTAAGCTAGAGAAACTCGAAAAAAAGAACTGTTTTTTGAGCTTTTCCCTTTTCGCGAGGAAGCCCCACCGATGAAGGCCTCAGACTAGCACCTGACCCGACGCGCAACCTCATACAAGACATTCCATCTCACGCGCAAGTTTATTTTCAACGAGATTTATGAAGACCTATATTTCGGCTCCCGGAGCAGCTACAGCTTATCTGATTATATCAACCGATTCGTCTCATGGTCAGCTTTCTAATGATGTAGGACTTCAAAGGATTTAGCTTCATCTAGAAGCTTCAGAATTGCCTCAGCTTATGAGTCAATGTTTCGATAAGTTATTAGAGATTGAGTTATATCATTGGATCCGTCTCAAGACGCTTTATCGATCGTCAATGATATCACTCGATTTGAGGGAAAAGCAGAGATGTAAGCTGGAAACTTCGGCTCTTTCTCATTGTTCCAATGTAATCTTTTTGCCCTCTCTGACAACTATTTTGGATTTCGCAGAAATTACTTTGAAGTTCGGTATTACGCATCATAGGATCAGTTTATGAAAAAAAACAAACAACGAAAAAAAAAAATCAAAAAATAATGGCGCCATTTTTAAAACAATTCTGCCAAATTTAAAATCATCTTTGACCCTTCGAAGTCTCTTTTTCCATTTTTTTTAACGGTTACTTTGAAATTTGCGGATTTATTTCTAGCAGAGCACATCATTCAAAAAAATAAAAATACTATGAGAGATACTGTAGCCGCGGGGCGGAAAATCGATATAAATAGACTATATATTCGGACGCGATTTTCAGGCTTTCGGAATCGCAATCGCAATTTTCGAAAATTTTTTTTCGTGCCGTCCAGCAGAGTATTCTTCATCAAGCATCTCCAACAATGAGTGGTAAAACACAATAGAACATGTTTCTCTTTCGTTTGGAAATATACCGGCTGTCTTTTTTTGTTCAAATCAGGGAAGAGACATGGAACTTTTACACCGTTACTACATCACTAGCTTTATTTAGGGGGGATCGTGGTCATCTCTTATATTAAACCTGTGCATGGAAGTTGAGAAACATGAACAATTAAACTTTACGATCAAGTATTGTACAAAAAAAAACGTATAGACTATGCTTTGGACAATATGTATAAGTTTTGTGGCGAGTTTCGCCTGAAAATGAAGGCAAAAGGAGAATGTATGAATACGATTGGTACCTTTTGGTATTTTTTTTTTCCGAACTTTAGTAGGTCTCATTTTTTACAGCATACCCAGTCAGACCGTGAAACGGACTCTAAATTTTTCAGTCATCGGTAGTTTTCATGGCTTCCAGCCTGAGCTGGAATGAAGAGAGAGCTTTCAATGTTCGGTTTCAAGAAGAGAAAAGGCACTTGTGATTTTTTGTTTTTTTTGTTTCACTTGAAAAGAATAAAAGTTATTATAGCCATTTTTTTGAGTATCATTTCTCAATTTTTTTGAAAAAAACCTCAAAAGATTTAAAATAAAGTAAGTAGTCCAAAGTATCTTCAATCCTTGAAAAATCATCACAGTTGAGGCAAGCGAAAAAAAAAAACATGACGTTGTAGCGAAACTAGAAGTGAAAAAATTTTGAAATTAAGAAACACCTAACAATGAAAAATGATCATTGGAGAAGCGAAAGAAAATCGTCGCAGTTGCCGAGGTCGGAAAGGTTGACGTCAGGCGAAAACGTTGAATCGGCGTCGTCTAATAATGAGGAAAATGGCGACGACATCTAAAACGGTCTTGCGTGAAAATTGGCATGAAACTACACAATCAATTTTGTTCATAATCAAACTGCCCGAACGACGTATAAAATCGCTCCCACTTTTTTTTTTCTATCTTTGAAAAACAAAAAGTTGATGAACTAACGATTGGTGGTGAATATCCCGCATTGATGAGAGAATTCGATGATGATGAATGTACTGGAGAAGTGAATTCGCCATTAGTTTGAGTGCTGGCGTCCGTTCTACGGTTGAAGCTCAGTCGGCTGCGGATCGTTGACGAGACTAGCGCCGGCGGGTCAAGCATTGGCGGTGATATACTCTAAAATTCCAAATTGCTCATTCTTGCTCAGACGTGCTCTCAAAAAAAAGATTTCATCCTCAAAATCCGCGAAAGAAAAGTCGGTCTATATTTTTTTGGATATTTTTGCCCTATTTATTTATCTTTCCTGGCGCAGAGTTCATAGTTTCGCGTCCAAACTCCAGTTATTGTTTGTTAACTAAATGCTGAATCGAATCGACTTTTTTTGGCCGACTTCTAGTAGCCAGAAAAAAGTCTTTGATTCTCGAAAAGTCCAACAAACAAAAAGCAGGGTGTTTTTCCACCTCAAGACTAATCTCGGCAGGGTTTTCAAAAAGCGGAGGACTGATGGACGAGCTGATCTGATCATCGAAAATATGGTCTCCAAACATCTCCGACAGCAGCGGATCGCCGCTGTGACGAGCGCCAAAAGCCTGGCAGAACTGCATGTTTTCCGACATCAGTCCAGAAAGCGTCTAAACGTGATTGCAAATGGCTGACAAAATTTATCTGGTTTACCGTGATTGTCGGCAAGAGGAGAAGCAAGTTGCCGAATCGACTACTCGCCGAGTAGATGGGGTGCAGCTCTTTGACGATCTGGAACAGCATATCCTGGACCTTGTCGCGAAGTTCGCCAATCACCGTTCTGGCATGATCAGATAGTCCTTTGGAGTCTGAAACTCAACATTTTTTTTCTGGTCAAAATATTGTACACTTCTGTACATAACAGGTATCAGAGAGTTATAACTGCTCAAAGATGGCAAAAAAACTCTTTTTATTGCAATGATAAAGTTCAAACTACGGAACGTTATAACGTAAACACAAGAAAAAATCCGTAAAATTTTTACGCTTATTCCAAACTCAACTCTCCATTGTTAATTTTTAATCCATCTTCCTCAAAAAATATTATAATATTGACTTCTAATAATATTGAAACAAACAAAAAAAAGCTGGGCTGTCAAATTTTCTTTTTTTTCAGATTTTTGTGTGAAAAGAAGATGAATAGATTAATGTAAGATCAAATGATACAATATTATCAAATTTCTGTTCCTTTAATGTAAGAAAAAAACCAACTAGGATTGAGGATGATTATCGCCTTGAGCGGCACGATTTCCTCTTCTTTTAGATTGAGTTTCCGGAGCGGCGTGACCAACTCGTTCAACGTCCTGTCGATGAGTACGTTCGAGAGGTGGCTGAAATATGCGCACCTAAATGCGTTTATGACATAGTGGGTAGGGTTGGATTTCGCTTTTAAAAAAATGTCAGTAAGCCTGGAAAGAGGGGTTAGTTTTGATTGGACTTTATCTTTAATGAGCAAAGCACAGTGAAACCTTAAAAATATTAATTAATGAAACCGATCGAATTTTTCCATTCCTTGGAGTCGATAATCATCAAAATATTTTTAATGGGAACTTCATATTCTTGCAAACACTCTAGTAAGACACAATTGATGAACATGGTGAAGATAAGACAATTTAGCACAAAACTTCAGACTTGGGGGAAAAAGAAGAGCGTGAACAGCTCACTTTGTCTCGTTGAATTCGGGCGGCAATTTGCGCGGCACGTAGGAATGACTGCAGAGGCAAAGTATGTCCGGATTCTTGGTGTTCTGGGCGGTCCGGGCTGAGAAGTTGAAGATGGTGAGCGGCGAGTAGCAGTTCTTCACGAGGGCCACCTTGTCTTCCGTCTCTACGGCGTCGGCGATCTCGGTCAGACTGTCCACCCAGTCGACGGCGGCGATCGCTCGTCGGTGGGCAATCACCGACAGTTCTTCTGTTCGTGCCATTCGGAACGGCTCATATCGCATCTGAAACGATTGTCGAGAATTTATCGAAGAACCTCGTCTAAATTTGAGGAGAAATGAATACTCAGCTATAGCTCATTCCGCGTCAGCTTTTTACGATTTTTTGTTTCCTCTGAGCTACAGATCCTTTTCCTTCGATGCGCGCGATATTATCTTTGTCTTCGCCTTTGATACAACGGAAACTTCAGGCCAAATGAAAGACGCAAGCAGAGAAAGATCCCGAACGCTTCAAACGAAATTATTCTCGAAAAAAAATTTTGACAAGCTGGCGCGGAATGGCTTATACTCACTTTCTGTTACTCAAATCCAGTTATGCGAAAAGAAAAATTAGTGAAAAACCAGACTTTTAGAATTGAAAAGGAAAAATCATTCATGAAGATTATTATCAAATCAGAAAAAATTTGAACCTCCATTCGCCGACCATCCAACGCAGGCTTCGACTCGAACATCTCTCTCAGAGTTATACTCTTAGGATCTTTAGCCGTGTTTTGAGCGCTCATACTATTATCACCTTTCGCGACCTGTGAAAGTGGAAATCGAAACGTTCGAAGTTTCCGACTGACCTTGTCCTCAATGCTCATCAGTTGCAAGAGTAGAATTCGCGTTTCAACAGGCAACTTTCGTGACCAATCGTCGCCTTGCAACCGCATCTAAGAACAAAAAACTCACAACTAAAAAAAAACTTGAGGAAATTTTCAAAAATATTCTGAACATGAGAAGAACTAGAGAATGATTCGAAAAGAGTAAACTTTGATTTTCTTTTGACTTGAGAAATCGTGACAAACGTTTTTTTTTACACATAAAGTAAGAAAAGAAATACCACGAACCATATGATTGAGAAGCTCCTCATCCAGCGGCTTCTTTTTCAATCGTGGAACTTTTTGCTTTCCCGTCAAATCTCTATCCGGCCTCACCGCTTTTGGATCCATCCCAACCTCGATACATCGTTGAAACCGGCAGTATCGACAGCTGTTTCTTTGAACTGAAACCGATTTTCGATTATTTTTTGGGTCGCAAACAAAATAGCTCAGGTAAGAGAGAAAAAAAAATCAGCTAGCGCAGTCAATTAAGTCATCCCACGAAGTAAACTCAGAAGTTTCTCCGCGTCGAAAGGACTGTTAATACTTCTAGTGTTCAACGTGACTCCGCAAAGCTCGAAATAACCATCAGAGAGTGAAGAAATTAATTAAAAAATGGAGAGTCAGAGATGGTTTTGAATTTTGCAAAACTACTTCGAATACGACACAAACTCTGACATTTATCGACGATGCAGTTGTTTCCAAAACGACAAGCATAACGGTACTTGCCAGTGAGCGTCCGCCGAAAAAAGCCTTTGCACCCGTAGCAGGCGAGAACCTAGATTAAAAAACGTTTTTTAGGATAACGTCAGTCGATTTGATCACTCCATAGTGCAGTTTGGCGTGGTCATCACCGCAGACAGCACATATCGCTTCGCCGCTGTTACCCGTCGGTAGAGCCGCCGTAACGACTCGCTCCTTCATCAAGTACGACGTGGTTGACGCCGACGCCGCCGCTAGCATCACCTCGCGCGCCAGGGGCATTCTGAAAAGCTTTTATTTGAAAAGAAAACAACAATATTTAACAAGAGAGGTCATTTACTTTGCCGTTGAGGCTTTCCTGGAAATAAGCTAGAACACTCCTTTATGTGCCAGGAGAAGATTCTAAGAGTATCAACCTGTACAACTTCCTCTTTTTTGAGAAAGGATGCCTAAAAATCAAAGAGAACTCTCAAAATTCGATAAAATAGGCTATTTAGGGGTTGTCGGCCCTATTTCTCAAAAACTGAGAAGCTATGCAGGTTGAGACTTCCAGAATCTTCATCTGGTACATCAAGGAGTGCTTTAGTCAATTTTCAGGAAATTCACAACCGCAGATTGAAATGAACTTCCTTATAAGAAAGTTTCTTCTTATGGGCATTGTACAAAAAAGCAGTTTGAATATAGCTACCATGTAGTCTGGAAAACCTAGCTTTTAGTGAACTTTTGACTGATTCCTTTCCTAATTTTACACCTTTGTTTCGTTTCTTTTGTTGGAAAACCATTCTGGTCGCGCACTTATGTTTGAAAGATCAACTTCTGTAGCGCACCAAACTTTTGCTATAAATAATTTCTGAAGCGTACGTGTAAAGCCGGAGAATCTCCGCCAAATTGATAAGCTTTTACGCCAATTTATCAAGTTTCATGATGACTGAGAACTGTTTTATCATCAAGTGGTACTTCGAAGTCGAAGTCACCTTGGAACCGTTGAAACATTCATTATTGCTGAAATACGATAACTTGGATTTTTTACTGTTGTCCTTAAGTAAATGATTTAAAAGTGGCTCGTTTCACCAATTGGAAACTTTCTTATCACTTGTTCCTCTATTCGTTGATATTAAATTTGCATGAGATTGTAACTGGTGACAATAGCAGATTTTTAGTTTGAAAACAGAGGAAAAATTTATGGATCACTGCTCATGAATGACACATTCAGGGACAGAAATTATTCAATTTTTCCAATGCCAAAGCGCCAAAACAGATTACTTCAGAAAAGTCGGAAAGAACGGCAAAAAAAAAAACCAATTGAGGTCGTTAAGTCGAATTTCGAGTTTTTCAAAACTTGCGCAATTGGTGAAATTGGAAACCGGTTCAATTTTTTTTGTTTGTAAAGAAAGGAATCCAATGGATAGCTGCAAACATTTTTTTATTAATTCGCGATTGAGGTGATGAAAAATTCACCTTTCCTTCTTGTTGGACGAATGGCCTTTTTGGTACCAAATTTCTATCTCTTTTCAAATATTGACCATCGCGATAAAAGAACGAATTAAATTCGTGCCTGAAGTTCTGAAAAATTACCAAACAAAAATAAATTGTTCGAAATTCTAGAAACTTGGTCCACTTTTTCACGCACAGTTATCTACACCAAAATAGTCAGGAATAATTGAGAATGCGGAAAAAAAAGTAACGCGAAACTCAGGAGCCGTATTATTGACAAGAGAAGGTGAGGAATCGATTCGGTTCTTTGCAATGATACCGCCTCTGGGCGTCGACTTTCCTATTATTCTTTTCACTTTTCTCTTCTGAATTTTTCAATATATGGTTTTTGCGGAATGCAACAAAAAAGGGGAGTAGGTAAAAAAATCTTCGCAGAGACAAAAAATATCCTTAAAGATCCGTTTCAAGAAGTGCTAACGAAGAGAAGCCCTTTTATGGTCATTCTTCGTTTACACTCAAATGAATTTCCCGAAAATTGATTTTGAAAATTTTGGATATTTTTGAAAAATAAAGTTGCACCATAATCAACTCTCATTCAAACTGGACTTTTTTTTCGCTTTTTCTAGGAAAATAAGTTAAAAATCCCAGGATCTCAAACCTATCAAATCGAATGAAAAAAAAATGAAATTCTACAGGAAGCTCGAAAAAAAAAGATTTGTGCAACTAGTAAAATTGAGAGGAACCTCGAAAAAAGAAGTTTTGGCCGTTCGAGTGGTTTCGAGGGAGTACTTTCGAGCCAGTGAAGCAATGTAAACAAAATTCGTCCTCAACCAAGCCGCTGTCACAGCCGAAAACAAGATTCAAAACAAACGGAACTGTCCATTTTTTTTTTTTGCGGTTTATAAGTCCTGATTAATTCGACTGAGCCATATTTCAGATGACCGCCCAAAACTCGGTAGACAGACCTCTGAACTTTGACGACCTTGGCTCCATGGCTGGTGGCAGCAGGTCGAAGAGCAAAGCTAGGCTGCGCCTCGACATACTCGTCGCCCCAGTACTCGTAGTCCTCCATCTGGTCAGGCTCGTTCCATGTCAGAACGCCCGACGGCTCTTGGATGAGTGTCGCCCGCATTGTGCTTGCCTTCTGGAGGCTGCCACTGATGATAGCGCCATCGCGCGAAGATCGGATTATCACCGGGGGTGGAATCTTCTGTAATAAATCAATAGTTGCAGGATAAAACATAAAAATAATTTACACCAAGCAGCACGAATAAATAGAAAATGAGAGTTTGGATACCCGGTCAATGTTTGCTTTATTTCTTCTATTGATAAAAATTATCGCTGTTTTTGAAAGAAACATCAACAGACAAAAAACGGCTTTTTTTGATGCCGTGTTCAAAATAATTTTTAGTTATTTTTTTCACTCTCTGACGGCTTTTTCAAATCCCGCGGAATCACTTTGAACACGGCATAACAAACAGTATTTTGAAACTTTTCCACTTTTTATGCGTCTTCAAATTCATACTATGTGCGATATACATTAGAAGCCACTAGAACAAAAATTCACGAAAGAAGTGTCTATTGAGCAGATTTCAATGGGCAACACTGGAGAATTTGAAGCAGAAAAATTGAAATGAGAGGGACAGAACAAAAAAAAACCCGAAGGATTCGAAGCAAGAATTTTTGTAAACTAGTAGCATGTTGAACCTTGAGAAAAAATAAATAAATAAATAAAACGGTTTAGCGAAAAGGTTCAAAAGTTGTAAACGATGTAAAAATGTACAAAGTGTAAACTATAAATCTGAATCGAACAAATGAGATTAATAAACCTTCAGAAATGTCGCGATAAAGGGGAAATGGTTGTGTAAAACGGAAAACCCCTCACGTCGCGATAAGGATTCTTTCTTTTGAGACGGCAGAAGAAGACACTGTTTCCCAGACGCTGATATGCGACTGCCACTCTTTTGTCTGCTGCCGCGAATAAAAATGGTCAACCCATAGGAGATATATTGCTTGTAATGGATAACTTTGAAGAAAGAAGAACTCGAAACACTTTTGAAATGAGACATGGCACTTCTATTCGATGTCAATCAAATCATAGTTGAGAAAAAAAAAACCATAGCCCACAAAATACTAAAAATTATTTTCAAAAGTCGTAAAACAACTGCAGAACTTAATTTTTTCAGAAACTTGCAACAAAAGGTGAAAGCCAAAAATAATTGAGGTTTCTGGATCTTTCTGGTACTGGAAATTTCTTTGTGTCACCCCTTTTTTTACTGCCCGCTTGTCTTGAAGTTATCTCAGAGTTGGAGGTCCAAACTGAGTTATAAATTTCAGATCAGTCGAAAAAATGTGTTCTGAAAAGAGTTGTGTGTCCCTGACTTCTTTTACAAACGTATGCGACGATTTTTGAGACTGGATTTGAATTCAGCGTGAAAAAATGGGCCGGGGGCCGCTCTTTTAAAACGGTACATTTCAACAAAAGAACTGCCAAAGTTTCAAAGCATCAAGTCTTCATCGAACCAGGTCCTGGATCAAAAAACCACGTGGGGCGATGATTTCATCCAGTACCGCATTGTGGCACGGTCAAAATCATATGGAAGTGAAATCAGCAAAAAAAAAAGCTTATTGGTTGGGCGTTGCTGATAAAATTTTTCGAAATTGACCCAAGCGTAAATACTCTATTTATCGATAAGTTTTCTTTTCCTTCGAAAAATAAAGAATTCTGAAAATATCTCGACCATCGATTGGTGATTGAGTTAGATATTAATCTAAAAATCCAGTCTAACCCTCGAAAAAAGACCGAATTTCGTCATAATTACGTCAACACGGCAACTAACTAATCAATCAAAGTGTAAATGGAAACTTTTCACTCGAAGTGACCTATCTCATTTTAAGGCTTCCGCCTAGAGCACGGTCTGGGGGCCCAAGCTATATTCTGAGCACGTCAAGGCGCACCTGAATGGACTAAGCGGCGAAGAACGAGGCGCAGGAACCATAACGATGCTTTCAACTATGATTGATTGACTGGTGAGCCTCAACAACTTGAAAAAGTTTCCGTATTGCAAATAATTATTTAAGAAAAATCCCGGTGATAGCTCCCGAAATACTTGAGCGCGATACACAGACAAGCAAAATTAGATTTGAGATTTTTTCTGATTCTAGCCGTACCAACGTCCTTTACTGACATCATTGGCCTTGTAGATCTTTTTACACTTGTGATGGCCTTCAAAGGGTCATTGACATCGACCGCCAATGATAATGTTAGCTAGCGTTGTATTTTCTGGTCCAATCGTTCAATTCATGTAAAACTGTCAAAGGCACAGAAAATTTAATAATATTGTAAGTCAATCTAAAATCAAATCTACAAAATATAAAAACGATTGAAAAAGTCCTAGAAACAAATTTCGCATTTCTTGTGCCATTATCTCTTTCCAGTAACATAATGCGTTAATTCAGTCATCGAAACGAGTAAATTACAGATATGAATTATCTCTTTGAAAGACCCTTGTGAGTTGGATATTCCCGAAGCTAATTACATTTCTAGTTGAAAGAATCAATAGAAAACCTCGATGATAATTTAGCTGGAAAAAAGCGCCGATGAAGTCAAATACAAACACTTTAAACATTTATATGCAAATTTCAGGCAAGTATTCATCGTCGCCATTTTTGCAAGAGGTGAGAAGGAAGAAAGAAAGACATTGCTAAAGGGGCGGAGCTGAGTGACGTCGGAAATCAAACTTTTAGAATATCAAACGACGTCGTCTACCTAGAGCGATCAGCTCAAAGTTCAGTTTTATGCATGTTTGAACTTTTAATGGGGAAGGCTGTTTCTGGTTGGCTTCGATGACCATATCAATCAGATAAAAATGAATTTACACCTTTGCTAACATTGCCATTCGGTTCTCTTCCTCCACATTCTCAGAATGGATCTATGCGAGAAGAAATGAATTGAACATGGTAAATTCAAAAAAAAAATTGGAAGAAAAATGAATTGTTAAAAAAAGAGAGCTCATTGTGAGGCCGACAAAAACGTGGCATACACACAATCATGATGATAGTCTTGGTTTTGGCTTTTCGGTTGCAGTCCCAAAAATTTGATAACATTATCGTTTTTTTTCCTGTTCACCTTCGAGCGACGATAAATTTGACCCAAAGGTAATTTGAAACAGAAGTTGAATGTAGCGCACCCCGTTTTACTTCTATAGCCATCATCAAAAAGACGTTGACATCGTGATTTATGGGTTGTTTAAAAGGTAGTCCAATTTATGCGCGCACAGGTTTGATTCACAATAGTTTGCGAGCCTTTTATTTCCAACTCGAAAACTCGAGTCAGAATAGTATGCAGGACTACTAAGAAAAAAAAAATCGAAACTCGCAAAAAAGATGGATACAATGTAGAGTTCCAGAGCCGAAATTTTCGTTCGCAATTTTCTACTGAAAGTAATTGCTACAAAATTTTTCTCAAAAATTATCTGCGAGCGAAAACGCACTACCAAGTTGAGATGAGAAACGGGATAATCTTCGGTAAAAGTGCAAACAAAGACGTTCAAACGTTTTTTCTGATATCTAATACAAACATCTGCGTGGTCAAATAATGAGCGCAATTTAATTATGTATAATACAAAGGCAAAAAATGTACGATCCTGGTTCAAATATTATACTGTTCAAGTCAGAAAGTTGTCGAACCGAGATATAAGTTTTGGTTAAGTTTCAAACAAGATTTTGAGTTTTGGTTCAGATGCGAACAAAAATATTTTTTTTTTGATACATTTTAGTTGGAAAAGAAAAATTTTGAATGAAAAGAAAAAAATTTGGTAGCTTCTTTAAAAACGTAAATATTTTTCGAGTTTTAGAGACTCAAAATGAGCTTCCAACATGCAAAATGGCGCCATTCGATGATACACCAAAAGACTGAAATTGTGCGCAGTTCAAAAGAAAAAAAATGAGAATCGGATGAGAGAAACAAAAAAGGCGTGCGGAAAAAGTAGTTGTAACGGTACAACACGCTGGTCGGCGGGCCGACAGAAAAACAGAGCGGATTGAAAATATTCATCCGCCCCGATGCATATAGTCACAATTATTTCGCGATCATCCCTTGGTCTCCTTTTCGGTTAGTAGGCGCCGATCCAACTTTTGCCAACGGCATTGAAAGTTTTCCGTTTGTCGATATTGGAGACGCCCTAAAGGCACCATCTGCAGTTGATCTACAATAGCTTCGTGAGATATTTGAATAAACATGTAAAGATAAAAATAACTCGAGAAAATTCTTTTCGAAGGAAAAAAAATTATTCAATTTCTGCCTGACACCTCATAAAGCTGTGATAAACCGACTGCAAGTCGCAAAAATCCATCACTTTTTGGTGGAGCTTCCTACGAATCATACTCGTTAAGAAGCTGCGATTTAGTTGAAAAACATGGAGAATTGGGGAAAAAGGAATGAAAACGAATCGAAAGCCAAAATCGCTACTGGTTTCCCAATGAAACGGATTAAAATCGTACCCGTGAAATGACCCTACCGTGGTGAGGATTTGCAAAATATTGTCGGCCAACCGTGTCTGGTTTCGCTGTTGTGTCATGTATTTCCCCTGTACCCGTAAATGACGACTTTCAGATCAATAGTTTGAATCCTCTTCAAAAAAAAAAGAATTATAAGAGAAAATTTACAGGGGCGAAAGGACCTTAAAAAATAATCTACTTATCTCGCAATTTTCATATAAAGTGGAAAAATTTGTTAATTAGAGTTAAGAGTTGAAACTCACTAAGATCGCCATTCTGATCCTAAAGGATTTGAAAAAAATTTCAATCTGGGCGCATGTGCTCACATAAAGATGGTGAAAGCATTCGAAGTAGTTCTAAAAGAACTTTTATTCAACTAACGAGGAAAATTTTAGAGTGAAAAAGAGCTATCCATTCAAGAAATTTCGTCAGGCTTTGAACTTGCGCGCGCTGAAGTAGACGAAAAATCATGCCGGGTCATTTTCCCGGTTGCTCGTTAAACCCGTTTTCGTTGAATCGGAATCGATAAGCGACCAGCAATGGTGATAAGTTTGTTACGACCCATTAATGTCCAATTGGTTGCGTAAAATTAGTCTCTAATCTCTACAATATTCTTTCAATTAAAATCCTTCT